AGAGATAGAATAGTATTGAAATTGAATTTCTAATTTAATTAAATTTATGTCAATGACAACTGATCCATTCTCAAGAAGCATTGTCTCAACGACATTCCCAATTGAGGATCTTAAATTTGTGTATTCTGTACCTCAAATAGTGGATCCAGATCCAATGACTTGCATAGTAGAATAAAGTACCAAATTTGAATGTAAATGAGCAGCACATGAAGAAGGAGCAATTTATGTAGGAGGATATGAAGGAGCCAAAGATCTTGAGACTTTAAAACGATTAAAGATTAGAGCTGTGTTAACTGCAAGTCAAGAGACAGCTGTTTAATATTCAGATCTTATTGTTTAATTTCACCATGTGATTTAGGCACATGATAAGGATGACTATAACATTTTACAATTCGCTGATTAGACTTTTGATTTTATAGAGCGTCATCGAAAGCATACGAATATATTGGTTCACTGTTTTTTGGGAATCAGCAGATCACCCACAATCGTTGCTGCGTATTTAATGCGCAAAACTAATATGAATATGGAGAAAGCCTTATGGAAATTAAAGTCGAAACGCAGACAGGTGAATCCGAATTCAGGCTTTTTGAAATAATTACTCAATTATGAAAAACTATTATAACAATAAGAATAATAACAATAATAGCAATAGTAACTAAAACCAAAAAGCATTTTTAAAATGGTTAGATAATAAGCTGCACCTTAAACTCAAATGCTTCCGCAAAGTAGAATTCTTCCAATGGATAGTAGAGTTATATTTTAGAAGTAACCTTCGCAATATATTCCATAACCATATTACAAATGAAATTATATTATGAATAATATTAATGAATTAACAACTTTCAGAAGCAGAAGTCATTATTCTCCTTCTTAACTTTCATCAAGTTCTGGTCTTCTGAACCAACAATACGATGAGTTTGTAAACAAGATATATGGAAAAACAAAGTAAATTAAAATACATCATCTCATTCCCAAACAAACCAATAAAGTGTTTGAATTATCAACTCCTTAGTTTGAAGATGCAATATACAAAAAAATGGATGATTACATAAAAAATGAAAAGCTCAGTCAAAGAGAAACGAGGATACAAGAAAGAATCATTGAAAAAGAGATCATTTAATAATATAAGGAAAAATAACATCCATTCAAATCCCAGATTCCCGATTAAAATTACATTAGAATACTAAAGTCTTGTCAAAATTATATACCCAAATTTAAGTTCACCAGATTCAACAGTCCTAACAATGAAGAAAATAATGAAAAATTGTTACGCAGGGCTAGTGAATTACTTCAATAAAGAAAATAGAGATATGATATCTATAAAAAACAATTAGAGTATGAGAGGAAAAAGGGTAAAAAGTTAATAAAACAAAATTACTCTTCAGAATCTACTCTACGGGCATTCACTCCTTTAAAATTGAGAAATATTGACTAAATTATTCAAAAGTGCAAAGAGCAAAATGAAGGTTGTAATGTAGAAATAAAAGAGATTAATAAAAATAAATAATAATTAAAAAAAAACTATTAATTAATAAAAGACTAATATAATGACATATTCAATTTATGATGAATCTTTTTAATCTTAAATCTTACTCTAAATCTACTGTTACTTAAACATTATTGTTTTAAGGAAATTCTTTGAATTATGGTGTTATAATATTAGGAGTCTAGACATATATATCTAAAATTTATTAAGTCATTGATATTAAAATGCAAATAAAACTTAGAAATTGTTCTTTTTTAAATTGCTCTTGCATTTTCCATGGTTAATTTTTATCTATTAAGGTATTTATTAGTACAAAGATCTTTTATAATTCTAAGTAACCTTCTTAGAATTAATTTTTATCTAGAAATGCTTTTGTATTTTTGTGTAATTCCAAAAATGATTATTTCGTTTATAATAATTGATCATCCAGTAAATGTTATTATAATAAGAGCAAATTTGGTGATATTATCTTTGGTCTAAATAATCTAAATAAAATGTTATTAAATTGATCGATGTATGTATTCCAGCACTTCTCCAATTTACTCTCTTCAAATGAAACATCCATATTTTATGGTCCCTGAGTAAGGAAATATAGTCTAATTTGATTTTAGTTGTATTATTTTAGTAATTAGAATGGATCAATCACGTTTCCAAGAGACTTCGACATTTTCATCTGATTTAATATTGTAAATTTACATTATTTCTGATCCAATGGTTATGCACAATCAATTCAGTTGTAGATTGGTTGTTGATTCCTTTTAAGAAACTAGGCCAATATAAGGCATGAAATCTCACTATATCTTTGCCTATCACATGCATATAGTGATGTTACTCTTCTTACAAATATCCTAATAATGCATCCAACCATACATAAATCAGTTAATTATTATCATTAGGAACCTCAATTCCCCAATAATACCTCTGTTTGGGTCTGCTGATACAAATACTATTAATTATGAGCTATTTCAATTCATTTTGATATCTGGATGGTGCATTTTTAATGCAAGTCTCAAGAAAATCTTTGTCAACTTTGAAAAAATAGTTATCTTCTTCCAAATATTGATCAGTTTTATGATTCACAAATGATTCCTCAACTTAGCAATAATATCCTTTATAAGTATCTTTGATTATAAATCCATTATTTTAGAGCAGATTCCAATTCTTTTACACTTTGAGGATGTGCTAAGGATCCGTGGTTCTGACGAATTGATCATACTTAATAAAAGAATTAGCCAATTGTTAGAATTGATTGGAAATGGAATCGCAATATTATTAGAGTGGTTGATGCTTGGCACTTCTATAGACTTTCAATCCATGCTCATCAGTCCCTGTCAGCAATTTGACAGATTTATACTTAGCGATGGCATCTGCATAAATCATTGAATAGAGATGACCTATGTGTGGTTAGGCATTCACATAAAACAAAGGTGTAGTTATTATTTATTTTATCATAAAAAAATTAAATAAATTTTATATAATTATAACATACATAATCCTAACCACCCTATTTATATACTTGTTATGTTGATTAGAATCTATGATTGATACAACCATAAATTTAATCCAAACATTATCCATGATAATAGGATCATCGCTTTCGTAAATGTAGTTGTTTTATCCTCTTTTAAAACCACGATCAAAACAATCATAACAAAAGATACCTCAAACAAAACATTAATAAATAAGTTGCTAAATGAAGCTAGTATGAGTCCAACTATGTAGGGTATGATACTTGATTATCTTTCCTGAGGCTAAGGATTTAATTAGCAATCCTAACTCTACAATTCCAAAGGTTTGTGATAATAATCTGGTACTCCAATTGTATATGTGTTTTGTGATGGCTCTTGTCTACTGTGATTTTATTATCCATCATTTAATTCATTTGAAATCTCATTATTATAAGGAATCTTGATCTATCTCAAGTCTTGCAATTGCAATTAATAATCTTCTAATTCATCTTCGAATTTCTTAATATATGATATTACTAGATTTCTAGCCTAATTTAATTGGAGACTCAATAATTTCTAATCTAAGACTTTAATTTCATATGTAATTTCAATTTCCAGCAACTCCCCATTCTCTTTTTAAGTCAGTAATTCAGTAACATTTTTATTAAACTGCAAGGAGTATGTCGGTATCACTATGGTAGTGTTCATCTAATTTTAGGTATTCGTATTCAAAGCCAGTAGAATGCTATCACCAACATCCAAAATATCAATAGTTTGATCAACCTAGAATTGCAAATTGTAACTTGGTTTGAAATCACTCTCGTATTCGTAGTAATCTTCTATCTTCATATAAAATGCAAAAGATCCGACCATAAATTTATTGTGCAATTACAGATTCAATACTGATGCTGAATGCAGTGTTAGTCTCATTGGAATTCTGTGATTATTACTATTTATTGTCGGAGTGTTTTTCAATCTTTCATCAATTGATACTAAATTATCCTGCTCTTCTTGTAGTTGCTATTTCGAATTAGCGATTTTTTGGCTCAACAATTGAATTGCCTCCTTGTACACCTTCTCAAACTAAGGAAGCGTGCATTGTTTATGCTATAATACTAATTCAGCTGTTTACATCTTGCAAACATTTATTATACAATTAACTTATCAATTGGCGATCAATAGCTATATTAGAATGGTTTTACAGTAATTCAATAAGTTCTTGCTGTTAATATGAATGCATAATTATTTAAATTGCAATATATTTTTTATTTATATTTATATCGAAAATTATTAAAACCTAATCTATATCAATCGCTATGCACTTCTACCTTACTCTGATTCTAATTTAAATAGTTTAGTACATTCAACTAAATTGCTATTTTAGAATTTAGAATAAATTTATTTATTTTAATAACCCATAATAAATGAAAGAGAATGTTTGCCAAAATAACTATTATTAATTTCTATTTTTTGCATATATATGAGATTGCCACAGTTTTATTTCCTCATTATGAACTCAAACTGTCCATCTCGTAAATACAAAAAAGATCTTACTAAATAGGTTACAAATTTCGATAATAAAATGAGACATTTGTGCCGCAAGTAAGAAATATTCTTTTTCATTACTGCTCTTCATTTGCTTTTGGCCTCATCTTAGTAGACCTTTCGATAAACCTTCGGAATGATTTACAGTAGATATCAAATGAATTATGATCAGAAAGATGAATTAAATTTAGTAAATTTTATCATAAAAATAAAATAAATGTGATTTTATTAATAGGATTTAAGATTCTAATTCTTGTTCAGATGATCAGAACACTTAATAATAATATTACTGATATCTCATTGCGAGATAATATGATAACTAATTCAAAAATAACTTGATATAAATGGAAGAGTCAATTATTAAGATGATATTGTTGAATTAATGTGTTTATTATTGAATAATTAAATAAGCGATGTAATGAGAAATAATAAATAATGTAATTAGGGATGAGTAATATTCAATGAAGATGAGAATTTTGAGGAATATTTAATTTACTATATTTATAGATATATCGATATTTTAAAATAAGAACTATCTATCATCTGCTTCATTTTAAATTGTCTTATTAAGTTTAATTACTAGATTATTGGAAGGTTTACTTATTATTGGTTTCAACATTATCAAAATTAAGGCTGGATCCAATTTATATTCCTTTCTCTTGGAATTCTTCTACATGTTGTACTGGCAAGTCAGCTTGATTTTAAGGTCTGCCTTATAAATTTTCTGTCAAAAGAAAGAAATCTGATCTGGATTTGACATCTCGAAATAGAAAACCATTCTCCAACTTTTGAATAAATCGCTAATTAATTTAAATGGCTATATTCTACTTGACTAGGCCTAAAGATCATGAAATTGAAGTAATTAGCCTCAATATATGCTAGGATAAGAGCTGCGATAGGATCAAAGCTTTGACTCATTAAGAATCCTATTAGCACAAGAAGGAATGGGATGATTTTGGCAGGAAGGTCACAAGGAAAGAAGAAAAGTCTTCGCAATTAGTTTGGTTCAGCAAAGCATCTAGGGGAATATTGATGATTGATACTATAAACTAAGGTAAACCAAATACACATTCCACAATCCTTTTGAAGGTATGTTATTGTTCTATATGATCAAGGACAAGATTAAGTATATGACCTAATTAGAGAGAAGAAATTACTTGAATCAGGAAACTTTTAAAAAAGAAATCAAGTATGAATACAACTGTGCCAATTCTCTTTTCTAGATCTGAAAGACTCATGCAAATGAATAAGGGCATTAGGATAGCTCCAAATAAAGCTATGAGCGATATATTATTGTATTACATTCTATGAATTGCGTAAAGAACAATCTCCATAATTGGAAGTCTTGAAAAACTTTGATTGGAATATCTATAAACTATTTTGCAAAGAACCCATCAAACAAAACATTAATGAAAAAGACAATTAGAGTTATTATAGTCAATAATTTGATGCCAAAGGGAATTTCATTGATGAAGCCCTGAATTGTTTATTGTCCTTATGGTGAATTTCGAATGTTCATGATAAGGGTTGTATTTAATTAAAATTAATATATGTAATAGTTTTATATACTTGAATATAAAATAACATTACATAATTAATCAGTTCTCCTTCCAAAATTAATAAATTTTATTTTTCATGCAATCTATTCAAAGCAATAGCAATACAATACAACCCACTATGGGAAGAGATAGATACGGGCACTCTCTATCAGTGGCATTGCCAATATCACCCGTTAAGAAAATGGACATAGCAAATGTGACTTTAAGAAAATATGATCGTTATACAGGGAATACAGAAACTATTGCATGGGAGAAACATTTGCTATGCGAATTAGGAGTAAGCGATTGTTCCATTGTTTAAGGATGAAGATTTGAATTTCATAAAAGATTTTTACTTGGATGAGAAATCATACAACAATGAAGAGTTTTACTTCAGGTACATCGATTCAATCAGAAGTAAATACTTGGCTGGAGCAAAGGAAGCTTACACATTAGCAAAAGACATCTGCAAATAATTGGTTGCAGAAGATCTAATTAAGACTTAGAGATTAATGAAGAACCGAAAACAAGTGACTCAAAGAATTAGATAAACATTAGGCACCTTTAAGCAGACTAAGAATGAGGATATTTTGAGATGGGTACTCATTCCTTTAATTAAAATAGAAAACTGGAATAAAAAAGTTATTTCATGAGATGAGAGATGCAATCTAACATATTCTAGATGCAGGAGGAGAAAAGGAATTCTTCAGATTGGAAGAACTAATAAAATAAAAGCAACACATAACAGAGGATTTTCTGAAGGCACTTCCAAATAGAAACATTTAAGAAATCAATTAATATTTGCAATCAATTAGGTTATTTGTGTCAAAGAAAACAGATGAATTTTAATAACATAAGTTAGAACATGGAGATAATTTTCACTTTGATGAAAAAACTATAAGGGAAATGTCGAGATCTTCTTAGGATGATACTGCTTCATGTTATTCAGATAAATTAACTGAAATTAGAGCCCATTCTAAGAGAGAGAAATAGAAGGAAGCCGAAAGAAAGATAGAAAAATTCTATGATCTAAATTAATTAAAAAATAAATGGAAGACTACTAATGTTGACTAATTGAAAGGAACAATCAGAAGAGTTTTGGTTAAAGAAACATTATCTGAAGCTGAACATATTCGTGCAAGGGCCTACAGATTGGAATAGGAAAAGAAAGGAATTTAGATCTTAAAGGTAGAATAACCAAAGAGGAGTAAATAAACAGCTTAATAAAGAATATAGAGTAGGTAGGAAAGAAAAGATAAAAGATCAGTTGCAGAATAATAAAAGAGACATACATTAACTAGGGAAGAAATGAAGACAGAGCAATTGAAACAAGAGTTTTTTACAAAGTACAATCCAAAGTCTAGCATTGGAGAACAATTTAGTGTTGCTGTTGGGTATAATAATTTATTTTGATTCATAATCACATAACTATTAAAATGTCACAAAATTTATAACCTATATTCATTCTAATTTTAATATCTAATAAGTTGTTTTTCCAATAGAAACTGTATTTAAATTGCAATATTTTTTACTGAATAATATTTTAACTAATAAGTAAGTAATGCTAATTTTAAAAGCTAAATTATGATTATTAATGCAATAAAAATGTAAGGAATTATATTCCTGAAATAAATCACTTTTGAAAAGAATACTACCTTATATTGAACATTATAACTAATCTAATTATTAAATTGTATTAGAAATCAGAAAATAACAAAATAAAAAATTATAATATTGATTTTATTAAATACATAAATTAAATATCATAAATTGCCATAAAATAATACATACCTGAAATGTTATCATAATATAAATTACTTCAAATTATAAGAACAAGTTATTTATGGAATTATTCAAATATTGAGTAAGCATACTCTAACTCTTATGTCTTACAAAGATTTGCAGTGTAATTGAATATCTACGTAATCTCCAAATCACATTCCTTTTCAGAAAGCAAAGACGAAGATATCAATCATCCAATACTATTAATACTAATTGATATTGAAGTTTATTACTTGTTTTATTTTAATTAAAATAATGTAATTAATCCAAAAAGAGTTTATTTAGCAATTTTATATAATACAATCAGTAATAATTGGATAGATATTTGAATAATATATGTTCATAGATTCAAGTTAGACAGTTCTGAATGTGCTAAAGGAAGGTTTAGGTTAATGAAATGAGTTCTGGAGATAGATTTATAGAATGAATTAGCTTATTTAATTCATCAAGTTTCTCATTAGGTTTGTAAGACAAAGATTCTTGTTCGATTTTTAAATCACAACTCCTAAGATATACATCTTAATTTACATTTTGCATATGTCTTATTATTTGTCTCTCAGGTGTTTGTAATACCTATTTTTTACCATGCTATATGATTTGTTAGGGAAGAATGGAGCTATTTTCATGAATTTGGGTCCTAATTCCTGGACTAATCTAAGGACTCGATCATCCTCATCTTTAGTAAATTAAGACATGGATTGACCTTTGCCTGACTGCTCCTTCTATTTATTTTTCTTTTTCTATTTTCGATTGATATTGTATTAAATCCTCTTTTACACAGTTTAAATGGTGTAATCTCTGTTGCCATAAAAACCATATTTTTTGAGTGACGAACTTCGTCTTTCTCTTTCCTGTTGAATCATAATATAAATAATAATCGAAAATAAATTTTGGATTTGAATGGTGCTCCAGAATTAAGATTATGTTTATTTAAGCCATCTAGAACACATTTTTAATTTATAAAAAATTACAATTAATCAAATTTATGTAGCATAACTTATCTCGAAAATAAAATATTAATAATAGTAGAAATAACTTGATTGTACCTTTTATACCATAATTTATAAAATACTCAATATTGTATATAAATTTAAATCCACATTTTTATTCTCCAAAAAGCAATAAACATTATTGAATTTACCATATGTAAAATATATTTTGATTTAAATTACTAGATTTTTCAGTAGAAAAAGTGATATTTCTATGACTAAATTTATGGAAAACTAACCAAATTTTCCTTTGATTCTAAATATGTCTATGTTTTAGAATTCGTTTAACAAACTAATAATTATCATATTCTTTGCAAGATTATATGGTAAGAATGTGTTATAAATTTGATATCATATGCTTAAACCAAATGTTTAAAGATGTTACTACTTGATTTCAATGGATAATTGAAAATTCAATATTTTAATAAATATAATGATTTTAATTAATCAAAAAGTTTAGATATCATTTATTAATTTATCAATAACTTTTTATAGGTTATTCTTTTTTATAGAGATATTGCTATTTAGTATGAAACTCTTGATACTATTGTTATTACTTAACTAAGTAAAATATTCTCTTTAGAATAGTCGTTTATCAAAAGTCAATACATTTAGAGGTCCTAAGGGTTCACTTTATTTTTAAACGTGTCCCCATAAGTGTTTGTACTTAAGCAGTGCATCTTTAAATCTAATAGGATGGAATTCTAAATTTTTAGGTTCTGCTAGTTTATCTAATTCGAAATCATCTTCACTGTCAGTATCAATTTACCCTATAGATTACTTTTATCGAATGTTGTATTCTATCATCCTTACAACAGCTTATCGAATTTTATTTTAAGTTGGCATAGGTTCACCATCCATGAATTTCTCATGGAAGGCTTTTGCTAATTGCTATTCTTTGGTGTAATAAAATATCTTTCCTATTTAATCGTAAGCATTTAACTCGTAATTGGACTCATTAAAAAATAATGTGTATTTGATGAGTTTTTTAGAATAATTTAAGGCCTTCCTGAAATCTTAAATCAAAAGAGAGAGCTCTACCAAGTGTTTATAAGCAATAATTTTGTAACGATAAACTCGATTTGAATTGCAAAAGACTAAGTATTTTTACCAAAGTAAGATCGCTTTTTCGTATTGAAACTGCTTTTCTAAAATGTAGGCATAAGTAAAGACGGCGACATTGTACAAATTTCCTATTTTAGATTGTCTTAGATATCTTAGATTGACATAATAAATCAATACTTCAGAACAAAAGTAAATCTTTCTTCTAAATCATTAATATCATTTAAATCGATTTGAGACAAAATTTTCAAAGATTATTATTTCCTATTGCCATATGGAGAGTTGTCATCATCATTGATTTTAAAGAATTTTTCATGATCCCTCAGAAAATTATAATCTTCTTGATAAATTGATTGCACTTTTTTTTCTTTCTTTTTTACTTAAGGTAGAGTTGTCTATGCCCAGTTCCCAACAGTTCCTACAGTTGATTCATCCACTTTCTTGAGTGATAACATTGAAGTCGCCCTGGTTGATCTACTAAATTAGGAATGCTTAGTCTTGGGATTGAATAAATTTATTTTCATAATAATAAAGTATTTGATATTGATCATTTTATATAGTAATTTTCTTCATCCCCTTTTTTCATTGCAGAACCCTACATTTTGGATGAGTTCATTCTTGATTACTACATAATTGATTAAGTTTTCATTGATTTATCAAGTCTTGTGATTTCTTAATTCTATTAACTGCTCAATTCCTTTCTGACATTCTAATACTTTTATAATAATCTATTCTTAAATTATAAATATACTTCTCCAATTCCTATGATCTAATCTTTCGTTGTTCCTCTTATCCTGAAAGAATCCTTTACTATAAAGCATTGAGTTCTGTGCTTTGTTTTTGTTTAAGTTAAAGAATCAGATTTTTGATCTTACATGATCTTTATTAATTCCATCTTTCATATTCATCTCTCTCCATTGACAAAATCCTTTATTAAGTGACATGAGCCTCTTGGTAACTAATTTAATGTATTACATTTATACTTTTCTTATCTTGCCAAAGATTCCTCGGTCTTTCTTAAACTAAGTAGTTCTGCTGAATCTTTTGGTTTAACAGGAATTGAGTTTTCCAATTCATCTGTGAATTGATTCAACTCTTCATCATGTCTTTAAAGAACCTATTCCTTCACTCTTTAGGCCTCTTAATCAAATTCAGCCATTTTTTGATCCCAGAATTCGTTAAATTGATTAAATTCTTCAAGATGGGCCTTCTCAATTTCTTATTTTTCATTGGTATGTCTATCCTTGACTTCAATCTTATTTTTTGAATCCAAATCTTTTTTTAATTCCCCCAATCTTTTTTTTGCTTAATCTGCTTCCAAATATTTTCCTGCCTTCTCACAACTCTTTTAATGATCATACAATATTTATCTAATTATATAGTTTATCCAATCATTACATATATTCTTCCAAGTCTCCAGTTTAAATTGGAAGATTATTTGTTCCTTTTCTGACTGTTGATCTTGAATTATTCATAAATTTATTTTTTTTTTCTGTTAAATTATAAATTCTGGAGCAATTATATAAGTCCAAAAATCAAAATCCTATTTTTTAATTCTTACATAAACCAATTCATTAAAGTATTAATAATTGAAAACCTTACCTAATAATTAAATGAAGTTTGAAAACAATGACTCATAAGTGTAATCTTTGTGTTGATACGATGGATACAATATTTTTTCAATTGATCAAAATTACGATTATATGTTTATAAATAATTGCTTTAAAAATAAAATATGTATTATAGTAACAGCTAAAATTCACTAATAAAATAGAGTCATTTCGGAGAGATAGTAACAAAAACACCTCTTAACAAATAAAATAGAGACTAGGATCAATCCACTATTTCTAAATATTAATCCCCTACACTCAGGCAGGCTATGTCACCCAAGGCAGCAAGAGAATATCTGAATAACCTAAGAACATTCATCTGTCATTATGAAGCAAAACCAACTGTCGAGAGAATACCTGCATAATCACTCCATGAAATCATGTAATAACAGCCATATTTGTATTTCCCAGTAGCAAATAGATTGAATGATCACTTTAAATTGATGACTCCACATAAAATTGAAGTAAGGAAAATGAATGAAGATGGTACAATTCATTCATTGAGATATTACTACTTAAAATAAGCAGCTTTGGGTAGTTCAAATGACATTCCACAATCATAACAAATAATGATCGTAGGATAAAAACAGAGTGGCAAGAAGCAGTTATTCCAAGAACTAATCAAACGGATAATGCCCAAATAATTCAAACTATAATTGTAAACAGAATCAGGGGAGAAGACCATCAATCTGCAATTGAATGATGATATAAAATAAACTATTAAAAGTATACTAGCAGGACTAAAGCATTATTAATTAATTGCTTAAGGGGAACAACACATGATTGCTTGCAGGGGTTTGGAGGGATTCAAGAGGGACAAGAAAGACAAGGGAATACTAATTATGTGTGTGAAACCAGGAAAATAGGAAAAATCTGATTGCATCAAGACTATCAAATTGTTAGAGGAAATTTACAAAAATTGATTATTAATGTAATAATTATATCAATTAAAATGGGTACTTGTTAGTTAAAAAATTGCAGATGCGTATGCTAGTAGAATAGATTGGCATGCCAATGTGGAAGTCAAAATACTATTTTACTTGAGGAACAAGCAAGGGAAATCCGCAGAAGGATAAGTTAAGATCAGATGGTAAAATAGTTTTAAGTATGTAGAAAAGATCAAATAGATTTTCAAATAGCAAAAGCAAAACAGGATCTCCAGCACAATCCAATTCGAGTGACTCGCAAAATAAAACCAAATTCTCTACTAATCGAAAAGCATCAAATCGATCACCCAACTCAACTGAAAGGTATTTGATCTCTGAAGAATGTAACATTCCAACTGAAAGTAGCCAAATACGGAAAATAAGAAAACCCAAAATTAGAAATATAAAATTTAATCGAAGCTTGACCTACTTTAGTTAAGAAATCGTTGTCTTCAAATTTCAAGAAACAATTGATTAACCATTAAGTTAGAAGGAAATCAAAATGGATTCCCCTTAATTTCAAACACTTAAACATAATACTATAGAAAATAAATAAACACTAGATCAAATTTAATCCATTAACGACCCCACAATAACCATGAAAACACCCACAACAACTGGTGCTGAATTGTCCAACAATGCGACATCATCAGCTCCATTCTTGATTCAATAACCATCCATTTCTAGAGAAAGTTCCCCATCTAAATTATCACATCCTGTAACTTAAGTAAGCATGGAACCAAATCTGAATAAATAATCCTTGTCTGTACTAACAGATTAGTAACTAAAAAATAGATCACACACAGCTGATTTGTCAGATGACTAAAAAAGTGTCACTCCCAGAAGTGTTTTAAAATAACAATAAAAGAATAATGATTCTTTTCGAACTTAACAACAAGAAAAACGCAAAGTTAGATTTGATCTTCCTAACTCACACTACATTAAGGAAAGAATAAAATAATAATAAAGATTTTTCAATTGAATGACATTGTTATTAAGTATATGTAAATTAAATTTGAAGTTCTTAGATAATAACTAAATATAAACAAAATTTCATACTTTTTTCTCAAATTACTATTTATACATCAGGAAACCTACATTTATTTATAATAAAACTACTAATATTATTTTATGTTAATTATTTTGGGGTTGCAATATTTTATCGAAAATTCGTAAATTAGTCATGTTCCTCAACTTAAAGATTTCTAATCCTATTCGAATCCTTTATTATAAATATATAATACAAGATCAGTTAATTCTGTTTGGAGCTTTTCGCTTTAAAATTCTATGTTTGATAATCCACTAATTGTTTTTGCTTATTGATCCTATTATGTATCCAATTTCATCATGCTATCGTCTTCTATAGTTCTTTATGTGACCTATGTTTAAAGAGTAGGTTGAGTTTGTTTCTTTTTTATGATCTTAATCTTTTTCAAAGATCCAAAAATTTTACCTAACTAATCCTCAGGTTTCTCAAATTTAGTGCTTTCAAAGGCCTAGATACAAACATTCTTTGTATAGGATTTCTTGGAATAATCAGATTTCTTTACTGAGTCCATTTGTACTAAGAATTCATCAGATTTAATTGAATTTGGAGACATTTCTGGTTCTTTTGGACCAATTTCAATTTTATTTAATTAATTTGCTATAATTTTAAGTTGTTATTCATCAGACGTCTGCTTTTCTGAATCTACAAATCTGAAATTGATTTAGGAATTTGATAATCGGGATTCTTGGTTTGTGTCATCATAATTATAACGATTTTCAAATTAAGGAGTTGGTTATTTGATATTAGGTGAATTCTATTGAGAAAATAACTATTATTTTAAAGGATCCCTGGGAGTTTTGCATGGTTGGAAGATAATATTTGCATTATAATAATGATTAATATTATTATTTTCTTTATCTTAATTCCTTAATTTTGTAGCTATTAACGGCTATCTGTTGGTTGGTGACATTCCTTTAGGTGGATAGATAATTGCTTTTGGTTATTAGTATTTCTATTGATCAATGCACTTGAATTATTTCATATATTTTTATTCATTTGGACTGAATTGTGGATTAGCAACTGCACATTTTCTTCCTTGAGGAGATCTACTATAACATTGTTGCTAATAAACAGAGACGACTCTTTTAGTCTAATATTGCATGTAATTTGCAAATTAATTCATTATGTTTTAACGGTTATAATATAATTATTAATTAATCAATACTCATCCATAATATTGCCAAGTTCTAATAAGAGATCTTTAACATCAACGTTGAGCTACTCTTATGCCTCTTCATTATCAAATTCTGGGATTTCAGGTTGCTCATTCTCAGTAATTGTTTTATTCTGCTAATCATTTAAATATTGCACCTAAAATATACAACTTATTCTTTACTTCTTCTAGGAGAATGTCATCAATTAATGCATCAAATATTTCCTTAAAATACACATTATACATATTCAACATAGGAGTTGCCAATTTGCTGATCAGATTAGTATTACGACACATCTCCTTTGTAGGATAATATGTTTTCTTAGTTTATTGCTGAATTTACTCTACTTCTCTTTGCAATTATTTCAATTCTTTTATATGATTTTTATATTCCTTTTTATCTATTTAATTCTATGCATTTATGACTCCACATATATGTAAATATCGATTCTTCTCTTTTTCTTTCTTTGACATCTCTTCCTCCATGGGTTAGAGTATAAATTCTTGATAATATTGTTATCTGGCATCTTCAGTATTAATAGGGAGTTGAGATTGCTCTTAGAAAATTGTATTGAATTGATGCGGAGGCAATTATTTCTTTTCTTCAAATTAATAATATTTGACTTTATCCATTAATTGTCGATGTTAAGCTTTTGCTACTGAAATAAAAGGGAGCTAAGTAGTTTTAGTGTAATTAAAGGAGCTCATTTGTTCTAGATATTTTGTTTTTGTTTATACGTAATCATAGGGATGAGGTTCAATTTATTTCAATTCTTCTGTTGTAAATAAAATAGACATAATAATAATAATAATATTACAGATTGAAAATCAATTAGTATTGAAATTGTTTCATTCCATTTATCCTTTAAGTTTAACAGATTTCATTCTCCTTTTTTACAAGCGTTACTACACTTAGTCTTCCTATTCTTACAGAGCTCTAAGATAATAAAAAATAATCACTTGTTATGTATTCTTGTTACACGTTAAGACTCATATCCATGATATTCTAATAATTGATTAACTTGCAATTTTTGATCTTGCTCTTTTATATATTTGAGTTGGTTTTCAACTTCCTATTATTTCTGGGATTTCTATGCAATCACTAATTTTGTCGATGGAGGTAAGGGAGGAATTTTCTCTGGATTTTCAGGATGTGATGTCCTTTTGAGTGCTGTTTCATGTTTCAATTCTTCATATGCAACATTCATGCACTAATTAACTGTTCCTTTCATTAATAATTGCTAAGTCTTATTCTTAAAAATCAAAAACTTATTGCTTTTAATTGATTCAAAGTATTCCACACCAATCTACATTATATGATGCTAAATTACTCGGTACAATTCCAATAATTGATTCACAACTTCAATAGTAACATTATTGCATTCAACTTCCATTTCTAAAAATAATATATTCTCAGCAAAAAAGGGTGGTAAGTTTTTGGAATGCTCCCAAAATAAAGATTTAGCATTCTCCTTTGTTTGTCTCTCTTTGGATCCATTTCTTGAACTCATCTATTTTAATTATATGTATAATTTCTTATTGTAAAATATTGAATTAAAATATATTATTGATCCATAACTAAAATCCAATGTAAACGTTATTTTCAGTCAAATTCTGCTTCTAAATAGTTCTATATTTATTCTATAATAAGAATATTGGCTTAAGAATAGGTCATATTTGAAACAAATCATTAATTATTATTCATATATAGAATAATAAACAATAAACAATAAATATTCTAGAATTATCTCCTCATTCTGCTTTGCAACAAGAACAAAGTAATCCCCAAGTGCTCTTTTTATTCTCAGGCTTTTTTTAAATCATAGAATGCTTCTGAGGTGTCAATGAAAGAAATATTTTATTGAAACATTTCTACACATTCTCTCCTGTCTTAGCTGATACAAAGAAAACTGGATATTTTGAAGATAAATCAGAGATTTAACTAAAATTTTGAATGTCAATTTTATTTCCTACTAGAAAAGTTGGTATTGTTCTTAATTCATTTTCTATTAAATGACACCAACTCGTTATTTGTTCCTAGTACTTGTCCTATGATGCATCAAAGCAAATGATTGCTGCATCAATTTGACTTAAAACTCTATTCAAAACTAGTCTATAGGCTTCACATCCACTAGTATCATAAAGTTTAAATGTATAGTTGATATTTTTGAAATCTAACATTCTTTGATAAAAATCAATTCCGACAGTTTCTTGTGTTTCGTATAAAAACTCTTCTCCCTTTAAACTTCTCACCAGTGATGACTTCCCACTCCTGGAATCACCTATCAAGGCTACCTTAAATTGTTTATTCATGGTTTTATTTTTTTAAGTGATAAAATTGAGAATTTAAAAACGATTTAAATATATCATAATCCACACTATTAATATAACTACTCAACTTTATATTTATATTTATTATTTATTGGAGGCGTATTATTATTTCATTGTGTTTTGTTCAAATATTCACCTATTGATACACACTATGGCTCTTAGTTTATTGAAATGGCAACACGTCATATATTGCAAAATATCATTTTAATTCTATATTACTTAAATTTAAAATTCATTTGAATCTGAAAATAATTTTTGAAATTGAATAATAATTCCTTCATCAAAATGGTCATCCATGACTTAAATGGTGCCAATGGAATTATGCACTTTATGTTGGGATTAATAAATTTTAATTGTGGCTAGATAGAATTTCAATTAGGAATTTGTTATAATGGTAAAATATTTCTTCTTCTTTCTTTTATAATATGATTATTGATAGAGATTTGCAGTATTGTGTTGATAAAATAATATAAATAATTTATAAAATAAATTCGTAATGTCTTTTAGAATTTAGGTCACAGATCCTGTGAAGGATAAAATTTCAATTTTGGAAGTAGAATAAACACTCACTGTACTGGACTTGAAGGCATTAATAGAAGTTGAGGTATTTTTTAGGCTATTCTAAGTTCTAAATAGCAGTAGCCAGATAATAATTGATTTACGGAGGAAGAGTCATGATAGACAATGATACTCTCTCAAAGTATAATATGCAAAATGAAGATTTGGTTCTTATTGAAAGGAAATAAAAATAATAAAGGACACCATTGGAATAAGAAGCCATCAAATTAATCAAGCATTGCCAATAGAATCCTCATTTGATTGAGGGAATGAGAATCAAGGATCCAAAATTGGCAGAATCAATTGAAAATAAAAAATTAGCAGGTGTAATAGAGTTTATTTAGCAATAAGTATTAGTCTCATTCATTTAGAAATAAAAAAAATTCTAAGAATAGTAAGAATACAAACGAAAGATGTAGTAATTAGAGTAGGATCCCCTCAACCCTGAAAATTAAAAACTTATTGAGGAGATGATTAACAAAAAAAATATTGAAGAGAATCGAGAATATGCTTAAGAGTTCATTCCTGAAAGTTTTGGAACTGTTACTATGTTATATATTGAATTGTCAATTAATCGTCATCCTGTTTAGGCTTTTGTTGATAGTGGAGCACAGAGTACCATAATGTCAAAAGCATGTGCAGAGAGATGTGGAATAATGAGATTGGTAGACACACGTTTCTAAGGTATAGCCTAAGGAGTAGGGACATAAAAAATTATTGGAAGAATTCATGTTGTGGAAATGCAAATATTAGATCAAGTAATCTATTTAACTAAACATTAGTTTTTACCATGCTCATTAACGATTTTAGATGGAGATGGCATCGATTTTTTGTTTGGATTAGATATGCTTAAAAGATATTAAGTAATTTTCCAACTTAAACAATTAGTGCAATATAAATTTAAAAGATAATTGCTTGATATTTCCAAATGAAAAGTTGAGCGTACAATTTCTTCCAGAAGGTTAGATTCATCGAAGAATAAGCATATAATAAGAATAAGAAATCTTAAAAAGACAAAACAGCGAATCTTAAATAGAAGAAGAATAGCCTATTAAAATTTCAAATTAACCATAATAATAATAATAATAATAACAATAATAATAATAATAGCAACCCAATACTCATACTAGACATCCAGAATCTTATATACAAGCAATAATTAATATTGGAGCTTCAAGAGCTGAGGCTATAATTGTATTAGATTAGACAAATGGTAATTTAGAATTAGCAGCATCTATAATAATGTAGTAAAAATATGGTTTTAATTGATAAGTTCATCGTAATTATGCTTCAATTATATTTAACTATGCTTTTAGATCTGCAATTTGTTTTGCATAATTTCTTGCCACAGCTAACATTTACTCCTCTAGTATTTCTGCTTTATTTTCTGCTTGTTATATTTCCAATTAAAGAATCACATTATCAGAAGTGCCTGATGATTTTGGACGAAACGATTGTTATATTGGCATCTATCTAGTCTCTGCTAATCCTTCTTGCAACAATTCAATCTCTTTTAATAGCATCTCTGCTCTTTTTTAAAATTTACTCACTATTATTGGATTATCTCTGAAAAATTCATCGTTTTTGAATTGCTCAAAGAAAGATCTTGGTATTTCTCCCTTGTTCATCTCCGATATATGCTATAACTAAACTTATTTCTATTTAAGTAATTGTTGATCGGCCCTTAACTTATCTAAATTGTAGAATAATTATTGTTTATCTAACCTAGTCAAATTTTTTGAAGTTTCCTTGATTGTATCCTATAAACTTAGAATGATATTTTCTTAATTTTCCATAGTTTCCTTCAAATTAGTTAGAATAGGCCTTTGATCCTCCAATCTTTTTATGAGAAAGTCTTGTTCTTGAATGGTTTCTTTAAGCGTTTACAGTTCCTAAGTTTTAGTCTTTGCTTCTGTGTGAGCACTTTCTATTTAGTAATAGTGATTTGATAATTCGTGATAAATTCTACGCTCAAATTCTAGTTTATTCATTAGTAAAACTAGTTTCTTCTTTAAAATATCTTACCCATAATCGGTATTGCATAATAAATCGATCTAAATGTGCAATTCTTTAACATCATTTTTCTGGTTTACAATTTTTTAGAAGTAATTGTTTTCCTCTTCGATTTGATCTTTCTATTATCTTAGAGTTGCCAAATCAAACGATATTTACTTATGAGCAGTTCGTATAAAATTGAGTTTCTTTTGTATAGGCTCCATAGACAAATTCAAACTTGTGAGTTTTAGTTCAACTCTTTGCAATTTTCTCCTGATTACAGCTTCATCTTTTTCAAACGGATCATAATAAATTTCTTCTATCCTCTCAACATCATCTTCTACTTAAGCTTTAAGATCATGAGATTGATGTCTAAGTAAAATAGAAATTCTTCCTTTCTCTTTCCTTTGATCTTCTGGATCATAAAGAAGAGATTCATGTTACAACTAGCCTTCAATCCGAAGGACTTCTAATAGTTTCACTGTAAGGACCAATTGCATAGTTCCAAAAAGGATTGAATGCTCAAGTAACTTTCGTTATTCCTAAGGTTCAGAAGTTAATCTGGTGTTGAAACAACCTACTTTGAGAGTCACTCTATCTCCATATGAAAGATTGGTGAATTGAAAAACATTCTTTCTAAATTAGGGATGAGCATTTGTAAACTGAACCTCACTTCTAAACTTTTAAGTCTTCTTTTCTTTTGAAGTGTACTGCAACTCATCGATTTAAACAACCATAAAAAAATTGCCTTAAGTTACCAAAACACAATTTTAAATGATAACCTTTAAATCCATATTATATTATAATATAATATAATTAATATTCAATAACTAAAACAAAAAGAGAAGAGGAAATTGAAATCAAAAATACTCATATTTAATAAGAAGCAGCTCATTCATGTAATAAAAACATCATGTTTATTTCTTAAGAAATACATAATTTTGAAGAGTTAACAAATTTTTCAAATTGAAAATCATATAATATTTATACCTATTCTGTTTTTCTTAATAATACTGACAACAAAATTAATTATTAAATACATAAAAAGCGATTTATTTGGTTTACAATTGATGCTTTTACATTTGCTATTTATAATTAAAATTGAAACCATTTTCTCACTATTAAAAGTACTATATTATCCTTAAAAGAGGAAAGTGTTCCACTTCCAAAAAAATGATTAACTTAATAGTTTCTTAACCACCAGCTTAAGACTTATCTTTGAAGAAAAGCAGTTTTTAAGCAATTTGAATGGGGAAACTATATAATCATTTATAGTTAATGATTATTTGAAACTTAGAAAAACGTTTATATCAATTAGAAAAAATAAATAGATTGATCTTAGGTTTTTATATTTAAAGAGACAATATTTTCTATATTGTCCTTATTATCTTATCTTATCATATCTTTTCTTTATTACAATTAAGTGAGAAAATTCTCTAATTCGAAAAATAACATTTATCAAATATGATTTTAATGATAATGAACAAATATCCATAATAAAACAACTATTAGTTTAAGTCCTCTAGTTGTGAGATAAGATACATTAACAAATCAATTATTATATATAAATTCTAAGGTTTTTTATATTATTGTTTTAATTAGTTGTAAACCTAATAAGCATTTTTGTTTTAAGATGAAAAGTTTTATAAATTAAATTTACAATTTTTTCGTTTTGGATGTTGAGCGTAGTTTTTTTTTTAATGATCTGTCGAATTAGCATCGGTTCAATGTAATTAGCCTATTCGGCTTTTACAGAGAACACTTTTTCATCAAATCAAGGTTTGCAATCTGTTTTCTAATCATTTAGGTTGGAGTGTAATTGGAGGGAGCGAAGGATATGATTTGAGAGACGGTTAATCCATTTTTGGTGGGAATAATTTTTTTGGAGGTGGGGTTTCTATTTATAAGTTAATTCTGATATCAGCTTCTCATCACACAGTGAAATTAAAGTTGAAGATTTGGGCGTAAAACATATAATAATTTAGAATAAATGCTTGGGATAATGAAGTGATTCAAACAAAAATAAATGGAGAAATCATTGACGAACAGACCGTAAGTTCAAATTTAGAAAATTCATTTGGGCAATATTTATATTAAGAAATAATTGTTTCTCATATCTAAAGGTCATTAATTTTGGAAATCACATCTACTTTATAAGCTCCATCTGCATAAGTATTTAACTTTATTAGAATAGAAATACTGGGGAATCAGAGATATTTATCTTTATACTTACAACTGTCCAGTAGGATGCTATTTTTGTACCTACCTCGACGTTGATGCTTCACAATGCAAACCGTATATTTTAAAGATGAGCTATTTTACAAGCTTTAGTTTCTATTCTAACGAAGGTTGGATGGTTACTAATCAGTAGATAAGTGAAAACGTGTGCGATTGTAACTAATCAATTATATTTGACAGAGATATCAACTTTTGGAAAATATTCAACAGGAACTACATTAACTAGACAGTATTTTCTTGGTCCTCATTATTAACTGAGAATAACGTTTCAGTTTTGGAAGTTTGATGCACTACAAAATTCCTAGTATTAATTACAGTTGGATAACTCTGTTATTTGGTTGGATTCTCAAAAAAAATATTAGACGATTTCCCTTTGTGGAAGTAGTACAAAACCAGAGCAATATTATGATGTTGATATAACAGTCAATCACACTAATCAATATTTAACGTTTTAGTTTTTGAGTGATATAATATCACCAACCGATTCAATTGGAATCAGGGAGTTTAATGTATATATGTTAGCATGTGTATCACCATGCGCCTTGTGCGCTCCAGGATTAGGTTCAACTTGTATCACAGGAGTCACACAGACATAGAGTGAAATAGAAAACGATTTAACATTGAATTCTTTTGCAAGTCAATCATCTTGGGGAAGTTATGTTCCTTCAGATGCTACTGGGTAAATCTCGAAATCCTTCTTGACTGATTCTTATTTCCTTAATATGAATTACCTCTCGTTATACAATCTCTTATACAAAGACTTCGTTTTGGAAGATCATGAGAAGATCAAGATTATTTTCTAAGTTTACTCTTCTGGTCCCGAACAGAATATCAATTTGAAAATCGATGAAGATTATGATGAAATTGTCTAAATAGGTTAAGATAATCCGACTACTTCTGGTAGTTGCACAACTAGTTTACAATATGATGTTGAAGATTACTCATACTTCGAATACACATTTGATCACACAGCTAATTTTGTGAGAGTTTAGTTTGAATCAATACCTTATAGTTCTGGTAACTATAAATATGGATTTAATTAATTCAAGATCTACTAAATCAGCCAGGATTGTTCTACTACTCCCTGCACGCAAATTGAAAAATTAGTTAATTCCAATTTTTTTACTACAACATTTTCAGATCCAAAAAATTGGCAATTATTGTCTTACTCACCAATTGCAGTAACTACATGTGATTCAAAGAGTGTGGCTGGAGGGATTAACATAGGAAACAAAAACATTTTCTTATAAAAGCGCGTGTCCCTCACCTAAAGTCATTCAATCTTGAGACTGTAATTAAGTGTTTACTTCTTGGAAGCTTGGGTTCCCACTAAATCCCTACGAATTTTGGCTGACAAAGTCATTATTTGGGATTAAAGTGTAGATTATCATACTAACCTTTAAAACCTATGTTCTTCCAACGCCTCTTACAAGGATTAAATAGTTACTGTGGATGTAACATTCACGCATAATAAAGGTTCAGTAACCTTTTAAATTGTTATTTAAAATGGAGATGGCAGTGGTAATTTGTTTAGTAAATTTAGAATACTTTGCAATTAGGGATTATCATTTATATTACAGTTCCTGATTTAAGATAATACATGCATTAATAAAATATATCAAATTTTTTAACTAAGTAAGATATTAATAAATTCTTTTTCTGTTATAAATTCTTGAGCATTGCATTCTTCAAGAATCTATTCCCACAATTCCTGATCCAGAGTCCCTATCATCAGTTCTAATTCCTATTTAGAGATCTTGCCATCATCATTCGCATCGAACACTTTAAATGCAGCCTTAACCTTCTACAAAGAAACCAGTTTCTCCTAATTCATAGCTGCCATCAAAAACTCTAAATGTAGATGAATTTTAAAAACCTGAAAAATCAACCTAACCACTTTGATTCAAGTCTATCAATTGAAGAATCTTGATAACTTCTTACTCTGCTTTCTCCCTGTCTTAATAGATTGTATTGTATCCTTCAATCAACTCCTCCTTTGACAATATTCCATCATTATTTTTATCGAGACTTTAGAATGTTTTTAACAATTCATCTTGTTCTAATTGATTTGTCATTTAACAAGCTATATACGACAAAACTGCTTAAGAGAATATTGATTTAGCCTAAGTAGAATTTTGGAAAGTACTTAAAATTTTTGGAGATTTTGGAGAACCCTCAAATTGACATTGTTATTGATGATCGTTTATGAACAATGTTTCAATATCCAAGGATCATTCAATGCCTGCTTGGCTGATATCCTAAAACTCGGATTGATATGCAACATTCTGTTAATGAGATTTTTGGCTTCTTTCGATATTTAACTCCAATCATCAGCTGCACTTAATATAAAAATGAGGAAATTACCATCATATTCAAATTTTCCTTCACCAACCTTCTTCATAATTTCCTTCTCGGTTTTCCCTGTAAATGGTGGGTATCCACATAACAAAATGTACAGAATCACTCCGCACGACCAAATATCACATTTTTCATTATAATCCTACTTTAATACTTCTGGGGCAATATAATAGGGCTAAAAGGATATTATCAAATAAATTCTTACAGTTCCAAGTTTCTTAGTCATCTTTTTAGAAGGGTCGTATTTTCTGGACGTTCCAAAATCAATAATTTTTAATGGCGAAGTTGAGGAATCATTAACGAATAAAATGTTCTCAGGTTTCAAATCTCTATGCACAATCTTCTGTTCATGACAATACATCACAGCAGAGAGGATCTGTCGCATGTACTCTGCAGCTTTCTTCTCATTAAATATGGTCATTGCCTTGATTCTCTCAAAAAGTTCTCCTCCACTCAAGTACTCTGTGATTAAGTAGTAATTCTGGGCATCTTGGTATAATTCATAGAGTTTCACAATATGAGGATGATCCAAATTTTTGAGGATATTCATTTCAGCGAACAACCTTTACTATTCTTCATGTATTAATGAAGATTTCTTGATTTGCTTCATGGCTCTTATTAACCCTATTTTAATAATGAGTTGGAGTTCATACCTGTGGTTTTGTGAGTAACTTTCCATACTTTTCCATAAGCTCCTGATCCTAATGTCGATCCAGTTGAATAAAATTTACCAATACTCCCCTATTTTAAACTGACAAAAACATCAGCTCCCAATTTGACAGTGCCAATAGAAGTCACTGTCTTTCTCTTAATCGGAGTGGATTGAGACGGATTCGAATGGCAACCTTCTTGAATTTATTAATCTGAAGAATTCCCTAAATAATTGTTTGACTTGGGATCTTGAGTCACAGTCAATTGGGAGACACCAATTTGTTGTTTCTCCTTCTCGACTTGACTTGCATTTTCGCTTATGAGTGGAAGTCCCATGTAATTTTCCTTCTTTAACTCCAATATTTCATCATTATTGCATTGCATTTGATTAGTGAATGGAAGACTATGAATCGATTGTTTGAACAAAGAACTATTTTTGATACTGTCATTGACTATCTCATTGTTGAGAGATCTAGTTTATCCATTACAGCATTATGAGCCCATAATACGGAATAAATTTAATTAAAAATCAACTATTATTTCTGAAGTTTATTGAGATCTTTCAATCAATTAAATTGAATATAGCAAAAATACAGAAAATTTCAAATGTAAATTTTTAGTAATATATATGCACAAGAATTCGTAAAGATAGGGAATAAATTTGCAGGTTTTTGGAGTTCTTAGTGGGGGAGATCTGTGAATATCGAAAATCTGGAGTGGAAAATACTAGGAATAGAAATTATCCAAATTGTAAATGTCAATTTATTGAATGAATGGATCAAAATATGTGATTGATTTTAATATTCATTATTTTGAAGAAATAGCCAATTAAATTAATTTATAATTGTAAATTTGATATTTAGCAGAATTCAATTTGAAAGTGATAATAAATAATAAAATGGCAAAAGGAGGAAAGAGCAGAAGTTAAAGCAAATCAGGAAAAAGTAAATTCAATTGATATATAATTTATTAGAAAGTGGATCAGCCACAAAAAAAATTAAAAAATAAGCTCCAGCAGCCTCACCTGCAAAGGTTGATATTGCAGCACCTGCACCAAAGACTCCAGTTGCATCTGCAAAGAAGGATTCTGCAAAAAAATCTACTCAAAAGAGTACATAAAAAAGCACTTAGAAATCAGTAAAGAAGAGTGCAGTTAAGAACTCAAACAAGAAAGGCAGTGCTTAAAAAGGAAAGAGTGGAAACAAAGCATGATGATTATTAATATATATATTAAATAATTATAAATGTCACTTAAAGATTTCAAGATTATGTCAAAATTAGGTTTAGTTTACTTATATAATAGGTGAGGGAGCATACTCAACAGTGTATAAAGTGAGAAGAATTGAGGACAACGCAGAATATGCCTTGAAAAAGGTTAACCTAACAAACTTGAGTGATAAGGAGAAATAAAATGCTTTAAATGAAGTTAGAATATTGGCTTCTATTAAACACCCATTTATAATTAGCTACAAAGAAGCATTCATTGATGTCAATAGCAATTCATTATGGTAATGATATTTAATAATTATGTAACAGTATTGTTATGGAACTTGCTGATAATGGAGACCTGTTCTAGCAAATTTAGAAATGTATCAAATCAAATACAATTATGCCTGAAAATGACATTATGAAAATTACTTTTCAAATTGCTAGTGGTTTAAAAGCATTGCATGATTTAAAAATATTCCATAGAGACTTAAAAAGTGCAAATGTTTTTTTGTAATCAAACGGAGATGTGAAACTGGGAGACATGAATGTTTCAAAGGTAGCTAAAAAGGGATTGCTTTACACATAAACAGGAACACCCTATTATGCAAGTCCTGAAGTGTGGAAGGATCAGCCCTATGATCAGAAATCCGATATCTGGTCGTTGGGATGTGTAACTTATGAAATGGCTGCTCTCAAACCTCCATTCAGAGCAGAAGACATGGAAGGACTCTACAAGAAAGTTATCAAAGGTATTTCTCCAGAAACCATATCATATAGGTCTCTATCCAAGACTTCCATCCCAATATTCCTTAGATTTGCAAAATGTCATAAGGATGATGTTGTAAGTCCAAACAAATTTAAGACCCACATCCTATGCCTTAAGTGAACTCCCATATTTTAATAGATTTAAAACGCAAACAATCGAAGACCAAAGCAAGTTGCTAAATACTATCATATTCCCTAAAAATTAAATTTCCATTGCAAACATGCTACCCAAAGCTAATTACAGTAATCAAAAGTACAAAACGGAGGCGCATCAAAACAGTGACACCCAGGAAACCATCAACAGAAATAGGCAAACAACTCTAGGAGCTGGTTCATAATAGTCTTCTCCAAATCCTACTAGAATTTCCTAATATCTGGCAGAATAGGAACTGCTTTTAAGTATTTATATATTAATTAAAGAATAATAGTATTCAATAAACTATTCTGGGAAGCATAAGAAGGCGCATAACTATTCTGATAGGAATGTGATTGCTAAGATCCTACTTGAATATTAGAAGGAAGTGCCCATTTATCAATAACTAAAACAGAGATATCGAAGACTCTCTTAGGAGGAAACTCCTCCTTATTTGCAATAGAGAAGGATCAGTCAATTGCCAGTGCTAATTGAGCATTCGCCAAATCAGAAACGAAATAATCGGAATTAGAGTTTGCCAGCTTAGAATTTGCCTATAATCTGACCAAGAATATATATTATATGTGCTAAATTATTGCGATTTACTTATTTGTATGTTGGGTTTTTCATTGAATTGCATTAATTTAAATATTTATAATTGTTGTCATTAATATATTTTTTTAACGATCTAAAATTTATGTAAGAGTTGGATTTCTTGAGGGTACAGAGGGAAAGTCAGAAATTTTTGGAGATCGATAATATCTTCAACAGATTGGCATCTAACTTCGTCGAAAAAATATTTGCTTTATTCAAAGAGATTTTCCAATAGGAACATACATACACTATCCAAGTGAGTTAAACTTAACATTATAGGAATTGTTGAAATTGGCAATCTAAAAAGAGATTCCCTTAAAAGATTTTAAATTAGCAGAACATTACAAATTGAATTCAAATATTTTTAAAGCCAATTTGTAAATGATCGTCAATGTAATAATCGATGACATTTGGAGTGCATACAACAAATAAATTGTACTTGATGAAAAGAGCATAGCAGAACCTAGACAACTCACTCAAATCGACGAAGAATCAGCAATTGAACAATGTCAAAGTTTGAGTGAGACCTCTATAATCAAAGACAAAAAGGACTTAGAAACACAAAAGCAAGTGCATTCTGCAAGATCTCCACTCGCCAAATTGTTAGCTGGGGACAAATCTCCTCAGTTCATATCAATTGCCAGTTCTCCTCGACATTCTCGTGATAACAGTTAGAATATGCTCATAAAACAACAAAAATTAGTTATTCAGAACTCAAAAAAGAAAAATTCATCGTTAATTAAGAATAAAAGCATGGATCTTAAAAATTTGGTGAGTGAAGGAATTCTTCAACCGAGATCAGCAAATCGATCGTAGTTAAGTATAAGTAATTTGCATCTGTTGATGTAGAAGATGCAAGGACAGAAAGAGAATTTAAAATGATTTATAATTCATTTGCACTAAATAAATATTTTACACTAAATAAATATGGATCAAGACTTGAATGAGAATTTAATTAAGTTGAGTTTACTTATGAGACAATCAAATACTAAAAAACCTATTTATAATCCCTCTAAATATTCAAATTTGCATCTCATCTTAGCAAGATCAGTTAGCATCAGCACTCAATCATCCTCCCGAATGATTTAAATCAAATCTAATTTGAATACATAAAATAATAGCAAGGCACAACTGATTCCATAAGAAAAGTAAGAACTTATTGTATTATGATCTCCAGATATTTTGTCAGTAGAAGAATGTCATTGGCAAAGTAATTAAAGACATGTGATTCCTATTTATAAAAACACAAAATCGAGAGTCAATTCGTGAAAACCGACAATCTATGTGGTTTAAAAAAAGTATTCGAAATCGGAAAGACCCTTCTTTGATTATAATATTGATGATAAATATATTAATTTGTTATAAATAGGCCATCGCTATGGATCTAGTTGTCATGTAATGTACACTGTAGAAGAGAACTCCCAGGAGGATGGATACATCTAATCATGAAACCTATCTTTTGGGTGGAACTACACCTGCTAAAATCAGAAATCGAAAAATCTCAACTACATCTCCTCAGGTCAGATATCACTCATAGGCTGATAAAAAATATGAAGACAAAGGTGTAGGATGCGATCTATTCGAAATTACTTCGATTACTAAGACTTTTTAATTTAATATGCCTCAGATTGAGAATTTTCAATAACCGCCGCTTATCCCTAATAAAAAAGTTTTGAAGAAGAAAAATGGGTTAATTATTTTTAAACCGATTCCCAAGGAATATCATTTAAGGACATTTTATTAGAGTCCAAAAAATTAGACCTCAATAAATTAATCTAGGAGGAGAGACTGGAGATTGAGGAAGATGATGGATACTGAAATTATGAAATCCAGTTTGGAGAAGGAGAAGTGGTTTACTGACAGAAATTGCCGCATCTTCCTCAATGACTTGTGGTCTGATTCCTATTTTCAATGAGTGTAACAATTGAATTACTTATGTTTTTATTATATAGTTTGGGTCCGATAGGAATTATGTTAAATATTTATATATATTATTAATCTAAAATCTTGATTCAGAGATGTAAGATGTAATTATGATAATATCATAAATAGAAAAAAGAACAAAGCAAGTTTGAAAATTTTCTAATACGATTTAAAGCTCTGGTTGAATCCTATTTAGCACCAACACCAGAACCAGAGGAATAACCAAAGCAATAAGTCACAAAACAAAAAAAACAAAAAAAACAAAAAGATCCATTGGCTCCCAAGATGCCTAAATCAGCATTCATCTTTTATTTTTAAGACAAAAGAGAGAAATTTCAAAAACAATATCCAAGTCTTTTTTAATGCTATACTAGATCTACAATTTTAAGAAATCACCAAATTAATTGCTAGTGAATGGAAAGATTTACCAAAAGAAATTTAGTAGGTACTCAAACTATTTTTTAATGCATAGTCATATCATGATTAAGCCTTAAAAGACAGAAGTCGTTACTCATAAGAAAATGAACTCTATTGCACATAAACAGGCAAACAAATCAACGGCAAGAGTCAAACAAAAACCAATAAATCAATTGCAAAAAAAGAAAAAGTCTAATAGAAAGTGGATTAAGATGAAGACGTTGATTCTTTTGGTGCAGAGATAGGCTAGGAATGATATCTATAAAAAAATACATCTGAAATAATTAATGTTCAAATATTCATAGGAATTTATTTATTTTTTTCATCTCCACATTATTACCTTAAAATATCAAATGGCTCCATACTCCAATTATATTTTCTATTATCTAATCCAACCTAAGAATAGGAATTGAATCTTTAAAAAAATTATTTTAACAAAACTTACTTATAGGAACCAAAAGCGAAAAAATAGAATAAGCATAAAATTTAAGAGTATAAGATATTTTAATTTATCCAAATTTGTTTAGCAATCTCTTGCCTCATTCTCATTTAACAATGCACTCCAAAATGATATTCGAATCTTTTTTGAGGTAAAGTATTAAATTTGTATAAAACTTGAAGAACTACTGAAGAATATGATTGGCAAAACTGAGTGAAAAATTGCATCTTTAAACAGTTTAGATGAGTTATTTGATGTATTTCTGATATGATTTTATGTTTAATAATATTTTGCTTTATTAAATAATCACTATTTAATTAAATTATTAAAAATGCAAACAAATTAGAATGATGAGTTTTATCTCAGATATTAGTAATTTATAAGTTGTATAAATAGTGTTGGACACAAAGGTGTGTATGGACATGAATTTCTTGAATTCGAGTTTAGGAGTGATGGAAGATTAAGATATGCAAATAATTCCAACTATAAATCAGATGTATTAATCAGAAAGGAATGCTATGTTTCAGAATCAGTGATTTCAGAGTTCAAGAGAATAATCGAAGAATCAGAAATCATTAAGTATAAATTGAATATAATTGAAGAGAGAATGATTCAAAATGGCCAGCTCCAGATAAAATTGGAAGATAAGAATTAGAAATCAAATTGGGGAATGCTCACATTTCATTTACTACATCAAAACTTGGATCAATTCATGATGTGTAAAGCAGTTAGGATCCAGATGGTTTAAGAGTTTTCTTTTACCTAATTCAAGACTTGAAATGCTTTGTATTTTCATTAATTGGACTTCATTTTAGAGTAAGCTTCTATTTAATTATTATAGATAAAACCTGTAAATTGAATCATTTTTTATGTTAATTATATTTATTAAGTCTTATTTATAAATAAATCTACTGATAACTGTTGTTGACTTATGGATTCTCTTTATTATTTTAAGAGAATAATATAATATATTTATACTATAAATGGGTTCTCATATAAATTCTGATCACACTTTAACAAGTCCAAATAGGCTGCTGTGCATTGGTAACTTACAGACTCTGCTCTTTTCTTCATCTTTTCTATCCTAAATAGGAATATATTCTCTCTGATCCTCCCCAACATATAATTATCTTGGTCTACTAATTCTTTAAACTTTCTCTGACATCATCTCCATCCATTAACAAATCCATCCAATACTTCTTTACACTGCAAACATCACAGTAAACATTGAAGTTGGGATGCTTAGGGCTTCATATACAATTCCTGTGTAGAAATCAACATTTGGATACAGTTTTCTTTAAATGAAATAGTCATCTTTCAAGGCTGTTTATTCTAATTGAATTGCCAACTATCATTTTAATAGATGAAATACCTCTAGAATATCATTAGCCCTCTTAGTTTTTTCCAAGACATTGTAACACATTTCCTACATAACTTTTGCTCTAGGATCGTAATTCTTATAAACTCTATGTCCGAACCCCATCAATCTAAAAGAATTGTCTTTAGATTTAGCCTTCTGAAGATATTTAGGTATATTCTCCTTATTCCCAATTTCCTTGAGCATATTCAACACTGCTTCGTTAGCACCTCCGTGATATGGTCCCCATAATGCTGTAATTCCAGCAGCAATACATGCAAATGGATTTGCCAAAGAAGACCCAGCTATTCTGACAGTGGATGTGGATGCATTCTATTCATGATCTGCATGCAACATAAAAATAGTATCTAATGCTTTAACAATCACTTTGTCAACGTTAAAGTCATTCATTGGGGTTGAAAACATCTTGTTATTTAATTGTAAATAGGTACCATATATAAGAAATTCTCAATGAAAGAATACTTTTTATTTGGATATATAATAGGCAAGCCCAAAGCTGTTCTGTATGCATAGGCTGCCAGAGTTGGCATTTTGGCTACTAGTTTGATGGCGATGTATTCTCTATCCCTTGGGTCATTGACATCGAAATCCTTGTGCATAAAAGCACTCAAAGCACCAACTACACCCACCATAATTGCCATAGGATGACTATCAGACGCAAATCCTTTATAAAATTCAATTAGTTTCTCATTTATCATCATCTCACTCACCATAGTCTCTTCAAATAATTGTAATTCCTTTGAAGATGGTAGATGTCCGTAAATGAATAAATAGCACACTTCTATGTAAGAGGAGTACTTGGCCAAAGTCTCTATTGGATAACCCCTATATAATAATTCTCCCTTATCACCATCTATGTAGGTCATGGTCGACATGCATCTAAATCAATTCTTATAAATTTTATACGCTCCAGTTGATGAGAATCCAGGATCCAAAGTAAAATATCCTGTCTTCGAATATAACTAGGTAATATCGATCATTGGAGGACCTTTAGTCCCTTTGTAAACTGGTAGCTGAACAATTTTGCCATTGGGTAAGGTTAGAGTTGCAACATCTGATGGAAGTGGGCAAATGGGAACAGTTTTCTCCATCTTTGATTTTTGAGAATCAATAGTTTCTTAATGCCATTTATGGGGAGATTGCGACATTTTAATATAAGATAACTTAAATATTAAATTTAATACGCATCATAATTTGTTATATTAATTTTAGTGTGTTATAAATTTATACAATAGTAATTGGTATTTTAATTTCATATGCATCAGCAATTTAATTCTCAAAATTATTCAATTTATCTATATTTCCTTCTTACAACAGCAATTTCTACCCAATTATTCCAACCCTTCATTCCATACATAAAAATGTCATATTCGCAGCTTCACATATTGTATAATTCCCTTCCTAATCAAAATGTGGTATTGTTTATGGTTTGCAAATTCTTTTTAATTAATTTATGGCCATTTTTCAGACTTTGGAATGGCTAGTCAAGGCATTTTCTAATAATATTTTATGAAATCATTTTCAATTTCATCGTGGATCACCAAAACAATTTCAATTTTATGTGTCCTTTTAATTTCTCCATAGAAATTTATAACTTCCTATGAATAGACCACAAGGAGGATACGAACTTGCAGAGAAGTACAATCCCCAAAATTGGAACTTTGAAAAATCAGGTTTTGGCATCAATATGTTTCCTTCCTACCTGCTCTGTGGTAAAAAATCGGAGAAGTTTTTCATTTAATTATGATATCAAATATAAGTATTCTTTCCTATTTGCTTTTCTATTAGATTTTGCATAATCGTTTATGTAAGATTTCAATTTTTTATGAATTATAAACACATAATATAAGATTATAAATTTTAATGGAAAAATTGCTTAAATAATTTCATCTTCTGACTCATCCTAGATATAAATTTAACATCCTTCATGTATTAGTGAATATCAAAACTCTAGGTATTCCTTGCAATATACTCTATTAAGAAAGCATAAGAAATAGCAATTGCAAATGATTCCCATTTTAAATCAATTTCAAACTTTAGGTAAAATGTTTCCGTTATACAAAAGTCCTTTGATTTCACTCATTAATTATTGTTTTGTAGTTACATCTGTAACAAACACCTAACTTATCCTTTTAATTATACTTATGTTCATTTTGCATTGCTCGGCAGTTGGATTGCTTGCTATTCTCATATTTAAATAAAAATCCTCAAGTGTAATCTCTATTATCCTTCAGCAATTCCTTTTTTATTACAATTAAGCCTTAGCTATGCCTAATGTCTACATGTCACTAATGTTTATTTACGACGACAATATTTGTCAAAGCAGCTCTATTTGTTCCAGCAATGGTTATATCATATTGATAATCATAAGTATCATAAACTTTCTGGCATCATTGGCAATCGGAGGAATTTTATTATATTTTGGAAGATGCGAAAAACTAATAGAGGACAACTCCATATACACTTTAGATTAATCTATTATAATAAATGCAATATATTAAGCGTTATAATTACTCATTCTTATATTCAAAGTTATTGATTTACTGTAAATTTTAAGGTTTGCATTTACTATAATAAACAATGTGATTTTTATATTAGTAAATATAAGGAAAAATAATTACCAAGGCTACCTAGTATTAGAGATTATATTTGGCATCATAAATACTTCATTAAACCTAAAATTGAGTATCTTTGAGCTATTTCTTCTTTTTGCACTCTTGATTAATTTATTATTACAAGTTTAATCAAATTTCAACTAAAATTACATTACGCGTAAAAATTAAAATAACTTTACAACTATTTAAGTATGTTTATTGTATAATTTAGAATATTGAATATTATAATTAATAAGGTGATAAAAGATCGAAGGTAATTCTGTCGCTTTTATAAAAAAATCATAACTGTTTAAAATGCAAGTCCACACACTCTATTCCCGAATGTCTATTAAGAAAAATGTCGAATTCATAAAACAAGAAGCTCATCAACATTCTTGTATATTGCAATTATGTTTCTAATCATGCTCCTCTTAAAGCTCTTATAAAGTTGATCTTACAATAAGCTAACAACACATACTTTAAACAATCTTTCAGCAATCTTTCTATTGAATTGTACTCAAGAGCTAAATAATATCAAAAGGAAGCCATTCATAAGAATACAATTCGCAGTACAAATGAACATTAATCATCTTTGAATGTTCAATCTGCCTATTTGACTAGTCATTCTGCAAACATACTATTTCCTATTTTGATAGAAACCATTCAAAGTAAAATTAGCTTTTGGAATAAACTAATCAATGGATATCAAGACATTGATCATTATTTATTAGAGTCACTCAAAACTACTCAAAAGATGCTATCATGTAAAAAAGAAATAGAGAAGAGATTTGATATGGTAAATAACAAATTAAAAGGCCAATAATAATCAGACATCTTGACATTAAGAATTATTTAAATTTATCATTCAGGAATATATTCTAATGCATTTTAGGCTTATTAAATAGAAAAGTCTATTGAAGAGCTTATAAAAAATGAAAGATACAAGCAAGATGAGACTTTAGATAATATGCAATTGATATAAAGTATAAAATCATATAATTCATTCTCTAGATAGATTAATAATCCTCAAGTCTAGTCTAGTAAAAAAGAGAGGAGAACTGCTAAACTTAAATGTCAGACAGCTGGCTCTTTTCCTGAATGAAAATGAAGACAATCTTAAAGGTATTAAACATTGCAATTAATTAATGCCAAATTTCATTTCATCAATCCATGAAAAGTTGATGGACAACTATTTATAAAGAGGATACTCTAAACTTATGATAAATGGTGAAGCTAGCTTCTGTTAAAATATCTCAGGATACTTAGAGTAATGTAGTTTAAATTTATTTAACTTTTTTGATGACAAGGATGATTTTATTCTAAATATGATAATTACAAAGCAATAATCAAATAATGAAATTATTTTATTTGGTATTGATGGGAAGATCTTAGGGTTTACCAAATATTTTTACGAAGAAGTATTATAAAACAATGTCAAAATGAACTTGTCTCATCAAACAGCTAAGGAATAGAATAGTATAAAAATCTCAGTGAAAGAGTTCTTAATCAAAAGTCCCCTAATTCAATTTTATATTCCTGGAATTGCAAGTTAAGTTTAAGAATTAAGGCAATAGATAGTATCGTCTTCAAATTACTTGATGAATAATCTTAAATCATTTTGGATTATGCCTAATAACCACTTAGAGTGTTTGTAAAATTCTTAATTAATATTCTCTCAATTCAAGAAAAGAAATGAAGGATCATAATAAAATTATCGATCCTACAAGTCTTAAACATATTCAAAATATTCTTACAATACTGTAAACACACAATTTGATATGCAATATGATGACACTGAAATGCCAGCAGAATTGAAATAAAATATATCAATCAATGGAATTCCAATCTTAATATTGCATCCTGACGTGGAATAGCAAATACAAAGACTCGTCGAAATAAATGACTCCTTATCTAAGATACCATAGACAGGAGTCTTTTATAGTCTTTAATTTAAGACTTTGAATTTCAAAAGAGGAAATTATGGCTATTTTATGTTAACAATCAAGGATTTCAAAACTATTTCAAGTTAAACATTCAACAATCAATAAACTTCAAGAACGCAATAGTCATTGTATTAAACTCTAATACCATCCTAAGAATTTTCTGCTAGTTATACAAAAAGTCCTAATTCTGTTTCTTAAGATATAAGAAGCGAGAATCCTGATGATTCACAGATTCAAATCTAAGAAGTAAGGTAAATGAATAACAATTAAAAACTTAATGAGAGTTCTGCCCCTGACAATAGTTTTAAATTTTAATTAAAATAATCAGACAGATCTAATTTATTTGATTCAAGTAGATAACCACTTTTTGCTAGACCCAAAATTTTTGAAATAGATATAAATGAGGAAGTGGAACAAATCGAATTGGATATGCAGGTATATTTGATTTTATTTATCCTAATAGGTAATAAAAGAATTAAAGCAAGACTAAATAGAAGAGGATTAGGAGGAAGGAGAAAAAAAAGTTTAGTCTGTTAGTCAAAGCCAAAAAAAAAGTTCAAATATTCTGCTGAGGTTTCAAACTAAATAAATAAAAAACTAAGAAAACGACTTTGCATCTAATCCTTCAAGAACTTCAACGAATTCTACTTCTAAGGAGTCTCTTTTTATTGTCCAATAACTTTATCACAATACTTAACTAATCACTCCCTTGAGAAAAATAGCAGTATTATTGTTTATAATATGCTCGGGAGTTCTCATAAGTAACATTATTAATGTTGAATTTATATCTGAGAACCTAATCTCTCAAACAAATTCACTTGCTACTCTAAGGCAACCTTAAAATCTCAATTATTTTTACACCTCTGAAGTTTTGTAGGAATGGCACTTAATCTTAATTAAAAATAATCTATTAACCCTCAGTCCATTTATGTTTTAAAGAAATTTAGATACATTATAAGGAATGTATGATTATGCTAGAACGTCACAAGTGGATTTAGCAATTGTTGTACCAAGATTATCAAAGGAGCAAAATTAATAGACAACAATGTAAACAAGATTTTATTAAGACAAATCCATTGTCACTATTGAGTATCCCTTGGAAGAGTTTTATTCAATATTGTACTAAAAAACAGAGACTTCTTATAGATAATTTATTAATAATGGGAGTTATGAATTCCCACAAATTATGCCTTATGGGGTAGTAAGACTAAACTTAATGGACATGTTGGACTTTCATAATCGATTAATTCAAGTTGTAATTGCAAATACGATTGATAAGTAAATTTAAGTTAAGTAATATTTTTTATCTGTTATGATTGGAGAAATGCTTAGCATATTTGTAATAATTGGATTACAACTTAAATATTGGTTATTTATTGATCATATTGTAAAGTCAATATTGTTTTTAATTTCTAGACTAAATGAAAATTAAGCATATGATTAGATTAATCGATTGTCCATAATTAAAGAATAGTTAGATAATCAAATAAATGGAAATTGGAAGCTGTTTAATTTTGGTGATATTATGTATGGTTTTTCTGAGAGGAAAGCCAAAAAGATAACTCTCAAGTCTAATATTGAATTAGGTCAGAACAATATAAAAGCGACTAGTGCTTTATATTCTCGAATATAAAGAACATACTACCTTAATAGGATCAATGCCTTTATTACATTTATGATTACAATATTTCTAACTGTCTATCTGATGGCAGGATTCTTATTACACATGTCAAAAAATGATAATTTTTAACCATCTCTAACAGTTACCTTGAAATTTGTGTAAATAAGGCACAACATGGATTCATTAACACTATTGGCCGGTCTAATTAAAGCAGAGCCAATAGTTCCCAATCTTGATCTTCAATATTTAAACCAAACTCAAGCTTGTTCGCTTTTAATTGAATATAGGGACAATTTGTCACCGTTAATTAATGAAGTAGCTTAGGTAATTTTAGAGAATGCAAATGCAAATAATGTAAAAAGCAGATTTGATACAATACTTAATTACGATTTATGTCTTTCATCAACAGCCGCCACAATGCCTATTTGTGATTTGTCATCAATTAAGTTACAATACGATTAGTAAGTTATTATATATTATGAATAGGAAAGATAATTTTAAAAGCATAATCAGCAATGGAGCATTAGGTTACACTGCAGCACTAATTAAATTTATAAATTAAGAATACGATTATGAAATTTAGAATTTAAAATATAATTTTGATGAGACAAATAAGATCACTATTTAATCATAGTCCTTTTAAAATTTTTTTTTGCAATACTTCACTGATATATAGACGGTTATGAGATAATTTTTGGTGTTATTCTAAGCAGATAATCTTGCTATAGCAGATGGGATCATTAGTGTAGTGCAAGTGTATTATTATGGAGTAGGAACATGGTATTTAATGTTATTAATATGCTAATTAGTTTGTTTTTAGCATATATACTTCTGAGCATAATTTGGGTATACAAATCATAGATGAAGATTTAGTCTCTGAGATAGGTATTGGTTCTGATACCACCTGATCATATTTTAACAACAAATGTTCGTAGTCAAGCGAAAAGCATACATTAAATGTTGTATTGATGTTTTAAATAATAAATTGAATCAGATAATTTACAGATTATTAAAAATGGATTTATTTTTATTTCATTATTCATTTTTGAAGATATTATTTTATTTATTATATTGCCTCATAATCTTATGGGATATTTTTGCTATTTGTAAATTTGAATCTCGAATTATTATTGCCATCTCCATCCACTAAAAAATAAGAAAAAAAACTACTTTAAAGGATGACAGCCTCTACTCTTTTTTCAATATCAATTGGTTTTTGTTATATGGGTTAATGCAACTCTTAGACTTACTGTGTTTCTTTGACTTCTTCCTATTGTATATTTAATTATTATTGTTATTAGAGGGGTTCAACAATTCTTTCCTTAATCATATGATCCAAAATATTTTATGTTGTTGGGAATATTGATTTTTAGAGGGCATTTTTATAATTGACTGATGTGTAAAACTTTTTGAAGTTGGTTTGAGCTAGTTTTTGGGAATAAGAAAATAACCACTTGGAGTTATTCATTTCTTCCTAAGTATTATTAGATGTACATACTTTTTTGAGCACTTGCGTGGAGTCCTTGTCCTTGGGGTGTTGATGTAAGTATACACAATCCTTGATTTTGCATTATTGGCCCTTCAAGAAGTTTGTGCAATATTTGGTGGTTCCAAAGGATGCCTTTACTTATCTGTCGTGTAAGGGAAATTTTTCACATGCCAAAACAAATAAATATTAATTATATTTACTAAGATTGCTAAAGATGCTTCTTATTCATTTCGATAAGTTATGTAAGCAGCATGAGAGGGGGGGTTGAAGGTGTTGCTTTGGATCACAATTAATTTTTAGATTTATCCATATTGCCCAAAATACTCGGGTTTTTTTAATTGCTCGAATAAACAAATGAGATTACATCTTCCTTGGCTATGTTGGGTGCTAGGCCAATCACATAAATCAAATTCTTGCAAATGATTCTGATTTCAGCTAATAATGATTTGTTTTGCAGATTGATTTCTTTGAAAGAATAGAGAGTTTTTGGTTTAGGTGAATCACAACTGTCCCAATCCTCTTGGTCTGAACATTCACAGTCACTTAAATTGCAATATTGACAGATCTCGGATTAATTGGTTTAATTTTTCATTCTTTAATTTATATTACTAACTAATTAAAAACTCCAAGACATCATACATTTTCTTTAATAATATTATTGTTAATATTTATTTTAATATTCCCTAAACATTAATCTCCTCTTCATTCATATAATGGGTGCATTATGCGACAACTCCTCACATTTTTTAATGGATTTCGATAAAACAAGTAATTTTGATAATGAGAATTTCAGATTCAAAGAGATGAATGTCCTAACTCATCGAGCTGATAATAAATTCAAAATCATACATGGTATACTCACCTTCAGAGATGAAAAAGTAATAGAACAGTTGAAGAAAAAGACTCAACACACAAACAGTTTAAACATCCATCATTGGCAAGTGAAAAATGATGATTTGCATGTCTATTTCGATTATCCAGAGCCCATTTCTCAAATTGATAATTTCGATCATCTGGAAGTCTGGACTCTTATTAATCACATCACCAAAATACTCTCCCTCTTGCAAGATCTAAAAATGCATTATTGTGCATTGAATCCAAGTGGAATCTTTAGAGTCTACACCCTTTAATAGAAGTATGTCTATAAAATAGCCGACTCCTTCTTATTCAGACCACTCTACATGAAATATTATTAAAGTCCCACAAACTACTATTAGCATGAACAAATAGAATACTTTAAATCTGACGTATTTGCATTGGGTCTCGTCTGTCTCCATTGTTTAGGATTGAAAGAACCCAAGCATTTCTTCAAAACGAAACAATTCGATTTTAAAGAACTATAAATCAAAATCAAAGAACTGAATCTACCTGAGTATTTACACAGGTTCCTAGATCAGACATTCATTGAGCATGATCAACAACGACCGAATTGCTAATAATTGTACTCCTTTGTTGTCAAATTAAATGAAGAATATAAGATCTAGATTGAAAATGTGGAATTAAAATTGTATAATCATGCATTTCAACCACATGTGCATTAGCATTAGTAGAAGGTAGTGAATGATGGGGAAAGAGTAGAAATTCTAAATCCAGACGCTCCATTTGAATGTACACATTATGATCTTTCAACTTGGTGTCATTTTATTGGTCGAGTTGCTAATGGGAAGAGAAATGGGAAGGGAGAGTTAAAATTTAAGAATGGATGCAGATTCATTGGTAGTTTTATCGATGGATAGGCTAATGGAACTGGTGTGTTCTATTACGGTCAACAAGAAATAATTGGGTATTGGAAGGATGATATATTTATGAAATGAATCTATTTATTTATTGAGTTAAGGCAAATGGCGTAGATGGTTATCGCGCTGCATTTACACTGCAGAGGTCCCGAGATCGATACTCGGTTTGCCTATATTTTTTTTAAATAATATTAATATTTAATGTATTCAGATAATAACAATGCTCACTCCGAAATTAGAATCAGATAACTGTTATACTTTAAATAGCCACCTCAAAGTATATTTGAATACAAACATTTTAAGCCACTCTACCCACCAATCGAAGTGCTATGAAACTTCAGACTCTCGAACATAAATTGGGAAGGACCAATAAAAATTTTACAGGCTATTCAAAAAGCTAAAGTGACACTCGCCCATTTTTTGAGAATTTCATGGAAAAAACAGATCAAATAACATCCTTTGGATTCAAGTATCCCTTCAATGTGGAGGACTTTTAAAACACCAATGCATAAATTCACTTTTTGGAAGTGTTCACTCATTCACAGCAATTAATACAAGTAAGGATTGGGAAAGAATATATTAGAATTACATTTCGGATAGTAAACGCACTTTGGCTCAATTGAAGGAGTAGTCTAAACAAATCAAGGATGAGATGGATTATATGAAGGAGCAAACAGAGAGGAATATATAAAAACTAGAGGATTAATTCAATGAGGCAGTTCAAACGAAGTAAAGATAATTGAAGGAGGATTATGTTGCCTACTCAACAGAGTCGTATAGATTGAATAAGGAGATTAGCAAATTGACTAAGGATAAATTGCACATGGAAGAATAGTCTATTCATTTGCTATAGAAAATAATCAAATTAGAGAAACAAATGCAGGGCGTGGAAATGGAGTTAATGTGTGAAAATGAATAAGAGTTATAATCATAATTAAGAGGCACATTTCATAACACAAAAAGCATAACACACTGATCAATAATCATATTTAAATAGTTATGCCTAACTTCTTTAAATCCTCTATTTTTTTCTTTACTCTAAATAAATTCATTAGATTTTAGCCCAAATAGATGGTTTTAATATGAATTTAGGTCTGTTTTTATATTAATTAGTAAATTAAATCCAGGAACCTTTCCGTAATCACATTGGATTACAAATGCAATGTTTGGCAATGTATTTCTAGTAATTTTGATGCTCCAGTGTCACTGATCTTGTTTCGCATCAATTTCAGGATCTTAAGCTTCTTATTTTTGATAAATTCTTCCAAGAGAATCATTCCATCATCTCCCAAATCTACAGGTTATAGAAGGATGTATTACCTTATTAAGAGAGGTCTAAGGTGTCTCCATTGCAATTTAATAAAATGGATTCGACTTTAGTATTAAACTTCTTTTTTGTGGGTCTTTTTGGAGACATTGAAGATTGTCTTCTTAATTTCGGAGATATTAGTGTTTCGTTTTGTGATGATTTCTTCTCATGATTAGGACTTATGGTATTTTATGAAATGTTGTTGGATGAAGGTTATGATTGGAGAGCAGATTGAGATTGATATAAAGGTTGAGGATTTAATAAATTATGAGTCAAAAATTCATTATGAGGAGGTTTGTCATCAATGTCCTTTAAAAAACTTTGATCAATCATTGAAACATCTCTCAAGATATTTGGATCGTCAAAAAATGATTATTGTACTTGAGGATAATTGTATTCAAAATTTCCCATTAATTCTTTACTCAAGTGCACCTAAGGAGTAACTTAACCTTGAGTAACCTCTTGCAATCTGGTTTGAAATTTCTTCATGAAATCCTCCAATTCCTCTATAATTTATTTTGCCTGAGTATTAGAAGTGTCTTTCTAGAGAAGGAAGAAGGCGATTTCCCCTTTTTCAGTTAAGGAGGCGAACTAATTGATCCGTTCTTGAGAACTATGCACTATAAAGATGAGGAATTACGCTAACATCCATAAGTCTGCTTTTTCGACTACTTGATTGACATACTGTTGTTCTCGTTTTATTAGTTGATCTTCTACTTATTTGTATTTTTGCTCAATCTCTTCGACTACTTTTCGTTATTTCATCATTAATTGAGTTATCATTTCCTTAGATTTTTATAGCGATATAAGGGTACTTTGAATTATTCTTCAGCCTGGGATTGTTGTTGCTTGATACAAACTCGTATTTAGTCGCGTATCTTTTTGTTAATAATTGGTTATTTGAGGGATTTAATTTTGGATTGTATTTGTTGCATCAGATCTACAGTTTCTTCGAGGGAATGCTAGATTTCTGAAATGACTTCCTATTTTTAAATAGATTTGAATTACATCGATGTTTCTAACATTGTGATGCTTGTGACCACCAAACAAAGCACAATTGACACAGATTTTATTGTGATCTTCCAGACACACTAATTCGATCTTCTTGTTGTGTTCTTTACAGAGAGATGTAGATTCCATGATTTCAAAGAAATTCTCGCATTTAGAGAGTCTCACTGTTTCGCCCAACTCAGTAGAATCGATTTGTGAGTTCTTGAGACTAGACTTGTTGATTATTTTCAAAATGGCCTGATTGACGGGGTAGAGATTCAGATCTTGTGGCTAGACAATTCTTAGAAATTAGAGCTACTGCTTTACCCGTCTTCAGGACAGATTATCTTGGTTTGCTCACGAAGACATTGCATGCACATAGAATGACCGCATTTTGGTAGCATTTATGGTGTACGATCATAGATGTCAAATGCAATCTCACAACGAGGACAATTTAATTCTTAGTGCATTAATTAAATAATAAAAATAAGATTTAAAATGGCCAATTCCCAAGAGAAGATGTAATAGGATTATATCTGGATCAGAGATCAATCCACAGGCGATGCAGATGTGAAGATGAGAACCTTCGGATAACATTACCTCTATTATCATGCTCCAAATAAAAGAGAGCGATTGGAAATGATTTGGAGATCCATGGGAAAGGCATACGATTGGGAAATGGAGAAATTCAGAGTATTCTCCTCATTAACAATTAGATGCAAAAAAAATTCATTGACAGAGGCAATAAAAGGAGATTCTTCAAAAACTTTTTCAGATTCATCAAGAACCCTTTCGGTTACATCTATTGGAAGACCTACAGAATCAGACAACCCAAAGGCAGAATCATCACAACAATGCTCGGACTTGGAGTAATTGGAACATTGTACAAATACAAATTGGAATCAAGTATCAATTCACTCTATCCTGCTTAGACCAAATCCAAAAAAGAGAATATTACTTATTGACTGCAGGCAAGAACTCAGAAGGAAGTGGACTCATCAACACTGGTTACAACAATGACAAGTTTATTATTTATTGCATCCTTTTTAGATTGGCTCGTCAAGGAATGCCCCTCACTCAGATGTTCTACTCTTATCTATTGGCCAAAGACATCGTTGTCTCAAGATCAAGAGATCAAAACTACAGGAAATACTTTGAAATCAGAAAAAAGTATCAAATCAAAGAATGAGACCAAAATATACACATATATAAATATATAATAAAATATATAATCAGTCTATATCTCTCCTCCCCCTTTTCTCAATCTGTACTTATATTATTGTCAATTTCCTTCACATTCTCACACCTATTCATCAAACTACAATCCAAATAATTCAATGCCTCCATTGCCGTGATCCTCTCATCTGGATTGTGATGTATCATCTTCTCTACCAAATGTCTCAAAATTTCATTCTCTATATTTTTAGTAAACTCTTCCGAAAATATATATTCTCTGTTCATTCTCTCTTGAATGCTTAAATCACACCCTTCGAAAAATCTCTTATTGTGGATCCTAATCATAAGTAAATCCCAGTCTTACATCTCCCACAACATCACACCCAAACTGAACATGTCAATCTTATAATCCAAATTCTTATCCTACTTAAGCACTTCAGGAGCCAAGTATCCAGGAGTCCCACAGATACGATTTCCTTGAGCTTTGAGGTCATTCAAAGTTATGGCCAATCCAAAATCAATCAACCTCATACTCTTCAAATTTCCCTATTCAGCGAATAACACGTTGTCTTATTTTATATCTCTATACACATATCCCTCCTTGTGGATATAGTGAATACAATGTAATATTTACTGAAATATAATTATTATTTACTTTTAAAATTAGAATGATTTCCTCCTCATTGAGTCTTTTCTGCCCCTACAATTCTCTAAGGGATTTCCCTTCCAAAAATTCCATCACTATGTAACAATGTTTAGTTTCCACATAAAATTCCTTTATTTTCACGATGCTGGGGTGTTTTAATATCTATAATTTCTTGACTTCCCGCAAAAATATCTAATTGTGTTCAGTTACTACTTACTTATTGTGTGTTTTTCCACCCAATCTTCAGTGATTTACAAGCTACGTATTCACCGCTTATACGATTCTGATATTTAAATACCTATAGTTAGAAAAACGATATTTACATGTCCATTTGTGCCTCTCCCGCAAAATGATATCATCTTATATAAGTTATGAATGTTCTAGTAGGAGATCTTTGCATCCAAAAACTATTTAAAAAATTCCAAATGGGTCTTCTCCATCTCGAAGTATTCCCATTTCCCATTCACTAATATGCTAAAACCTTCCATTTTTTTTTAGTTTTTAGATATCTTCCAATCTATGAAAGAGTTCTCAAGCAGTAGCAGGGTGTATTACATCATTTTCTTGGCCTAAAATTAGTAGGAATCCCTTTTTACATTTGATATTTTGATACAATCAGACAGTAGCTGAACTTAAAAAGAGTCTCGAAAAATTAGGTTTTTCTTTGTACAAATCATGATTTTATGGCTTTTATATTTCAAAAAAATAATTGTTTTTAAGATTTTGATTCACTTAAATCCAAAAATGAAATTCAATATACTATGGGTAAGAGATATTAAAATTCATTTATTGCTTTAAATAAATTATTTAATTATCTTTTTTATCAATTAGTATCAATTATCCGAGATAAAAAATGTCAGCATACAATGATACTTAGAATTAGAATTAATTACAATTTGAAAAATATAAAGAAACTAAATCCTAAATTGACTACGTTTTTGCAATTAAATACAAGTTGGATTAAATCAGAATTTTTTAATCAATCTTTTGAGTGATTAACAATGAAGCGAAAAGGGGAAGTCCTAGTGTATTTCCTTAAAATAAAAGATCTATTTTAAAATATATATTTGATGTTATTCATTTCTTCTCTAACTCAGCAATTCTGGCTTTTAATTAGGCATTTTCTGCTTGTAATTGATTCTAGAATTATGATTAAGATGTTACTTCTGATTGAATCAATTCATCAACGGCCTTTGTAAGGTGACCTATTCTATAGGCATATCTTCTATTTTGATCTTGCAATGTTACTATTTCTCCTTGATTCTTGCAATTAATTATTTATCTTACTTCTGGAGCAGCTTGGACCTTCTTTAATTGCTCGTTGAATTCGTTTCTTAGATCATAGAGTTATTGGAGCAATTCTTATTGGGTTGTTGCCATTATTATTATGATATTAATATATTTATATTAATCATTCAAATTATTTAAGTATGATAAATAGCTCATCCTTGAGTTTATTCTGTATGTCCTTCGAGAAGGACTTGGCTTGATACTTCTTAAGGATATCAACCTATTGCAATCTGACTCGTTCGACCAAATCATCAACATGGCTGAATCTGCGAATAGAGTATTCTGGTAGTTTTTTAAAGCCGACCCTTTTACTTTTGGGAGGATCAAGATATTTGGGTAGAGCCACATCTTTACTAATAGTGATTGAACCAACCTTGACAGATTCTGTTCTAAAAAGAATGTAAAACAAATAAATTTAACATAAGAGGAAGGAGCAATTATTGTTTAGGTTCTTCCTAATAGAGGTTCATACTCAAGTCTCCATTAAACTTAAGACGACTGCCATTTAAAATTTATTTTTCCATGGGCTTGGGATCGTAAGCATTAAACACAGTGTCCTCTAGATATTGCTTTCTATTTTTTGTTAATGATCTGCTATAGCGAGGTTTGAGTTTATCGATTTGAAAGGACATTTCTTAGACTCTGTCAGTTTGATTAATTAGGATGGTGGGTGTTTGAATGTTGTAATGTTGATAACTCCTCCAAGGAGTGGGGAAGAGGGGTTTATCGAGAGAGGAAAGGGTGAGTTTGTTGGTTGGACAAACACTCAAGTCATTGACAGGGTTTTCGATTAATTATTTTTGTTTTTTTAACATTATAAATATATATATGTAAATAAATATGACAATATATATATATGTATGTATAAGTTAATAAATATATATATGGAAATTAAATACATGAGTTTGAATGAGGTTTGAACACTCGTACCCCATTTAATTATTTGAATAGTAATCAATATAAATGAAATCAGAACTTTTGAATAAATTAATAAGAATCACTACTAAAAACTGTTCATTTTTACTAGGGATGGTGCGTTGCCGTATTTCTTAAAACTCTCATTGGAGTACTTTTCGTGCATTTCTGGGATTTGGAACTCTTCTCTCAAGTCTTCCTATTTTTCTTTGATGGGAGACTGATTGTTGTTGTTGTTGGCATTCCTCTTTCCCTTGATCTTCTCAGAGGACAAGTATGAATCAAATGGTTTAAGTTCATACATTTCTTATATCATGTTTTTAATTTCTGATATGTATTTGTGCTAAGATAGAATGAATTCCATATTGTACTTTTTATTCGATTGAACTGATTTTGTTGTAATGAATGATCTGCAGCGTGGCCTCGTTCTGTAGGAAGGAAATGAATAGGTCCTTGAGGAGATTCTTGCATAATTTGGATTCCTTCGGTTCGTTGACTTGGACTTGGAAGCATCGTTGCAGATCTCCCAACTCGAATCGCTGTTATTTTGATGTCTTTATAATAATTTGTTTAAATAACCTTTGATTCTTATACATTCTGAAGGTACTTGTAGGCTGCATCTTGCTCCATCATCTTAGCCCATTTCTTAAATCGAGACAAAAAGAAGTGAGGTATGCGTCTGGATGATGATAACTCAACTTGATACCTGCGAAAGTCCTGATCTTCTTTGATATCTGGATTGGCATTTGCAAACGACTAATTGTTGGATTTTTCTGAATCTGAATTGATGGCTTAGACGGAGACCACGTTCTTGGTTCTCCTTTGAGGTTGAGAGCTGGCGTGGAATTGGGCCTTGATGTCATCATGAAATTTTTGAATGATAGAGAGAGCATTGGCGAACTGGGTGAATTGGTCTTCTTCAGCCTCCAACACTATTTTCTTGTTCTTTTGCTCGATAATCTAGAAGGGGATTGTTAATAGAATGGAATACTCGATATTTTAATAGGGATGGTTCGTTGGTGGTTTTCATATAAAATTAATTAAATCTAGATTTTTTGGGATTTCGCCCCCTTCTTGAAGTGGGTATTTCCACTGGAATGACACTATACATGGTTAGGGAGAGAGTGCTGAAAAAGGGCAGGATAATTTGAAGAGATTATGTGTTTTTAATATTAATATAATAATATGGCTTATAACAATGACTTTTAGGATTAGGGACAATATGATCAGGAGGAGTTTGCCATGAGGATGCCAGTGAAGAGTCACTTGCAAAGACTGGATGTAAATTGGGTTATTAGTTGTAGTAATTGTTGCAGCAATTGATGGATGAGTTAGATTTGGCAAAGAAGGAGAAGGAACAATTGCGCAACAATCTGATCGAGTTATCGTAAATTACAACAGATTCATTTGATGACTCGAATAAATACTTGAATGAGGATTATCAAAGGTTGATGCAGGAGTTTCATGAGCAGAATGCATTACAATTAGAATAACACTAATTCTTGAAACAATAAGTGGATCAGATCAATTTAGATAGAATCAAATTGCAATAAAATACTATTGTACTTGAGAACAGAGTTTAAGATTCAGAAAAAGAATTGGGATTTGTTTGATTATAAATAAATGAAAATTAAACTAGCAATTATCTTTAACTTATTACTCTTACTAGAAGCCTCCACAATATCCAATACCAAGTGCAAATGTGAGCAAATACTCTCACAACCTGATTGCTAAAATCCTAAAAACACATGTCTCTGGGATTCCGACAAATGTGTCACCAATCCCACTCCACCTGGGGTTGTTACTTAAATTGTCACTTATTGTAGTCCATTAGGAGATTCTGTATGTCAATCGACTATTGGTTGTGCATGGATAGATAAATAATGCTAGTAATTTGCAGGTTGTAGTGCATATTACTATACAAAGTACACAGAATGTTAGTATGTCTCATAATATTGTTCGAGTGATGGGTCACATTGTATAGATTCAGGAAATTGTGCTGATTACAAAACTGAAACAGCATGCTTTAAAAACTAAAAGGGTTTACTTTGTTATTGGAATGCAGATAAATGCCAAGATTTCACAGAATGTAGTTAATTACCATTAGCATTATAATCTGATAGTGAATGTAGAAAGAATTTATCAAAATGCACAGTTGGAGAACAAGGAGGTTGCATAGATAGTGGAGACACTTGTGAGAATTAAAAATTGATATCATAGTGTAAGTGGAATAAGTCGTAAACACAGCAATGTGTATGGTCTGATAATAAATGTCTTACACTGACATGTTCAAATGCACCTCTTACATATAAAACTGACTAACAATGCTATTAGTTCTTGATTGGTTGTACAACAAAAGAGAATGGAGGATGTACAAAAATCACGGAATGTTCGAATGCAAAAATTGAGGCTGCTTGTGTTAGAAATCAATCTGGATAACCATGTATTTGGTTAGATAATAGTTGCTATGAGTCGGTTTGCTCTAAAGCACCTGCTTCTTTTACTACTAATGAGTAATGTAAGAAAATTGGTAAGAATTGTATTACTACTACGAATGGATGCATCGAACAACTTTCTTGTTCCAGCACCAATAATGAAACAGGGTGCATTGATATGACTGATGGTACTAAATGCTATTGGAGTGGTTCGCAATGTCTATTAAAAACATGTTCTAACAACACAACAGCCACTTCACAAGCAGAATGTGAAGCCTTTTCAAGTGAATGCACATTCAATGTTGCAGCATCTGCTGGATGTGTAGATAGAATATGCGAAAACATCACTCAACAAGATCAATGCTCAACAGATTCGTTTAAAAATAATTGTGTTTGGAAAAATACTTGTTTCACTAGGTAGTGTGTTTTTGCATCCAAATCATTTAGGACTCACACTGAGTGTGAAGCATACATGGTAGGCTGTATCGTAGATAATTCTGGATTTGGTTGCATGAATAAAATGCTCACATGTTAGGCATACACAAGTGAAACGTCCTGCTATTAAACTTAATCAGGGGGTCATTGTGCATGGAAGAATTCTGCCTGTGTTGATAGACAATGTAGTATGGCTGATAGTTCAATTACAACAACAGGAGGTTGTTAGTAGTTTAAATCTGATTGCATAGTAAATAATAATCAAAGTGGATGCATGAATCTCACATCTAATTGTAGTGATAGACAACTACAATAGAATTGTGAATATGGAACATCACCTATTTGTATTTGGAATATTAACAAATGTGTTCAGTAATCTTGTGAAACTGCCAATGTAGTTGGATCTCCAAATTACTTAACAGCCTTCAATTAGACAAATTGCAGTCAATATATGAATAATTGCGTGTTGAACAACTCTAGTAATGGATGCATAGCCAAACCTTCTTCATGTGGTGTGTTGAGTATTAACAATTGTTTTGTGTCAACTCAAAATGATTGTATTTGGACAGGAGGACAATGCAAAGAAAAGATATGCTCGAATCTGGTTGGTAGTACTCACTCAGATTGCTATAGTCTTTACAATTAATGCACAGTAAATAGTAGTTCAAATGGATGTATCAACATTTAAAGGTGTTCTCAATATACTATTGCAGAATAATGTAAGTTAAATCAGACAGGAGGCTAGTGTATTTGGACAGGATTGCAATGTAGAGAATCTGGATGTAGTGATTCAACAGACACTAGCAATTATGATACATATGAGAAATGTCAATAGTTGAATTCTCAATGCACAGTGTTGAGCAAGGTGAATCAGCAAGGATGTGTGAATAAATTGAGCAATTGCATAGAATACAAGTATGAATATCAATGTCACTCGACAATCAACTAAGTCTAGTGTATTTGGCTCTAAGATTAATGCCAAGAACTCCAATAGATAAACTGCAGTGACATTCGATTGACAACATATAATGATGCTAATTGCAGTGCTGTGTTGCAAAGATGTAAGGTGAATAATTTCTCAACAGGATGCATCAACAAAATATGCACCGACTATCAATACACAACAAAAGTCAGTTGTGAGATGATCACAGGATGTACATTGAATAGTGCTTCAACAAGATGTATTACAAAAAAGGACTACTGTTCTGATTACACTCCAGATCTGTCTTAATGCAAATATTCTAAAGAAGGAGATTGTGTAGTAAAAGGAACTTCATGTCTTTACACTCATGTTGATTGTGGTTCTATTCTGAATCCCACAGTAAATAGTGATTGTTCTAGTTAAAGAGACTTTTGTATTATGGTTGTATCAGGTACAACTAAAACATGTGCTAGTGGGCTCTGCACAAATTATGCTGGTGGTACAATCTCCTTTGATGCTTGCCAAGAATATGATAACTCTTGTACTGTGAATAGAACAGGAACTGGTTGTGCTAGTATGGCTAATACATGCAGTGCTGCCTCAAGTGACAGTTGCTATTACTCAAAGAATGATCATTATTGTATTTGGACGGGTTCTGTATGCAAACCTATAGCCATAGCTTCAGAGATGAATTGTCAATTGAAGACTGATGCTACTTCGAGTTTAACCTATGAAAAATGTCTAAAATTCTCAAATAATTATTGCAGTGTCAATAGAGCCATGAATGCTTGTACAAACATTAAGGCCGACTGCAGTCAATATACTAATTTGAGTGATTGTTACCATTCATCCAGGGGTAGATGCATATAGAATTAATAAACGAATGCAGGTGCCTCATGCATAGAAATCACCAATACAATTTCGTGTAACCAAATCTTTTTGGGTGAGACATTTACTTACACTCTTGATGATTGTCGAAAGTTGAAAAGCACATGTACAAATGACTCAACCACTGGATGCAAAGACAAGACGTGTTCAAATGTAGATACAATGAAAACATCTCATGCAGATTGCTAAGATTGGTTGCCAACATGTACTATCAATTCCTCATTTAATACTTGTGTTGAAATGAAGTTAACATGTTCGGAATAGACTGCAAGTTCCTGTCTATGGTCTCAAGAAGGCGAATGCATTGTAGTAGACAATAAATGTCTTAAGATGGCTTGTCATCTTTTGTCCAGCAGCTTCACAACTCACAGTCAATGTGAAAATATCAGTAATAAGTGTACAATTACCAATAAAGGTGGTTGCATCACTAAATTATAAAATTGTAGTAGTTATTTGACATAAATTCAATGCAAGTTTAATTCTGCTAACCAAAGATGTTGGTGGAATCCATCTACTTTGAATTGCATCGATTTCAATTGTTAAGAAATTGAGAAAACAGGAATCTCAGAACCAGATTGTCCATCCTTAAAATCTTGTGACCTATACACAAGTTCATCATAATGCGTTGTTGACAATAACAATAAAAATTGCTTATGGAACACAAATACAAGCAAATGTCAATACAGATAATGCAATGTTGCTGCACTTTCCAATACTTCTCATTAGCAATGTCAAAGTTTCGATGCCACTTGCACAGTCTCTGTCAAATTAGATGACTAACAATAATAGGTCATTCAAGGTTGTCAAGATGTCAGTGCTAGTTGTAGTGACTATAAATTTGAATAACAATGTTTTACCACTAAAGACAATAAATAATGTACTTGGTTCGAATCTGCATGCACAGAATTGAATTGTAACACTGCTCCAAAAACTACTGATTATTCTACTCATTAAGCTTGTCAAAGTTACTTAAATAATTGCACTGTTTCATCAGATTTATTGGGTTGCATTCCCATTCCTAGTAAATGCCCTGAAATCTCTATTGAACTTTCATGTATACGAGATGGAAGTGGAAATGATTGTTTCTGGTATGATTCCAAATGCTAAATCAAAACTTGTTCTGCTGCTCCCCCTGATTAAAATACTGCTTCATTATGTTCTAGTTGGCTACCTACTTGTACAGCTGAAGACACCAACAAATGCAAGAGACATCTGTGTGAAGAATATGAATTCACAACTGATTCAGAATGCAAAACAGCCATGTCTACTTGCACTACTGATGGTACTAAATGTATCAAAAGAGGAACCTGCTCAACAGCCACAAGTGAAGCAGGATGCACAAAGTCACTCAAAGAGGAATAATGTTATTGGGTAGGTAATAAATGTACCTTGAAAGAGTGCTAGGTAATCAACAAAGAGAAAGATTGTAATTTGAGTTATAACAATGTTAAATGCATTTGGGACAAAGGTAATTGCAGAAACATCGGAGAATGCTAAGATTATAGTGGTACTACTTATGGAGACTGTTAGAAATTAAATACTTCATGCACAATTGGAGAGAATTAGAAATGCATGAAAATCAAAAGTTGCAGTGATTTCACCACTTAATCATCGTGTGTCTTAGGATTAGATGGACCATGCAAATGGATTGATAAGTTAGCCTAATGCTTTTTATTCACCTCATGTAAATCTATACAATTCAAAACTGATCAAGAATGCAAGTAGGTCTCACCCCTGTGTACAACTGATGGAGTGAGTTGTGTTTCTCTTACATTATGCAATGAAACAAATACAAATGGTGGTTGTGTCACTGGAATTGATGGTGATTGCATCAAGACTGTTCCTGCTTTGAATTCAACCCAACCTCCAATTTGTAAGTTATTTACCTCGTGCATTGATGCTTACTATCTGACTCATTAAGAATGTCAAAGTGCCAACAAAGGTTGTACAACTGATGGATTGAATGGATGTATCAGTCTGGGGGAATGCAATTAATATGTCAATTCAGCATCATGTAAAATGGATTCAATAGGAAAGCTAATTAAAAATGATCAGATCACATCAACAGGAGTTTGTGTTTGGAGTGAAACTGGGTCATGTAGAAATCAAACTTGTCCAGATTTGGCTGGCTCATCTCATGAGCAATGTACTCTTTAGTTATCAAATTGCACTTATGATGGAACAGCATGCATAACCAAGTCTAGTTGTACTGAATATAAAGTGCAGGAAATTTGCACCGTTGCCTATGGATTAGAGGGCAAGTGCAATTGGAATACTACCTTAGGAACCTGTTAGATGTATATGTGTAGTAGTATCACTACTGGAAGCACATTGCAACTATGTTAGTAATCATTGCCATCATGTATTACAGATGGGTCCAAGTGCATCAACAAAGATATGTGTTCAACCTATAACACCAAAATTGCCTGTAGTATTGGTGGAACTGATGGTATATGTGTATGGAATGGACAATCCTGTTCCCTCATGCAATCATGCACCCAAGCTGATTAAGATCAAGAAGCCTGTTTGTCAGCCAAGGATCGTTGTGCTTTTAAATATGCAACTGGTCTATCTACTAGTTCATGTTATGCTCATACTTGCGAATCATATCAAAAGTCAAATGGAAAATGCAGTTCATTTTATGATTGGAACTAATCTACTAAAAGAGGCTGTTCATTTGTAGATGGTAAATGCGCAGAAATTCAGTTTGGTACTCTTGATCAATCACAATGTTTCACTGTGTCTGAATACACTTACACCTGGAGTACAAGCAAGAGCAGATGCCAATCCTGCAGTGGCTCAACAGATACAACAACTCCCAATTAGACTACGAACAGTACCAATTCAACTAGTAATACGTCGACTCCAACTAGTACGGTGGATGACTTTGCTTAGAATCTGGAATTGATTATTATGTTCTTGATTATGGTCTATTGATGACATTCAATTCATAATTATCATAATACATATTAAATATTAATAATATTATTCATTCTCCTTAAAGATAGAATACCCATTGTGGCAAATCTCCGCAGGAAATTATTAATCTTCCATTGTTGCTTGTGTTTGGTACTGCTTTGTAGGTGATGTTTATGCTCAATACTTTTTTACCCTAAAAAACTCAATTAGATTTCTTACATCAACTTTGATAGGGGACTTGACTGAAGAAGTAAATGCAGGATTGTCAATTCTCAAAGTGAACTCTTAAGCTTCAAAGAAGGGATTCTTAAATTCAATAGCAGGTGGTTTGGCACCCGATAATTTGTATGGTCCTTTCGGCTAGGGAGTGATTCCTTATCCAATCAACAGACATTGATATTCTTTGAAAAATAAAATAATTTGTTTTACCTCCACCATCAGGGGATTGCACAACCAAGATACCTCTGCTTTCATTGAGACTGCTGGGCTCATACTTCACACTGATCTGACATTCCACCCCATCAAACGATTCAGATTATGGTGCTTGGAATTGAACCTATTCGCAAATAAAGTCTGTAGTCTAGGTTGGTGCACCTTTAGCCTTTGGGTCTATGTTCACAGCAAGTGGTTTTCCATTTGGACCCAATTTCGTGGCATAACATGTGTACATGGTAGGCTTCTTGGTGTAGTTCATAAACTTGAATGGTAAGACCATTTCAGTGCCCAAAGAAGCTTTGAAATAGAGTGATCTTGACACATTCTACTGCAATCCTTATAATTTCAGAGGATAGACAAACTCTCCCAATTGAACAGATTTTATTGTGATCTTGGATTGAATGTCTTGCACCACCAGAGGTCTGTAGGCTATTTCAAGACCGAATTCAGATTTAGGTGGGATTACGAATTATTAAGGATTGAATGAGATACTGTCAGTTTCAGCTATAAGTTGGTCCTTCTTAAATTCTACTGGCTAATTGATTGGATTCTCGATGGTGATCAATTTCGTAGCCACTTCCCTAACTATGGATGTCAATTCAATTCTTGGCAGTTGATCTGGAGGTTGAATGGTTAAATTCTATAAATATATTAATTATATTGGTTACTATTTTGAAGAACACAAATTCTTATGTGATGGCATTTCTGAAATAGACTGTAACTTTATTTTAAGATTGCTTAAGCCCATATATAGTGAGTTTGTAGTCCTTGGTTCCTTCACTCGATACTTCAAAAGTGTTGGCTCCATTTAGAATAATAGAAGGATCTTCAGGTTCCAATGTCCAGGTAACCTCGAATCTTTGACTGGTCTTCAGCCAGTTTTTCACTTGCAACACTTAGGTTGTGTTCTTTTTGGCCTTCATGGTTGTGTCCACAGTTTATGGTAATGGTGGCAAACTCTTACCAAATAGATTATAGAGAAGTGCCTACCCATCAGGTAATGGGAAAAAGAGTGATCCTTCATGTTGATCCTGTAAGTTTTAGATTGAAGGATTGGATGTCATTGTTAAAGGCTTGTAAACGACTTCATATTCTGCTTATCCATTGGCCGGGACTTCTATGTATTCTTTACCTTCAAAGTAATCTTTAAATTAAGGCAATAAAGCAGACACTGAAGCTTTGACTTTCCAGGGCTTTGGAGTTGGATTTTTGACAGTGACCTTTTTAGAAGTGGGTACTCTCACAACAGTCTCAAATTTCACTTCTTAGATTTATTCTTTTGGTTATTCTATGCATTTTCCTAAGAGATTCAAGTACAATGGGTCTGAATTTTGGATCAAGCATTTCACCTTATCGAATCTAATGTCATTATCAATAGCGTTTGGATGGAAAGTAATCTAAAATTGAAGATCCTCATGAGCTGGCAATGTTCCTGATAAAGGAGTGATAGTGAAGTAGTTCTTACAAAACGAGGTATCCCATTGGAATTTAGCAGCAACATCTCCCAAATTGCTCAATTGCACATTCTTTGTAAGTCTTGAATTGATAACGACTCCACCAAATCCTATGGTATCCTCCATCAACTTCAACTCTATGCCATGACAAGCTCCTTGCAATGTCAATAGTTTTCTCACCTCATTGTTTTCAACGATCTTAAAGAACAGATCAGTCTTGAAGGAGTGCAACCTCTATTAAGGTTTGAAGGTGAGAGTAATTTCTTTTCTCTCCCTTGGATTAATCACAAACTCCTTCTTTGGTCTTACCTTAATGAAATATTTCTATTTCAATTCTTTCAACAAGTCCTACTCGAAGATCAAGGTGACCATCTTTTGAGAATTATTCACCAAAGAAACTACCTCTGTTCCAATCTGTCCGACGCCATAAATTCCAAAATCTACAAATTAGTATTCTGTCTTCAATAAGTCCAACTTCAAAGGAACACCTTCTCCTGTAAATCTCACCTCCACCTTTTACAATCCATTAATGTCAAAGATCACACTTTCGTCATATTTGACCAACTCTCTAGGTGTGAAGGTTATTGGAATCTACAACACATTCAACTCCTTTGTTTATATGATACCCTTCTTATCCTTATGAGTTTCTATCTGAATTGGCAAGAGCACCTAACCTGAAGGCAATTGCACTCCAAAGTATGGTTTTTTCTCATACAAAGCTTCGATTGCCATAGCTTGAACGTCTCTATTCCTCAACTCCAAATACTTAGTGATGGGCAATGGTTATCTCAAGACAAAGCATGGGCCAAAGTCATATTATAAGAATGAGAATTCCACTGCTGGCTTTTTGGCAGATCCAATCAATTGGAAATTGTATGTAGGTCCACTTGAAATACATAATGAAAATTGTTGATTCAATTTCTATGGGGCTGTTGGTTGATATCTGATCTCAATATTAAACTTCTCATTCTTCTTCACCGTACCATTCTCTGGATTGATAATCACGATATTGGATAATTGAGCTGATTTCCTAACACTGAAATCGAAATTGAAGTCTCCCTAATTCTCAACTGTGATCTATTTGCTGGATTTCTCGTTGATGTACAAATCTCCCAATTCAACTACCGTATTTTATTGAGTCACAGCCACACCATTCAAGTACACATTGTTGTGTAGAATGTACCCAATTCCCTTGACATTCAAAGTCACTGGTCTCTATCTTCTCTTCACATTGCATAACAGATTATAATTGTATTCTCTTTCTACTTTTGGTGCAAATTATATCTCAATAGGTTAATCTCCAAGTGCCTTAATGGTACCTTAAACTGGAGTTATGGTTAATGAATCACCGAACTCTGGATTATGGAAAGACTCCCTATCAAATTAAAACGTCAAAGGAACATCCTCTAAATTCTTTAAAATCACTGTTTCTTTATTCTTTCCTTGAACCAATAAGGGACCAAAATTGACCTTACCAACATTGAATATGACATTTGGCTCAACCACACTACCAGTAACTAAGAAATATTAAATAATATGTTCTTGTGGAATCTCGAAAACCCAATAGCTTTCGTGTTGTCCTTATGTGTCTGGTGAATATTCGAAGATGATTTCTGATTTCTTGCCAGACAACACCACACCCTTGATTGTGATACATTTGAAGTAGTTTGCATTCTGATTCTTTTCATCATCAATTCTCTTCCATTCATATTCGTAACCAACTGAAGTGGGATTCACGACATAAAATCTCTTTGTGTTCTTAACCTTGCATCCCAAGCTCTCAAATTCAATCACATTGTACTTGGCTTCCAAATCTGGCTTCTTATCTCTGTAATTGCTAGGTGGCAATTCAAAATGACATATTGGTCTTTCTGCTTGTCCATCCAATTCAACAATCAACTTCTCTTGATTTGGATCCAAATTATCTATTGAGATGACCAACAACCTCTCATTCGACTCATCGACTTCTGTAGGACTGAATTTAATGGTGAACATCTCATCACTATTGCTAGCAATCTTGCCTTGCTTTGGATACACATAGAAGTATCCAGGATCTATGGCACCAGTTTATGCTGACACTATCTTACAATTATAGTTTATGGCTATCAATGAAGTATTCTTTAATTTTAATTAATGGACTCGAGTGGTGTACATCAATGTCTCCTTAAAGTAAACACTTCTCTGGTCGATCTCATATTTGGAAAAATCAGCAATTGCATTCACCTTCATTGGCATACTCTTATCACTCTTGTCGATAACCTGATATTCTGGCTCAGGCAATGGGTCTGAAATAGGAATGTTGGCCTCCTCTCCAGGTTCAGGTTGAGGAGGTTGGACGATGTCTTACTTCACAGCCTTCTTATCAACTTTCTTGGCTCCCTTTTTGTTGGCAGCTTCTTCAGCCAATCTCCTAGCCTCTTCTTCCTCCCTTCTCTTCATCAACCAATTGTATTCAGTCAAAGTGACATATTTTGTCGTTGCCATACTATCATCCCATTCGGATTGAGTCTTCTTATTAATTTGTTTGGTATCACACTACAAGGCAAACGATTTGTGGGTTATGCTTCTATTGGATTTAAATATTAATGTGATGGGCTTAGATTCTTTGGTATTCAAATGACCTTGTCTAGGAATGAATGTAAAATCTTCACATCCTTAAGTGTTCCATTAGAATCGAATTGTGTTGGCTCCATTGTTTTTAAGGAAAAACTATATTTTCTTTTCTGTATTTATAATACAATCACCAAATTGAACTTCATCATCCAAGTTTTCAAATACAATGTCCTCTTAGAATGCTTCTCCTGTAACTGCCACTTTAGTAACTTCGTAGGGATTCAGCAGTGTTTACATTACAAAATAATGTTACTTAACTCCCACATCCTTTGGAGTGAATTCAATGTTGAAAGTAGCAGTGGTTTTAGGAGTAAGGGTAAATGTGTTTTGGTCTAAGAACCTAAAATGTTCATTCACTGCTGTCAAATCCCATTTAACTGTTGCTGGAATCTACCCATCATTCTTCAATACGATTGGCATAGTTAAAGTCTTGCCCAATCGAACTCTGCCAAACTTAACGACAGGTGTCCTCTCATCTAACCAATCCTTAGGTTTCTCCAATTTCAGTGTAGGCAAGGCTCCTTCTCCTCTTAAATCAAACAATAATTTATGTGTCTTGGGACTTTGTTCACCATTCTCAACGATGGCCTCAAAAATACCATAATATTGAGCCATTATAGTAGGTTTGAAAGCAACCTTGATATAGACACTTTCATGAGGTGCTATCTTGACTTGTTTGGGGAAAACTTCAAATGCGAAGTTATCATTGGGGTAATTTTGCCTTCTTCTTGCATCTAATTTGACACTGCATGGAATCTTGTTGGGATTTGTGAGTTTGAATCTCTCCACTACTCCATCTGGAACTTTAGATGGCACCAATGTACCAAAGCTGAATACCTTTTCCTCTATGAAGAAGACATTGGAATTAATCAAGTTAGATAGATTATTCACTTGGGATTGCAATACGACTTGCTCTTCGAAAATAGATTCATAACTAGTTGTACTAATACCTGGAATACAACTTTCACTCAGTACTTCATATTCAATTCCATTTGGTTAATCTTCTGGATTACGATTAATAATATCGATTGCCAATTTTTGTTCATAATTCTTCTAGCCTTGTCCTGCAAAAGTGATTTCCACTGTGCAAGAAGAGTCTGGGGCTATTGTGCCAATACTAGGCATGATAGTCCATTGTCCAATTTTCAATTATCCAGGAGGTGGATCATTCTTTCCTGGCTTAGCCTATTTCTTCTCTTGCTTTTTATCATCCTTCTTTGGTCCTTTCTTAGGATCCACAGGTGCCAATGAAGATGGCATAGCTTTCATCAATTCCTTCTTTTCCTAGGCTTCCTTAGACTATTGATCCAATAATTGCTTTCTGAATTCTTCATTCGCATAATCAAATATTGTGAAATTGAATTCGAATTACCCTTCATTCTTGATCTCCAAGTGTCTTACTTTCGATTCATTGAATTGAATAGGTCCGAAATTGATATTTTTTAATGGATTTATTGAATACTTCGAATACACACTATTGAATTGCACATTAATAGGAACAGGCTTATAGATCTCCTGTGTTTTGCCTTCCAAGATCTCTAAGTATAGGTCAGTTGTATCATTTGTAGTCTTCATCTTGATCTCCTTAACACCACAAAACCTTATCAAAATATCCTTCTACTGACCTGGATTGAGATCAGTTTCCATCGGTTCCAATTAGAACAATTGAGGAAAGAGCTTCTTTTTAATTAGACACTTAATTTTCACCAAATACTATCCAATGTTCTTGACTTGCAACACTTGATCTTTGAAATCACCCACTTTCACACTTCCAAAATCTAAGATATTCTCTGGTGTTGGATACTTGATGTCAACTTAAATTTAAAATGCTTCTGCATCCACATTAATAATCTTGGGATCCTACTTAATGTTCATGTTCTCCACATCTTCAACTTCAAGAGTTATTTTTAGATTTAATTTTCTCTCCTTGATTGCTCTGAATCTTATTTCAATCTTAGCTTCCATTGTAGGAGCCAATTCACCTGAAGTGTTGATCACTTAGAATTCCTCTTCCAATTACTCTATTCCTGTTAATTTCCATTTTGCATTAATCATGCCTGTGTTCTTAATAGTGACTGTCCTGGAATCAGATTAAGATATTAATAATCTTTCAAATTTGATGTCAGGATTAATTAAATCAATTGTAGGTCTACATCCAATGCATACCATAGGGATGATGAGAGGCAAAGGATTATCTTTGATCTAGACAATCAAATCATCTCTGAATTTCTAAGGCTTATCTGGAAATGCCCACACTCTTAGCTCCAATGGTACACTGTTCATTTGGATTTTGGAATTATCTAAATCCAAAGTGAACACTCCTTTTTGAATCTCTTTATTCTCTTGGATGCTTGATAAGAGGGAGAATTGCAACTCAGTATCAAATTTACCAGAATTAGACAATCTAAATGTTGTACTATTGATCGCTCTATTGGCTACCTTATCAGACTTTCCAATGAGCAATGGTCCAAAATCAAAGCTTTGTTCATTCTAAACATAAACTTTGCTTAAGTATGAATCAGGTGCAAGAGCAGGTCTGGCTTTCTTTACAGTCCAAAACAGTTATTTTGGCAATCCACTTAAAGAAGGGTAATCAGCAACTCCTTTGACTTCAGCAGCCGACTTCTTGATGGAAAAGAAATTATCAAAGTTGAGTCTGCCTTCGAATGAACCAGTATGTTTAGTAAAGAATTAGATCACTAATATCAATGTTCTACCAGCTGGGATGTTCCATCTGTATTGTTTTTAGATTAAATCTTCAAGTTTATAATTATACTTCTGATCATTGCCTTAAGTTGAATCTGCATTCTTTTGCTATTGCGATCTCTTACTTACATTCGCAATTGATCTAGAAGTAACATTAGCTCTTGCTTTGACAGAGGGAGTGACTGGTTTATTTAATTGATCGGGATGCTAGAGTTGTTCCCTACTTGGTGAATTGATGTCCTCCAAATGTTTATTTTATTCCTCCTAGAGATTGTTCTTGTCTTCATCAACATGCTCAGTCTTTTATTAAGATTGCATTTTGAAATCCTTCACATACATATCTTTCGGTGTGAGGATGTTAAAGTATTTTAGAGTCTAAGTAAGAGTTGCATTTGATTAATGTATTGATGACTCCTTTGTGTCGGTCTTTTTTCTACCTGTCTGTATTGATTAGTTCAGGTTGTCTTTCTTCTTCATCACAATCTAATGGTAAATTGGATCAGGAATTGGCAACGAATTTGGATTTGGATAAATTGGAGCCGGTATCACTTGCAATCCTGTTTAGCATAATTATGGTAAGTTATAATGGAATGGAACTTCGTTAAATTATCTTTCTCCTTTTTAAAGATATGTGTAATCTATTATTTCTACTTTTGGCTCTTCTGGTTCAGGTGGCTTATCACCTTTCTTGGCTGGCTTCTGTGGTTTCTCTTCCTTTTTACCTTCATCAAACACAGGGTCATGAATTTTAGTAGCTATTTCAATTTTCTCATGATATTTGTTCTCTATTAGAGCTTTCACTTTTGTTATTAAGTCATTGAAATTCTATTTCTGTATTTCATCTTCAAAACTAGCTGGGTAAAACACATCATAATAACTTTATTCCACCAGATTTCCTGCTGATTTTGGCTATGACTTTGGTCTTGATTTCTGTCTTGATTATTATTGTTGTTGTAATTGCAATTATGAAACGAGAGGTTTCTCTTGCTTCTTAGTTACACTCTAAGATTACTCTTTTCCTCTCTTAGTCTGAGTTTTATTATTCTTGTCTTTTGATGTGGGAATAGGATCCACTATTTCTTCTTTCTTAGGTTTGTCCTCTTCAGCCAATTTCTCCATTCCTGGCCATTCAATCAATTTCTAGATTTCAAAACCATATTGATCAAATTATTCCTTCAACACTACTACTTACAAATGAGAGTCAATCTCCATGATGCATTTCATCAAATATAATTCATTTGGCCAATATTTGGATTATAAATTATCAAAAATAGCACCAGCACCACAATCTTCATGAGCCAATCTTGCTTTCAACAATTTTACGATGATATCTTCACTCAAGTACTCGTATAGGTGCAATGGGATTGGTCCCCACTTGTCTTCAAGATCCTTTGATTTCTTTCCTGCCTTCTTTAATAATTTCTCTCTCTCTTATTATACAAATTGGATTTCGTTTTATCTCTATTACAAATATTACTCTAATTGTTGATATGCTTGTGTCTAATTCTCTTGATTCCATTGAACCAACTCATTCATATTAATCACTTTCCTTCTGTGAGTCTACTCCAAATAATTGGCTAAATGAGTCTTTCCACATTTAGGAGGGCCCATGATAACAATGTTTTTCAAGACATCCTCGCTGACCTTCTTTGGATATTCAACTTTAATCATAGTTTCTTGTATTACAATATCATCTAATTCTTTTTACAATTATTCTTTATTTTCAACATTGGGATCTTGCAATTTATTCAAGATTTGATCCTTTCTCTTACTTCTATTGAATGCTTTCTAAAAGTCTAACCATATTGGTTGTCCTGGCTATCTCACAGGCATCAATATAAAATCTGTATGTTCCAATTATGGATAACTATTAACAATTTCATCATCCTAAATATATTGGGTATCAAAATCTAATGAGAATATTTCAGTGTCAAATTCAGTTGGATTCTTGATTTCCAATACAGAATGAGCAAACTTATCATAGGGTAAGATGGGCCCTATGTTTATCAATTATGGGTTGAATTGTAAATTGATACTTGTTCCAGTTCCTTTTAGATTCAAAATATAAGGTGTTGCATTCTCCTTGATATTGAGAGTGAACTTTTAGGAATAGCTTCTTTCAACCAAAGGAGTGAAATGTGCCTCCACTAATTATTTATCCCCTGGTTTAATTATACCACTATTAGGCACTAAGACAAATCTAGGTTCCTCTTTCTTATCAGCTGTCAATTCTTATCTAGTGGATTGAGACCATTCACAATCGATCTCTTTATCATTGACAAACCTTAAGAAGATGATCTTCTTCTATCCAATCAGAACTTTACCAAAATCTATTTATCCATCAGCTGAGTTCTCAATAACAATTTAAGGAATAGTGATATTGGCCACTAATTCAAGATGAAACTTTGGACCCTTCTTCAATTCAATTGGCACAACAGTCTTAGTTGGTCCAAAACCCATGTTCTTTTTTGTCTAATATTGAATGTTCAAAGTTATATTAGCACCACTTGGTAAATTCAAAACCCTTTCTGGTACAATATTGTATCCCTAAGGTTTAAAGTACTTACCATCTAAAACAAACTCAACTGGCAAAGTGCCTGGGTTGTTGATGGTTATTGTTTTTTATCTAATTGAATTAAGCACCACATTGCCAAAATCACAAATGTAAGTAGCCAAAATCACATTATCATAGAATTTCTCTTTTTGATCCCTTGAATGAGTCCTCTCATCCTACTTATCCAACACAGTCCTCTTTATCTATTCGCAAAACACAAACCTATCAATGTCCCTCTCAACTTCCAACTATACTTATTCCAAAGTCTTAACCTAAACCTTCTAATTCTATGTCTTAGCTATAAGTTAAGCCCTCTTAGTCTGAGTTTCCAAATCAGCCTTCTTCTTTGCAATTTCAACATCAAACTTCTACTAGAATAAGGGATTTTCAGATCTTGGCAATTACACCACCATCGAAGGATAGACACCTCTTCCAATAATAGTAATTGGTTCTGGCTCATAATATCCTATCTACACCAAGATGATTTCCTTGAATTCTGCAGGTATTACTGGTGAGACTCTTACTGTAATTCTGAGTTTTTCACCTCCTGCAATCTTTCCATTTTATGGTTGTACATCCACGAATCCCTTCTTCTTTATGTGTCTCAAATCAATCTTAAATTCAAAAGTAACTTTTCCTGTGTTTTCAATTGTAAATTCCCTAGAAACCCATTCACAAAACCTCACATCTCCTAATTCAATCAAAGTAGTGCTCATTTTAGATGATAATAAACTGCTATCTCCCACCAAAGTCACCTCGTACTCAGGACCACCATCAACATGACAGACAGCAGTGGTTTTAAATCTTTGTCCTCCAATTGCATTATACACAAACTCTACTTGTTCTTCTGACCCAGGTTCCATGTAACCACTTAGTGGTAAGATATCAAAGATTTCGTTAATTGGAATATTTGGCTATTGTCCTTGAGTAGACAATTCTTCACTTACGAAAGTCCATTCATAATTCAGTGCCATTTCACTTTGATTCTTCATTGTCATAACCATCTTCTTTGTTGTGTCATATAGAATAGATCCAAAATTAATAAGATTTGTTTCCATGATTAAATTCGGAAAGTTGACCTACCCAATCAAATCAATCAGATCCTTATGAGGATGTTCATAATGAGACAACTATAGTTTGCCTTCTAAATCGCCAGATTTACGATCAGATTTAAAAGCAGGATCAAAATCAATCCTAACTACTGCACTCTTACCTGGATTCAATTACAACTTATCCTAATTCACAGTGAAGGGTTATTGACACTTTAAATCAAAGTTTACAGGTAGGGGACAAGCACAAGTGATTTCGAGATTCTTTGAAATAGGCATAAATGGAACATTCTTCTCCCACGAATACTTAAAGAAAAGTTTCCTCTCTGAAAATTACAAGGTGGGTTAGATGAAATCACCTTCAATTGTTGTTGCAAATAGCAGATTTGCTTTTCTCTCCGTACCTATTGTGGAATTTAACATAAAAATCTCAGAAATCTTTCCCTTCTTCTGTGAGTACCCTCTGAATTAGAACATGATTCCATGCTTAGGAGGTAAAACGATTGTATCAGGAGCAATTGAGAATACTGATTCTTCTTCTGGGGGAGGAGGAGCCTTGTTATTCTTCTAATCCTGTTCTTCCTTCTTCTATTGTGGTTTCTTTTGAGTCCATTGTAATTTTTACTGTTTCCTGCCTTTATTCTCAACAAAGATCTCCTTTGTCACTTTTCTGTGAGTATAATTGACTCCCATATTCACAGATGATAAATCATCCTTACAAAATATTGTTGATCCAATTCCTTTGGCTTTTAATTACACTTCCACGTCATCACCTTCCTTGATAACAAAATGAAGGACATCAGAAACCTTCACAGCATCATCAGCACTACAAAGCACTTCAATTTCACAACTCTCCTTTGGTTTTATAATTCCATGTTTTTGAATCGGTTTAAATATTGAGACTTTATTCTTTGTGAAGGCATGGAAATCAGCCTCAATATCGCTATCATTGGTCAATGTTAATTTAAGGGAGTAATCCTTTAAGACTTCAACATTTCCAAAATCCAATTCTGTTTTTGATGTTTTCACCTTTGGTCCTTCTGAAAATGCTACAATTGTTATCACATGAGGCTATCCATTATTGGTACCAACTATATTTATTTACAATGGCAGTGTGATGTCATATAATTTCTTTGTAGTCAATGTCACTTCCAAAGACATAGTTGAATTACCATTGATCTTGCCACTGGATGGTTCCACTGTGTAATCTGCTAACACTTTATACTCGTCATTCTGAGGTAAAACAACGAATTTGGCTGGTAATTCAGATGTATTAATTAAATCCACTCTTGATTTACATGGATTTCTCAAGAATACTTTCTAATCATCTCCTTTGTTGAAATTCAATCTATCACTTGGCCTCAATTCCACTCTTGGAGCTTAACAATCAGCAGTAATTGGTATCGATAACATGTCTTATCCAACACCTTCGATGTCTACAACCATAACTTATTCATAAGTCTTAATTTATTTTGGAATGAAGGTCACTTTAATTACATCGAAATTTTTCGGTTAGATCGTATTTCTTCTAGGTTCTATTTCAAATTCCCTTTCAGCTAATTTACCATCTCCAGGGATTTTAAGTTCGTATGTAAATGCAACTGTAGATGTGTTAGTCATTCTTATACTCTTGGTTTATTCGAATGAATAACTGACAGTACCAAATTGAATTTTCTCATCTTAGAAATTGAATGTAGGAGCAATCACATGTCCAATAAATAGTATAGTTAATTAATCTGTAGATCCTTCTAATTTCCATCTAAAAGTCTCTTTGAATTCACCTGGGATGCTGGATTTGAAGGTAATTGTGAATGGCATTCTTTGACCAACTGCTAATACTCCTCTTTCAACATCAAATTTGAACATCTTTCCAAATGCTCTTTCATTCGGCATCAACTCGAATTTGCATTCTATTTCTCCTCTATTCTCTATCACAACCTCAGTCTTATGAATTTCATTAACAAACACATCTCCTAAATTCACCTCATAAACACTCAAGAATGCTCTTGGACCCATACCTTGACCATACAAATTCAATGGCAATCTCTCCTCTGAACATGAGATATTGCAATAGGCCACAGTCTAATAGAGAAAGGCACTTCTAGGCACAAATGTGACTGTAACTGTCATCTCTGAATTTGGCCAAATCTATCCTTGTGTAGGTTCAATCGTGAATATATCATCAATGAATAGAAGTAGATCATCCTCAATAGCTTTTCGAATGTTTCTATATTTCCTTGCCAATTATAATTCAGCCTTCTTTTGTCTCTTCAAAATTATAGCTTTTTCATCTCTCTCTTCCTCCTCACTATCTTCATCTTCCTCTAACTCCAATTCTTCATGTACTCCCTCATTTGAGACCAATTCTTTGATAAGCATTCTTTCCTCAGCTTCTTCCTCTTCCAATTGATTCCTCAATCTATTCTTCTTTTCTTATTCCTCCTTCTCTGTTGCAAAAGCTCTCCATTCAAAATCCACTTTCACATTTGATTTATTGATAATCTATAATGTCTACTGCAATTGGAGACCAATAAAGGCTTCAGTCATATTGATTTGACTTTTAGATAGATACACATTCCCATTGTGTGCAACTCCTATTATGGGCACATAGGCTTCCATGTTATCATACTATAAAATTGCCTTATTCTTGTAGGATCTAGCTTCAGTTGGAAAGAATCTGTCGGTATATTTAATATGGATAATTACTTGATGACAATTTGCTCATTCTTGCCATATTCCAAGACTCCCTCCCTTTTGTCGGCATCAAAACCCAAGGGTAGTTTCAAGAACCATTTGGTGGTCTTCTCTCCTAGATTTCTAATGATAACTGGTTTTTCGGTAGTGTATTTAACAGGACAATTTCCAAAATCAAGAGAATCAGGGAAATCTAAGGAATCCAAACAATTACGTACCTATCATCGCTCTTTTTCCCACTGCAACGATTGGCACAACAAATTTCTCTCTTTCTGTCTCAACAATAACATCATAGTTATAATCTGACTTCGATTCAGGAGAAAAACGAATAATGAAGTTGGTTTCCATACCTGGAGCTACCTAGTGGATGATAATCATAAAATAAATGCCTTAGTTCCTGTTCCTGCATCTTTTCCATTAGTACCTTAAGGCACAACCTAAAATAAGCGCGAGTCAGGCTTATATATTTTAACCCTTCGAGCTACCCGATCTTTGTTACGCAACTTGAAAATCTTCTCCTTTATTTGTAATGGCTTGTTTGCTTTTAAAGAGTAAGGTGTACCTCGTAGTCTGTAAATTGTATTATTGGCGGAATTGGGTCAAACAGCGGTTCGTCGATCGGGACACTACTTACTGGTTGAGAGGAGAAGTCAGCCAGATTCTAAAATTCTATGATTTTGATTTTTGGATGTGCATCTTCAAAAATCTATCCAGATAATTGCTTCTAAATCAATTAGGATGGAGTCTAGTTTATAAGAGAGGAATACGAATTCTTAAATTTTAGCTTGTCTATTCGTCTAGGTAAGCTTCTTCTGCATCATCAGTTATTTAATTTAATAAAATATTTTTCTTATATCACTAAATCATTTACACCAGGGACTCTGTCACATTCTATTTAAATTATTAATACATAATTCCTAATTGATCTTGATCTTATCTCCGCACTACATTAATCAAATATCACTTCACAACACCCCTAGTAGGAAAACAAATTCAAATTTTAAAGATATAAATTCAGACATTTAGACGAATACTAAGGATAACGAAAACCAAAATTGGAAAACATGAAATAACTATGTACACAATTCCTATCTCATAATTTCATAAATAAAAAGATACTAAAATTGACACCTAACCTATATTTGAAATAACCAATAATGTTCTGATCCTAAAATAATAAATGAAGGTGATTGCAATTGTTTTAGCAATGATCTACAAAATTCATTTAAGTTTTGAAATTAAAACTAAAATAAATCAATCAATTTTTGAATAAAATGATATTCATTATCCCAAAAGCTGCGTAATAGTAGAAGACCTTCTATTTATTTCTTTATAAAGTTTATGCGTATACAAAATTAGCACAAATACTTAAGTGAAACTATATCAAATAAAAATCAAAATTAATAATAATTGTCTCTTAATTAGGCTATAAATAAAATTGGTGTATAAATATTACAAGCTAAAACGAGAACTATTTCCTATATTCTCTAATTGTTAATTAGAATGAATTTGCTGTATTCAATATTTAATAATATTCATAAATTTTTAGAAAAATGAATAGTGAAAATTTTGATATATCTGTTTAATGTTAACACTTATTTGACCCATCCTAATTTGTTCAGTATCCTAAAATTAGGCTTCAGGAATTTAAATTTAATTTAATTACAATAATCCCAAAAAATCTTGGAATTACGATATAAGAGAAATCAACTGTCATTAAATTTTGTTTCAAATAATATGACAAAATAATATCATATACTTTTAAAAGCATAATCCAAAAAAGTACTGTTAAAAATACAAAGCTGACAATCATAGTTTTCCAGCAAATTTTATTAAAAGACTGTTTATGAATACTGGTTAACAAGCATCAACATTCTTAATGCTCTTCTTGCAATTCATCTAAAATTAAAAATGCCTATTTTGTCTTCAAAAATCTCATATCAGAAATCCTTTTTTGATAATTCTTGATGAATATAGTAAACTATACCTTGATTAAAACATGAGTTTTATTAGATTAGAGTTCTTAAAATAAAATTATAAAATTAATTTGTTTTAATATCAAATTTTATAATTTTATTTTTTATATATATTAGAAAAAGCATTTAATTTGTTATTCTAAAGAAAAAATGAAATTTTTATGTTTGAACACATTATTCAATCAAAATGGATTGGTTTGCTAAGATTTTACAATTCTTCAAATAAGGCCTTAATTTATTCCTAATCATCTATTTCTTATTTTGGCGATTCAAACAATGGTTAATTTAGGTTAGTTTCTAGAGTATGTAGTTCATTCTGTAAGAATTTAGTGGTGAAGTATTGGGAGATATCTTATGTTATTTGTAGGAATTACTTTTAAACTTTTTATGTTAAGACATTGCTCCTATGATGATGTCTATCCTCTCCAATTTATGATTAACTTAATCGAATTGGCTATGCAATAACTACGATAGAATGAGTTTCAACCTTTTTGAGATTCCACATTTCTTCCAAAAGCACACCACTCTTTTATTTTAATATTTGCATGTCCTCATCTAATCTTGTATTAGTATCTTTAATGTCAGATGCGCAGACCCTCAAGATGTTTTACTCTTCCTTCAGTTTAGCAGCTAAGCAGATGATTGTATAAAATACATGGTTGATTAGGATTTACAGATTCTTAATTTCCATCATCATTATTTCTTCGCTTTATAAATTGCAACATCTATCTATTAAATGTATTTTTAAGTTGAATACTTAACTCCTTTTCGAAAGCATTTGTGTTTAAACTCTTAGCCGTCCTAATGTTTACTCTTTTTAAAATTATATAAATTCAATTGTCTGTCTATTCATTCCTCATATTTACCTAAGAAAACTTGAATAATTTCGGTGTTTGAAATATTGTGGTAACACTTATTATTATAATAATTTTTAGCTTTTTACAACAAAGCTTAATCCTTCTTCTGTCCAAGAAACGATATGAGATATAGATTGATCCTAAGTATATATGGAAATTTAACTTCAAGCATCTCAAATGTTTTAGTTATAAAAGTTGGAACTAATGAACGAGTAGCCATTGCTTATAATATATAAATTAATTTTAATATACCAAATTGTTCATTTAATATTATAAATAATGTAGATACTGAAAACTAAATTGTTTAGGTAATTTCAGATTCAGCTCATATAGAGATAATAATTTAATTATTATCTTAACAATTCATCTATTAATGCAGATCATAAAAAAATTTTGCATTTATATGCATTCTATTACGGTTTTAGTAATAATAGAAAAATAAGTATTATTACCATTCATACAGAGTCATCATTGATAATATTTTATAAATTAAATATACTTATATGTATTTATTGTTTTAAAAGTGAATAACATATTTTAATTGAAAAAATTATAGGCTTAAGATTTACATATTTGGTAATATATTATTTTTTCTGATTGAAAAATACTTTAAAAATTATTGATTCAAGTATTGAATTTTCTAATTTTTGTAAATATATTAGAAAATTGAACTCTTCATATTATATTTTCCATTTTGATTAAAAATTAATGTTATTTAATTCATATATTGTGTAAATTATCTTTTTTTAGTTTAGAACTGATGATGGCATCTAAAAAATCAAAATTTTATTATTTGGTAAATTTGATTCTAAATTAAGTTTAATTGTAAATAGTAATATTATATTATAATAGTTATCTCATTTTAATGTTGAATCCAACATATCAAATTGATGATGACTTACTTTTTTACTTGAAAGAAAATAATTCATCTTCAAAAGCATTTTACAATACACGATGACATAATAAACTTAGCAAATATTTTGCTTAATTATTAAATTGGAGGCCATTTTTTAAATTGAATTTAGTGTTGCTTAATTTTGGATCTATTGCAATTACATAATAATTATTGTTTAAAAAGTGTATTACTAAAATTAGAAAAACTACTGTTACTTAGCAAATATAAATTTCTTTTTAATATTAACAATTAATATCCTAATTTTTTGGAATACTCAAATTTGCCTATATATATTCATTTTATTTTATATTTAAAAAAAAATGAGATCAATAAATAATTCGATAGATACTCCATCTATAAAAGTTAAATTTAATCATAATGATAAAATTGATGAAATGAAAACGACGAAAACCATGAAAAAGAGGGATGTTTAACCTGAGATATCAATAGTTTGGGAATATTACATGTATATGATAATGTCTTTGTTGGTTGAGATTATCGTGTTGATTTTCAACAACTAGACCAAAATCCTCAACACGATCAGACTGATTGTATTTATTCTTATTTTTATGGGTTCACTCATCTACATAAAGAAAATACAGTAAAATTAATTATTGTGCTTGATATGTTTGATTAAAATATTTTAGACTTCAACCATTTGTTTAAACGATGAGGTTTATTTGATTGCTATTCTACCACTTGCATACGATTAAATTGTTAACAAGAATAAAGTTGCAATTAAATTGAAAGTGCTTGAAAAAATATTGATGAAAGTCATAGGAGTAAGTTTAATTTCTATTTTTTCAAAATAACCCATAGCCATAACTATAAATTTATGTTTGGTGATATTGGAAATTTATAGAAATCGTCTTGTTTTCAAGAAAAGAGAGGAGAGTCAATCATTAATTAATCATAAAAAACCTCTGGATTATGAATAAGTCTCTCACAGTGTCACTCATAGAGTAGAAAACAACTAAAGAGAAGATGTATGGAAGAAACGATTTTATGCAATCCCATTATCGATTTTAATGATATCCAAAGAGACTTTAAAAATTACATACAAAAACAAGACTCTATTCAAATAGTTTTGTGATAGTTTCATCAACGAAGAAGAATTGGAGGACCTTATATTAAATAAGCTGCATTTTTCACTCCTATCGGATCATCAAGAGTTCGTGTAATTGTCATCTACAAATATTATAAAATTAAAATAAAAAAAGTCGAATTCATCGAACATTTTTAATTAGAAATCTTGTATGACTCAATTGAGTTCCTATGATTTGATGCAGAAGAGATCGCTAATAGAAATTTTGACTTCAATCAAAAGCGAAACCTATAATTTGTAAAAGGACGTTATCGAGTTATTTTGTCAGTAAACAGAAATATCGGGAGCAAAATATTAATTAGAGGCCAAAATAATATTGTCAGATAAAGATGACGAATTCTTTGTGACAATTAATGACACATCAAAATAAAATGAAATCCAGTAATTCATAGTAAAGGAAGAATTTAAGAGCAAAGTATATTATTTAAATATTTGAGATTATAGAATCATTTTCTCATGAATTACGAACTCCATTAAATAGTGCCATTAACTTTTTGTAAGCCTCTATAGCTGATAGCACCATCGATGATAAATTGAAACTTCAAACTCTTGAGCCAGCAGTCTATTCATTAAAATTATAATCATACTTAATCAATGACATCTTAGATTATTAACGTTATAATGCAAATCAATTGGAACTCTACGTAACTGAATTTTCGGTACAAGATTTCCTCAGTGACTTAACCTCCCTATTTAGCATATAATTTGATATGAAGAAGATTGCCTTCAATTTAGATTTAACTAAGAATTGCTTACAGTATTTTAGTACTGACCAAACTAAACTAACTTAAATATTAGTCAATCTCCTCTAAAATTCACTCAAGTACACTTCTAGTGGTGTGATACAACTAAAATTTAGTAGTAAATAAAATGATATAGTGAAAATTGTTGTTCAGGATTCGGGATTAGGGATTGCTCCCAATGTGTTAGAATAAGTCAGAGTCACTCTTAAGAATGTTGAGGAGAGCAAGGATTTTTAAACCTTTAAGGAATGGAAAGGGTTTGGTTTGTTAATAGTTGCCTTATTGCATCAAACCCTTTGTCCTCCATCATAAAAGTAAATTCAAATTGAGTCAACTGGATTTAATAAGGGTACGAAGATCAAATTCTACATTTTAAATTTTAATTACAGTTCGAAACAAAATACTATCAAACAATCATTAAGTGCAAAGAATACGCTCAGACAATCCTAAAGTGTTAAGAAATCTCTAAAATCTAATTCTCTTAGTTAGATATTGGCAAAGAATGGAACAATCTATTTAGCTTAAGACCTCGCATAAGTAAGTTAACATATGAAGAAAAGTGAAAGGTTTCTGAATTGTGGTTCAAACACTTTGGATGACTTCTCAGAATTGTCAAGAAGTCCAAAAATTTAATTTTGTTCGCCAGATGCTAATATATCTTAATTAGTCTAAATTTAACCCGTTTTGATTACAGATATAAAATCAAGTTAAAAGATATAAATAAAAAATAACAACCCTTTGTTTTAGTCATGCAAATCTCAAAAATCCCAATTAGTCAATCTAAATCAATTTAGAAAGATGGAAACATAATATAGAGAAGATATCTTCAAATCTTTAGCAACCAAAAAGAATAGTTGTAATTGCAATGTCATCCTGTCAGTTGATGATGAAATATTCAATTAAAAATCAGTTGAAAGACTCCTATAGCAAATTGGATTCGATGTTAAATTGGCATTTAGTGGTGACGAAGCAATAAATCTACTTTTGAATCTGAAACCTTGCAGTTTAGGATGCAACATTTTGACTATCATTCTAATGGATTATTAGATGCCACAAAAGGACGGGATAGCAACAACTAAAGAGCTGAGAAAACTCATGTCAGATGGAGTGATTCCTGAGATTCCAATAATTGGTTTGACTGCCTTTACAGGTTAGTAAGATATTAGAAATTGCTTGATTGCAGGCATGAGCGATGTGTTATCAAAACCATTAAAAATACAGGAATTAAAAGATGTATTAGCATCTCTATGATTATAAATACTGTTTATATATATAATAAGAATAATCATAATAATGTTAGTAGCTCACAGAAATCAGTAAGCTTTAATGGTTTGAAAAGTACTTCCAGCATTCCAGCATTCAGACAACTTTCAACTTCCAATTTACTAGTAAATGCTGTTAATCCTATTATGTTGATATTCGGTATTATTTTCTCTTTCATCATTCTCTTTAATTGGATCGTACATTAAATACCATCCATCACAGGCATCGAATAATCCATCAGGATTAGATTCAATAATCCGCATTCCTTAGAACACTTTTTTAGTGACTTTATTATTGAAATCGCCTCTACACCATTATAAGACTTAAATTATAAAGCAATATTACAATGATCACTTCGAAACCGTATCTCTCAATTAGCAATTTAATTGAATTTTAATTAAAGATTTCATCATCCACTGACATAATCCTTCTGCATTAACAACATAGATTTTTCTTAAAGTTTTCTAACGCAGAATCATTGCTTTGTCTCTCCATTATTTTCAATTGAGTATAACTAAGGATTTTTGATCTAAATTGTTCAAGAATATGTTTTACTTCATTGATGATGACTTAATAGATTGTTGTTCAAAAGATCCACTAAGCTTTTTTTTATCGATTATGTTGAGGATAAAATTATGTTGTTAATTCTATAGTTATAAATATTAGTCTGATAAATTCTAATTGTTATTGTCTGATTCGTAAGATTCTTGATCATAATCAGTACTTCCTTTCAATTTTTTATTTAAATTGGGTCTTGGTTTACTACTCAATCCTAGGTTTTAAGTATTGAATGCACTTTCATTTACAAAGATAAGTGTTCCAACTAAATTATTTTGAATATTTTTTTTTGAGTTCCTTTTAAATTTTACAGACTTTCTTCTAGATATATCATCGGTGTTGTTATTGAGATCATCTATTAGTATTTACCTAATTTTAAATTTAAACTTAGTGCCTTCAGATAATTTAGATTTTATCTAAAATGTTTCTGTTAATTAAGGATTCAATTAATGTAACAAAATACTTGAAATAAGCAATCCAATCCCATTCCAAGATTTCAATTTTGAAAAATGTCTTAAATTCTCAACTTGATTTACATAAGTATTTAATTTTTTTGTCATTTCAGATTTAATACCTATTCCTGTATCAGAAACAGAAAATGATAATACGTCATCCTCCTAATTCTTAATTTTGAGAATTGCACCACCATTATATGTATATTTTAGCGAGTTTTAGATCACGTTTACTAAGATTTACATTAATCTATTATAATCAGTCGACATATGGGTTGAAGTGTTCTTAGTGAGATCTATCACGAAGTTTAAACCTTTATTTTAGAACTACAAATTGAAAATGCTTGTTATTTCGCTAATCACATCCTTTATCTCGAATTCTTTGACACAAACATCTAGAGTATTATTATAAAATTAGGAAAAGTCTATGACATCGTTGATTATATACGATTGCAACTATAAGGCAATTGAGGCAGGTTCAAGACATTATTTCTTAATGCACAATGGTAATTAATCATCAGCTATGGCAGATTTAATAAAATTAATTGAACTGTTTAATGGGGTTTTGAGTTCATGAGAGAGCGATTCTATGACCTAAAAAATATTTGAAGAGTACTTTCTTTTAAAATTCATCCTTAACTATAAACTATTACAATTGCATTTATTTAGATATGTCTGAAAGTATAATCGTTAATTCATCATCTCCATTGCTATAAAAAATGGTACCATTGATTTAAAACTGTTATGAATCCAAAATCTAGTGGCAGTATAAATCAATAGAATTAGTATTTGGTTTCATTAGGTTATGATAGTCTCCTTTCAAGAAGTTTTGTGAAATCTTGGAGAGAGTTAACTTTTTTAAATTCTCCATATCAAATTGACTTGAATAAGATTGATTAACGGGTTTATTTAAGAATTATTTTCTAATAATAATGCTGCTTGAGTTCTTGAGTATTTCTAAATTGTCCTCCAATAGTGTGAACTCCAATTTATTCATAATTAAATCATTTATTTCATCGTCATTGTAACATAAGGTATTAAAGTTCTTCCTGGCTGTCTCATTCTTAAATTTAATAGTGAGCGTCTTTTTGCTAAGAATAATAATTGAGATTGGTATTGCATGCATTCTCTTTATCCAATGATCTTCAGTATTGATTAAATTTTCATTATTGTTTTGGTCTTGGAATTTCATAAAAATATCATTTTTTGTAATTTCCTCGTTTTTCATCTAATTATCAACTAAGTTTATGTTTTCACTGTTTATTTTCTAACTACTAACAGAAAATCGTTTTTGAAAGGTTTCCAATTTTTATTGTTATGTTTGCTTATTTGTTACATACATCAACAGAATTTAATAAATCTCAAGTACAATAGAATTGCATATAATTATAATAAAAACTTAATTGTTCCAATAGAGTGATACATAAGTTAGCCCCAATATCTTGAGAATGAGATAATCGTATAAATAATTATAAATTTCCTGGTTTTTCAATAAAATTCCCTTATCAAATATTAGTGAGAGAATGGCTAAACAATTCCATTCGTCTTACTATATTAATTAACTGATTGAAACTAATTCACAAATAAATTTAATAAATCTTGCGATATTTGGATCAAGCCTCTTTTATAAGGCAATTGCTATTAAGGTGAGACATGATGTTAATATAAATTTAACAAGCATAAATTATGAGGATGATTCATTAAATATATAATAGGCTAAATTACTGAATGAAAGTAGTAGTAGGTAGATTTCTACAGCATAGTTATTAGCAAAACACAAATTTTTGAAACTTATTACATCACATTCTTTTGGTTAGCTCTCTATTTTTAATTTTGTTTGGCTCATAAATTTATCAAGAAAAAACTTTATTATCTTTTATATTAAATATTTTTCTATATGAAAATTAAACTCAACTCATTTTAATCGGTTACAATATTCTGAGCAAAGACTTTGCAAATTCAAATGACATATATTTCTGAGTATTTATTTCATTTACAACATCTGCTGCATTTTTAAGTTCTAGAAGAAAGAAATTAATTGTAAGCCATTTGTAATTTAATGTTACAACTCCAAGTTTAGAAGAGTTTTAAATAATTGAAAAAATATTAAATTAAAAGTTTATTTAATTCTTCTTTTTTCAATTCCAAGTTCTCAACACTATCAAATTTGTTGCTCATACTCACATGATCAAATCAAGATTTCTTGTTACAATTAGTCAAGAAAAATTATTCATAATTACATAATAAAATAGCCAAAATTAATTATTATTCAATTAACTCATTTAATAGATGTACTAAAAAATTCAAATGATCAATCTGAATCTTAAGTATGTAATTAATCCAATATTTGAAAAGTTTGCTTAGATTTTTTGATATATTTATACTTCCTGGGAGAATATGGAATAAATTCTAAGGAGAAAATGAAAGAACATTGTTTAGTTTACAAAATTACATCAAAGAAATTCTTATAAATTGATTATTATAATTTAAGAGTTTTTAGATGAAAATTAACAACCGAACAAGTTTTATTATTATTATTGACTAAATTGTGACTTTTTGAATTCGTAAAAATTGACTATGAATTATATATCGAATTATTGAAAAATAATTCATAATATTTTGATGACAATTTAAAAATAGTAAATAGAAAACAAAATATTATCAAATATTGAACTGATGAAAAGATTCGCAAAGTTTTTCTTTGGTTATAGGTTTGATTAAAACACTATTGAAACCTTCGTGAATGCTTTTCTATTAATCTTGGATACTACAGAAAGCAGTAACTGCGATGATAGGTATGGTTCGAGTTAATTTGATTTTGTATTCCATTTATCTAATTCTTTAGACAGCTTCCCAACCGCTCATAATAGGCATATTAATGTCCATTAGTATACATTTGTAACCGATGCAAGTTGATGGATTACATCGATTAGCTAACTAAACTTCTATTTTCTCTATAGCTTGTTTGCCATTGAATGCGTAATCCACATCATATCCTAATTGTTTCACGATGTGGGAAAGGATGTGAATGTTGAATTACTCATCATCTACAATTAATGTCTTTTTGCAATTACAAATTTTAGTGTCTATATGTTTTAATTAGTCTCCAATTGAAGACTTACCGAATTTATTATAATTTAAAACTCGAACCTGTTGAGTGCTTTGTTATTCTAAAAAGGGGATTGTATGAACAAATGAATTTTATAATTTGCTTTGCTCGAATTGAACTTACTCTTCATCATATTACAATACGAAATAAAATTATGAGCCCACATCCTTTTATGATTCAACGGAGAGATAATTTTAGTGCATGGGTGCCAAATGCTTTACAATGTGCTTGCACACAGATAATCCTAAGCTTATTCCAACTGATTATTTGGACACTTTTTCGTCTTCATCAGCAAGACGCAACTAAAACTTTCTTATAATAAATACCTTCTTTCTCAAATTGTATAATTCTTACTCACTCATCCCTATTCCAGTATCACTTATAGAAACTTGTATCAAATTTGTATCTGATTGATTAAATGATTGTACATCATCTATTCCTTGCATTGACTCTATATATTATTTTTTCTCAACTTATATTGTAATTCCGCCCTTGAAGGTAAATCGAATAGCATTTGCAATTAAATTAAGGAGCACTTAACACAATCTTTATCGATCGCCTACTATGATATATGAAACCTCTGGCAATTAGACTTTTATTGAGATGAGCTTCCTTTCAATTTAATCTTTGAGCAAGTCTACGCATTCCCAAATAACTGAATTAAGTTCAAACTTATCCGATTTCATAATGAGTCTCTCCTCTAGAATGTCTCTGTAATCAAAGATATCGTATATCTTATACAACTAGAGTTTAGTATAACAGAGTGCCTGTTCTAATTAGAAAGTACAAGACTCTTTAGAAGATTGTTTGTCTTGACATAGTTTGATGAATCCAAAAATGGCATTAAGATTGGTGAGCAATTCATGGGAAATTGATCTAAGAATATTCTTCTTAATGGATTCCAATTTCTTGAGTTTGGCTCTCAATAGGATTTGATTGATTTCATTAATGAAATAGATTTGCAGACCATCATCATTATCGAATAATCTGCAATTCTCTAAAACATTGACAAGGAATTTCATTTTATGATTGATGGTCGGTTTACATTTAGGTGTAATATTTATGTCTTGATCCAATAATGATTATTTTTGATTGGAATTTCGATGTTCTCTGCTTTCCTTTGACAACAATTGATCAACCGAGATTTTGCGACTTGGTGTCACATACACAGAGGACCTATTTAATCTGATTTGATTTTGGGATCTTTTACGAGAACTCTTTTTGCCAGCTGAATGAATGTTGATTTGGGGAGAATTGTTGAATTCAATCTTCATAGTCACATCCGATGTGAACTTCTTTTTGATTATGCTCTCGTCTTCTTGATTCTTGAAGGATTGAAAAAACTTCTATTATTATTAGTGACTTTTGGGGGGCAACTATTAAATTTCAACAGAAAATCTATTTTAGGACAACAATTGAGTTTTCTCTTTACAATAAGTGACATTTTTAATTTTATATTGATCCTCCATTTCAAGATCCTCCTCATCGAAATCAAATAGAGTCTAATTGTTATCTAATTCATCCAATTATAGATTCTACAGGAAACTTAACTAATTTCTAGCTGAATGAACAGTAGAGCTTTTTTCAGGCGATTAATCAGTCTCTGCCTAATTTGTACTTTCCAATTTGTTAGCTAAATTATCGAAAATCTTATTTGAATAAAGCATGAAATTCTTATCTTTATGGACTATGCACATGGCTTGAGGAGTAGAATCAATTATCATGAACAAGGCTTGTAGATTTTGAAAATGTTGTAAATAAAGGAACTCCTTTCTCAAAATCTGTAAGATTAGAAGGGCTGTTGAAATAAACAACCCTTCAAGTGAGGGTAAGTCAGCAAGGAAGATGTTCTGAATTAAGAACAATATAATTGTCATAAACTTCATGTGTAAAGTAGAGTACATGCTCTGATAGATGGTAGTTAGAGTGATGTAGAGCATAAAATAGTCCTTCTCTCTGATAATGTAGCAGATCCAATACATACAATATTATTGAATGAGAGGCAAAAATTGTATGAAGAAATGTGATTCCTCTGAGATTGCTTTGGAAATTGACAGGAATAGGAGGATATGGATGCAGATTTGGGTTGCCAAGGTAATTTAGATGTACAAGTTATCTGCCAAAATGGACAATCTGATGATAATGAAGACAATTTGGAGTATTAATATTGGTCTGAATGCAGTGTCAGCCCATTAAAAGTGATTATGCCATCTCCATTGTTGATACTGGTCCCACCTTAAGATTTTGAGATGTTTATAAAAGGTCTTCCAAATGATTTGCCATTAGGGCATGATTATTTTATTAAATAAATATACATAAAGGATAATGTATTGTATATGATTGTAACATATAAGTATTAATGCTAATCAATAATATCTTTAATTAATTTTATCTCTAACTTGCTTTTAGAGTACTCAAACTTTATATAAATAATGAAGGAAGAAGACAACAACATCAAATAAGTAACCAATTATAAAACAATATAATCCTAGGAAGAAAACCAATTTTTTATCCCACATTATCTAATACCCGTAAACTACGCTCCTATCCCATGCGAAATAGAGAATTACAAGATGGCAATACATCATTTAACCGAAGAGAATCACTTTTTGAGAAAACAACTCCAACACAATCAAGTCTCAGGCGGTCTCTCTTTGGATGCAGAGTAACTAAAGGATGAAGTGTTCAAAATGATTGACTATCTGATGAAAAATCTCAATTACCTTCCAAAAGAATAAATCTTTGCCTACCGAAAAACAATTCGATTGTGCACACAGAGGAGTGCACTCAAAAGAATCTATTTTCTTATCTTTACCAGATATTTATAAGTAAATTGCATATCCAACATGATAGGCTGAAAAAACCAAAGAGGAAATGATTAAATTCATTATTCGCAAAAGTGTGAAGTTTTAGAAGCCCACTAGTGCCATATAGAAACACGAAATGAAGAAAATGAATAATGCGTTCGTTTAGCAATTATTTCTATCAGCCCAATATCAATAACATTACTCAACTTTTCTAAGTAATCATATCATTTTCCATCTAATCTAGGTTCATACCTACAATTAGCACTTGATGAAAATAAACACAAAATTCAAAAATATGTGAATTTCATAGTGGAATCAATATAAAATAACTAAATCGAAGTAAAATGTGTATTTATTTTCCTCAGGATGTCCTAAACTATAAAAGATTTCCATGGTTGAATGAGTGGATACAACAATCCGTTTAGATTGCTAAAGATCTATAGTTTAGTAGCAAAACCCAAAGTTTGGAAAACAAGAAAAAAAGAAAATTCTGATTAAGCACTTAATTGGATATAATTTCTGAAGAAAAACAAATAGTTTGTATTAGCTATTAATATTAAATTCATCAATTATTCATAATAGTCGAACAGATGGGACTGTCTTATTCACAATCAATCTGGGCAATCTGATAAAACATGGCAGCCAAAGTCCAAGTGGGAGTGATGCTGCCAATCAACTTGGGAGATCGGATTAATTGATTCTCCTTAATCCCATACCCATGACTCAACAAGGAATACACGTACAAAACAGCGAAATAATTCCCATTCGAGTACTTATTCTTACCATAAACCTCGTGTTTTTGGATTTCTTCATAACTCAATGAGCAGAATTTCACTGCATTGATGAAGTATTACTCCAAAGTGTACTGCTCCAAATTCAAGAATTCAGCCATAAATTAAACTCCTCCCAAACCATAGATTAATTCTGAATCAATTTCCGGTTGATAGACTCCGTTGATACCACAATTCTCGTAAATACATTTTGACTTGTCATTATTGAGATATTGATTAATTAATTCTAAACAATTATTAATATTGCCTGTTCCTATAATTATATAAGATGTGTTATATTTGTAATTGTTTCGATAGCCGTTGGGAAAGCAGGGAGATTGATAAACGAGGTTATTTTTATCCAGTTTATTTATTTGCCTCTCAAAAATGGCTTTTTTGGCTTAATCAATCCCATAGTACAAATAGGATTGGGAATAGATGTTATATTGATTGTGATTTGGAATCCTCAAATTTACTTCGCTCTTATCTATGGTGGATTGAGGCTTAAAAGCCAATTGAGTGGATCCTCCTCCCAAATCAACAGTTAATGCATGTTCATTATCCGTTATTCCCAATTTACCTATCATATAGTTAATGGATAGCCACATATAGGCTCCCTTTTGATCTTATAATGATATGTAATTACTTCTTCTTAACCTGTAATTATTCTGCACCAATCATCTCTATGAAATAGGAATTTGCTTTATCTAAATATATCTCGAATCGTAGATATTATCTAAATCTAGTAATAAGTGGGGATCATTCTCATTCCAGCCGTCGCCGCCAACATAATGGGAGTGTACTTGTGCATAGTGTATGGCACATTCTCGTAAGCGAATTAAATAAGGTCATTGATGTACGATTTCAAAGAGTCCAGATCTTTCCCAAAAGAATCAATTCCTGGCTCAACCTTATATTCCAGAGTCTTCTCCGTTATGTTAATGTAGGCCATTGTTTTGTTTTCTCGGCAACTCCAAGAATATACATAAACTCTTGTACCTGAACTTCCAGCATCGAACATTACGCCATAACATACAGTATCTCCATATTGGAACCAATTAAATGGTTAGTAATGTTGATCAATAAGGTATGAGAGTGCAGGCGCAATAACTAAAAATATTATCATTTGATATTTAAATGAAAATAGAATTATTGCTTATCATTTTCAAACTATTCAAATTATAATCATTTTCTTAAGTCTGTCAAAGATTTTACAATGTTTGTCAGTCTGGCGATCTCCAAATCTTTTGCCTCTATCAAGTTCTCATAAAAAGCACTTCCCCCAGATTGTCCAGACTTTTGTCTCATCGATAAATCCAATTTTGTGTATTCACCTATCTAATTCTAGTAATTTCTAATTTCCTGTTCGTAATTCACTCTTTCCTGATTTAACAATTGTTCCATCTTCCTCACTTCCTATTTCAGATTATTGATCTCCTCCTTCATATATTGATCCTATATATTATTCGTCTTCTAACGCTACGAATTCTGCTGCTATTATTTGTCCAACTCCTTCCTATACTAGAAGTTTTCATTCTACAACAATTGAATTTACTTTGCATATTATTCTGAAGTCTCTAAGTTCTAGTATTGTAAAATACATGTACTTCTTATTTGAACTCTTCAAAATATTCGATTTTCTATCTGAATTCACTTACTTGCAGATTCAATTGCTTACATATCTTCTATGCCTTACTAATCTTATTATAATAAAATACTCCAAATCATTATTTTTATCCTGCAAATCTTGTTCTACTTGTCTTAGTTAATTAATTTTTAATTCCAACTAAGCTTTCAAATTTCTAGCTTCCTCTTTTAAAATTTTGTTAATCTCTGATTATTTATTCATTTTGTCCTTGAAGTCCTGCTCCATAGTTTCTGTTTGCTTCGTGTATTGCTTTTACAGTAAACTCAAATCATTCAACAACCTTAAAATCTCAAAACAATAACTTACTTATCGTTTTCATGCTTCAACTAATTCGATTGTTGTTATAATTATTGATATTTATGCTATAACTGAGACAACATTTGATCGCTTCCCTCATTGTTGTTCTCCAATTGCTTTTTCATCTAATGAGCCTCAGTTAACTTGTCCTCATAGCTTCTGATTACATCAATCTATTTTCTCGAAAAATCCTCCAATTCACTCAACGTCTTATGCAATTACTTAATCTCGGTCTCTCTTAACTGTAGTTAACTTGATATGTGTGCCAATTCGTCTTATAACTCCTCAATTTAAGCAACAGCCTCCTCGTGTTGCTACTTGTTCTCTGTTTACAATTGCAGCAATTGCTTTTTCTTTTCATCCAATTACTTTTTCAATGTCTACTTATCCTATTCAGCCAATTAATCCTAAGTCTGACGTTGGGACTTGAGTTTCTAGAAATCCTTCTCAATTACATCCAATTATTATTTATAAGTTTTGTTCTCGAATTCCAAGACCGAATTCTTATCGGTTAATTTCTCTATTGTGTCCTATTGTTCCAATTACTTAGATTACTATAGATTCAAATATTCTCTTTTCTTGTTCTCCAATTCTTTTTCAATCTATTCCATGGTTTGTCTTTGTTTTTTCTCTTATTATTCATACAATTTGATATTCTATTCTTATTGGGAAATCGTCAATTCCAACTCCTAAATTAAATTATCTTTGTCCTCCTTCGATTGCATTTATTCTTATTAGGCTAATTTTAATTTACGCATCAATTACTCATTGTCATTATGCAATCCTTGCGTTAATTGCTATAGCTTTGCCAATTACTCGTTGAGTTGTTCATTCTCTTAGATTAACTTCTCAGTTTGGTCTGAATAAAACTTTTTCAACTAATCCAGCTATTACAACCAATTTTGTCTTTATTGCTTTATCTCAATGGATATTTATTGCTCAATATCAATCCCATTCAAATTTACATGAATTGAATCGATCTCATTTTTGCAGAATTTAAGCAATTTTAAGGCCTCATTGGAATCAGCCATATTCTAAAGCTCATTTAATATGATGGCCAATCTATTTAAACCCTCTTCAAGAATAATTTTAATCTTAGTACTCTATGATGATATTTATTCAAATTGCGTTGATTTCTTTTTCAATTAGACTGCCAAATCGTTCAATCTTTGCTACACTTTTGAATTGTGTCTCTCAATTGTCAATTGTAACTCAGAATCCATCAAATCATCAGGAACTATAAATACAGGTATTTCAGAATTGAATGCTCTGTCCAATTCCTTGGTTCGAGTGTCCTTCACCTTTTTCACAATAGCCTATAACTATTGTAATTGGTATTGCAATTGTTTATTGTCAGTTTATCGAGACTCATTCTATTGCTATCCCAATCTCACTTACTCAAGCTGTATTTCAAGTCCCTTGATTAAGTTTTCAACGATCTCTTCTTTGTGTTAAATGATCTGAGTCAAGTCACGGACTATGTTTGAGACATTCATCGATAACATTTAGACATCGTCAGTCACCAATTGCTCATAATCATATGCTGATTCCTATTAACTTACATATTGTGAGAGGAAGGTTTTGGTTTACTGGGACAATGCTTAGAGTGTATTGATCAGTTGCTATTGAAAACGAGGCTGTTTGCTTGAACTGGAATACTTAGTGGCACTTGAATATTTTTGAGCACTATTGTATTATTATTTTGTGGGAGACCTTAAGAGGGATGGTTATTGCAACTGCTATTGATATTGCTTCAATTAATCCTCTTTGATTTGCAACTCATCCAACAAGATTTATTTGTCATCTTTGGATTACTTCAATTCTTTTATGAGACGATCTGCTACTTCTTATAGTTCTTGAGTTAACTTCTATTCGTGCTGCAACATTTTTTAATAGACAACATCTTATTAGGATTGTTTCAGGTACTCAACTTTGGATTGCAATTGCTCATTGGCTTTGATTTGTTATTTAATTGTGCCTATAATCGTTTGCTCATTAGGTGTAACATTCAATAGAGATGCCAAATTGATGAGCAATTGGTTTGAGCCTTCTTGCTATTTCTTTTAGAGTATTGTGTATTTATCAAATAGAGAAACTAATTTTCTACCATAACATACACAAGAGTATTGTAGCTAGGTGATAAGATCTTTGTCATTCTTATACTCCTTGATAACTGGGAGAGATTCAAAAAGCTGACTAGCATAGGTTTGGATTTTCAAAAAATCGTTGTCTAATTTCATTCGTTATTTTATTAATTAAACATTTCGATTGGTATTCGAAATCCATTAATTTAAATCATTTACGGAGGAAAGCTTAGAATAATGAGATCAATTTTATGATTGAAATTTACATTAGATATACAAATCAATTTAATCATATTTCTAAATTATATATTTTCACTCTAATTTCTTGATAATGACTAGGGGTAATTTCATTCATGGGTTTACCATCCAAGAATTATTAAGGATTATTACTTATAATCACTTGGTAATAATAGGTTAGGTAATCTAGCAATAAAATACCAGTTTCATTTTGTTCATTAATTCTGAGTTAATGATTCAGTTCCCTAATCACATCCTTCAGTGCAGATATATCCCCCAACTAGGACGTGCCATAATATTCTTTATATTTCAAATAGACTTCTCTGAATGAATGCTTATTTAGTATGACTACCACAAATTAATGGTTGAAACTGCTCACTTTAATATTGTTGACTCCTTTCTCATATGCTTCTTTTAGCTTGTAATAAATATTACACATACTTTATTCATGATGTCCATCACTTCCCTTCCAAAATATCCCATAATCTTCTCTCTCAACCTCGGTGATTGCAAATACTTGATATGATCAATCAATTGACAAGTCCGATAGATGAATTTGCATTGATTTAGGAAATTACAAATAACCTCTTCAGCTTGAGATTCTAGATTCAAAATAAATGAAAAAACTACCATAATGAAAGCTTTGGTATGTATGTTACACTACAGTGCCAATCCTCTCCTTAATCTGATTGGACTTTTAATGCTTATGCGAAGTAGAGCCACTCCTTGTACACTGTTGGGTTTGATTAACTCTGACAACATTCATATTTGTGATTGATTTGTTGAATGAATTGCTGACTAAAGCACCTCTCATCTTATTGAGAGCAGTAGTATTACGACGTAAGAAGAGAGGATGCTGATCAATTTCAGCCAAAGACAACCTCTGATTTTCATCAACTTGCAAGGCTCTCCTTAAGAAATCCTTTGACTCTTCTGATATTGGAACGTTGCGATTAAAATGCAGTTGCGATACAGATTCTTGGAATTCACTTTCTGAATTGATTACCCATGGACATTAACCATATAACATTTAATAATAGACTACTCCGATGCTCCAAATATCGCTCTTCTCTGAATATTTATTCTCCAAATAACTTTCAGGACTCATATAAATAGGAGTACCAACCTTATAAAATACCTTCTCTTTGGGAGCCTTAATCATTTTAGAGAAACCATAATCAGCCAACTTGGGAACTGAATTCTTAATTAGGATATTGGTTGGTTTTATGTCTCTGTGAATGACTCCCTTCCTAATTTACTCCTTGAATCCGTTTATGATGTGTCTCAATATTTTAAAGGCCTCCACTTCAGGTATTACCCCCTACTGTTGAATGAGCTTGCCCAAATCCCCCTAATTGCAATATTCAGTGATTATGTAAGTATTGTTGTTGGTGTGATAATAATCGTGCAATTTTATAACGTTGACTGACTGTATTAACTTGAGTGCATTGATCTCCTAATTGATCAAGGATCTCTCTATCTCATTGCTGATTGCTTTCACATCAATCACTTTTACTGCAACTACTTCTCCAGTGTTCTCGTCCTTCCCCTTATACACCTTAGAACTGTATCCTCTCCCGATCTGCTCATGCATTAAATAAGTGTAATGTTCGATCTTCTTTTTCGGAATAAGGTTTGATTATGTTTGGGGTAACATTTAGTAAATAAATAAAATCAATCATCATCAGGTTTTATTCTTTTAAAGCAGTTCTCCCCAAAAATGATCCCATTAGGTTTCTAGTCCCTCACATGTGTCTCGTCATCCTCCTCCTCATCGTCATTCCTTCTCCTCACTATCCTGCTGAAGTCCAATTTGATGTCATCCTTCTCCAAAATTGCTTATTATTCCTGATGCTCCTCTGAATCCTCCTATTCGTAATCTCTTTGGTAATCTATAGCCAACTTTCCATCCACTATGTAGTCATTTTGAAATTGGTCCACTAAACGCACGAAAAGATGATGACTTGAATAATTCAAAGTCTTCACAATCAAGATCTACGATATAAATGAGATTTCTTACTAGATGTTAACAAAGACTGTTCTTTAATTTAATGAACTTCAGGATGTCCCTTATCTACCCTTCGATAATTCCATCCATTCGTTTGCTCACAGCCAATTGCACTAAGGAATTGCAAAAAGGCTACAAAATTTCAGATATGGGTGTGGTGCAAATATACTTGAAATGCTTTAAGCCTGACATTAATAAAAACTTGTCTTTAATTTACAGCTTCGATTAATGGTTTAAAATATTCAGAATGTAATTGGAAAGCACAACCAGATCCTATGATATCGACTTTTATTGTTAGCAGATCCACTATACTAATTCTTACAATACAAGAGCAGCAGAGAAATTCAGAGGTTGTTGCAAGCATCTCTTTAACCATTCAATGCATTATTTCTCAACTGTCGGATTTGAACAAATAATTTCAATGATATCAATTATTATGCTATTCAAACTATTTACCTGACAGAATAATAGACCTTACATGCATTACCAAAATAAGTCATGATTATTTCTTAAGAAGTCCTACAAGTATTATTGGTTTTAGTTTGCTATCATAATTGTTATTTATAATGTTGTAAAACAAATCTATGACATTGATTATTGTTAGACTTTGAGTAAGGAATGCTGATACAAAATTTTGAGTAGATTGGCTTCAGTAATACAATCCACAAAAGCATCATTCAATTATTTGATTGCTAAAAAGGGCTTGAATTATAAAAAGAATTCATTTATAAATTTACATTTTACTAAAAAGTCATCCATGATTCCCTCCAGAAATTTTTCGAATTGATCTTTGTGATGAATCAACAAACTCTCCAATATTCTTTGATTATTTTCATGGATGTAAAAATTGAACTCATTATAAAGGGGGTCTTCTATGTAAAGATAATAAGCCATAACACTCTCCTTCAAGTATGACAATCTATAATTAAAATGAATCTTCTCTATCGTTGCATCTTCGAACTCAGTTATTCTATGGAATCTCAATTCATCCTTTAAGAACTTTCTGTATGAAACTCGCTGCGGTCCTTTGTTTTCAGAATGATCTACAAAAAATAAGGCACAAAAATTACATTCCATTATGCCAAACAATGTCACGTAATACTTGTCACTCAGTAAACATTTCATTACATTCTCGTTTTTTATGTAAACTACATTACTCTATCAAAAAATACTTAGACTTCTAATCACATAGTGCAATTGCTCAAGAACATGAAAGTTGGATTGTGCTTCTGCATCCTCGAAAATCCTCTTGATGGCCTCCATAAATTAATTTTTAGGATCATTAGTTATTTTCTAAATAATTAATTCTGGGCTGTCACTTATCTATGATAAAATTGCTTCCAAATTTTAATGGGATGGCAAAATTGGATATGTCGATTCAACATCATCATAACGAAAATGCCTTCTGCTGTTTTATAATTAATTCCAAAATTCAGATGCATACCTTGAATCAATAAAGCTTATTGCTATATCTAAATTGATTTCACTTTCCTACCATTGAATAATGTTGTCCCCACAGAACTCATATACAGTATCGGGATTCACCTTCAAATTGAGGCACCATTCTTCCTTATTTGTATTCAAGTGAGCAAATTACACTAGATTGCAACATTACTTTTGCTATGTTTCCAAAATACTCCTGATGAAAGGGGGATTAACACCATCTGTATGCACAATGTACACATACCCTATACAAAACTCCTCCCATTAACCTTGGAGCACATAGATTTTAGCTCTCTGCTGGTTATTCATTTATTATTAATACATTTTAATATTAAATTCCCACTTAACACTCACAATTAAATACTAACAAAAATACATTACCCAAGCATAATCCACTGTCCTGCTATTCGCTCTCTAAGCAGTAGTGTTTCCCTTACTTATGCCAATCAGACTTGAGTTGTAATAGAATGGCTTCAATAATATATCTTATGTTACAAATTAAACAATACCATATTAATCACTATTAAACTAAATTAATAATATGAGACTAGGATTCTTAGGAAGGAACCTGGTGACGCATCATTTTCTCAGATTATCATTGTCTTTATAATTGATTCATTTTCCTTAGAAATCTGACTCTATAATTCTGGATACAATTTCTATTATAATTAAAATATGTAATACATGAGTTTTCAATAGCTAGCAATTCAAGTTGTTGATAATATCTTCAATTTTATATAGAAAAGTTAGAATGAAAGAATCATAACTTCTTTGGCTGGGGTTCAATCTTAAATTAAAAGCAAATTGATAGAATTAGATAAAGAAGAAGATGATATTTAAATTAAAGAAGTATTTTTACAGAAACTCCAAAAATTGCTGCAATTTGCTCAAACTCCAGGAAATCTTAAGCAAGTATGGAAATTGGTATCCTTTAAAATATATTCATAACAAGATCAATTCATGGCATTGATTAGACAAATCCCAGAAATGATTCAATAACACACACAACAGAATTGCTTGACCATAAGTTCAATGATAGGTTAGGAGTTTACAGAATTGTATGCTCACTCACTCATTACTTTTTAAATTAATTTACAACTTGATGAATCACAATTTAAAGAGAATTCTGAGAAGGAGGATTGCGTTGGATGCATTACATATGTGTCTCCAGAAGTCTAGAACTAAAGACTCTATAAAGTAGTGATGAAATTAAAAGGATTCATAAATAAAGTGAAAAAATTTGATGAATTCGTCAATAATGGCAATCTAGAATCTGAACTATTGCAATTCACCTTTGATTACAACAACAAAAGAATTACCCTTTGGAGTTAAGATGACTAAGTCAGTTATCAAATTACAACAAAGTAATCACAATTTAAAAATCATATAGATTAACTCTACATGAGCCACCAATATTTGAATAAAGAATCTACTTGCAAACTAATATGGTAATTCAAGTGACAAAGAATTTCCAACTGGTTGTCAAAGCATACTAACATGATAATAAACAGAAATAACTCGTTTATAATTCACATTTCACTCCTTAACCTTTGGGACATGAAACAGTTTAGATTAAACCAATTATTTAATCTTTTAATACAAAATGGATCTCTATCAATAATGGATTCGAAGATGTGATTTACTATACAAATGAAATTCCATTGAAATTATCCTAATACCAGACACTACCCAGGGGATTTGAAGTGCTATTGTAACAGGATGGCTTTGGCTATTATGTCACAGTTGTAGGAGATTGCTCAGCTTACTATCCAAGGATTAAATGCAAAAGGAGCTAAGGTCAATTGTTGTAATTGATTACTTGCTAAGAAAACTTTAATTTAGGAATCATTTACTAAGACAATTTAAGAATATTATTAAATTCTAACTTACTTCCATTGTGGAATGGCGCAGAAATATTTGATTTATGAATTAATTCTATTATCAATTATTGTTTAATAATAAATAGATCAAATTAATTGGATCCAGTATTTTAGACTTAAATATACCAAGTAAGTCTTTAATCTGATTATCTTCAACATATTATGATAATTTTATATTTTTTAATAGGTATTTTACCAATTAATCCATATTTTCAGAATTCTACAGAATCACAATTAGTATTGATCTAAAATCTTACAATGAAATTTCTGGTAGATTGTGAGGATTAAAGAACTAATATGTTGTGATATCATACTTTAATAAAAAAGTTTATTAAGGTTTGCTCTTTGAAATGCTGACTAATAATGATCTATTTGAATAATCTAAATTAATTGTAATACACCTTCTCCTATTCATTGTGAGGATTTATGTCGAAAGCCAATAGAATTCTATCCTAAATTATTCTTGACAACTCAGTGAAACTCAAATAAGACTCCCTTAAGATAAATTGGTATATGAAAGGATCTATGATATTAATATTTGATTATACTTTTTCCCGATTCTTTTATATCATAAATATCCTTGTATTGCTATGTATTTTTAACTAGAACCTTGAATTCTTGGATGGTATTCATCTCTTTGTATATTTCTTTCTTTGATTATCTGATCACTCTCGGATTAATAGTCAATTATTTTTGATGCTCAATAATATTGCTGATTATGCTATTATTCATGGTTATTTCGTCGCATAATTGACTTTCGTCAGCTCTCCTGGTGTTTTACGAATCCTACTCGTAAGACTTTAAAGTTTTCCTGTACATGGCTTGAATATTCATTGCTCCTTAAGTAACTGTAGCTTATTTAATTATTTCCAAATCTCCCTCTGTAAATATATTATCCAATTTGCTAAAATGAAGCAATTCTTATTTCGTGGAATCATTTAGTTCATACCTCTTCCTCGGTGTTTTTGTCAAATTCTGAAGATGAAAAGGCAACAATTTTTATAACTTCTTATCTGATTTCATCAAATCCATCATATAACTCTTGTACTTATAATTTTTGTAGCCTTTAACTTCAAGATATTTTGGAGTGTTTGTTACTTTCTATATTTTAGGAAGACTAAAATGTGAAGATGAAGTATTTCGAGATATTTTACTTTAAGACTCGTTCATAAATTTTACTATATTAATTATATTCTAAATACAAGAAATAAATACATACATCTATAACTAAAATATCTTTATTTTCAATTACTTTTACTTATTATCAATTTAAAATCCCCTCTATAAACTACCCAAGGGAATCAACAAAAGCCAAAAGGGATCACTTATATTGTACATAATCAACCTGTCGTACTTCTACTCACCAATTCTAATAATAATACCTTTAATACATACGATGCCAGTGATGAATGGTTTACTATATATATTTTAGAAAATGCATTGCCAAATGTTATTTACTTACTTGATACAATTGTAGCTATATTCACTTATATGAGGAGTTTAAGAATAATCAAAATAAACTGGAAATGGACTTAGAGAATTCATTGAGCATTGCAAAATTTGATAATTCTTGGTCCCATTATTGATCGACAAATAGATAATTACGAATGCATTTTCTCAAAAAGGAAATATACAATTGAAAAAAAGGGCAAAATACAAAGAGAAGTATTTGAATTGGTAAGTTATTCAGACTAATGCATTTCACTTTTATTAATGATTACAATAGTGTTAATTTAAACTGCATTCAGTTAGCTATATCATCTTATAAATCATATAAAATTTTTGATTAATTCTTATTTATAATTGATTGATTTGTATATTAATCAAGTTGTTATAAACGTATAAAATTATTCATGTAATCTCAACACTTTCTACGTTTATCACTAATATCTTGTAATCTTGATAGGTCTCATAACAATTTTTCAACAATTTTGAATGTGGCTAATTGTGTTCGTTCTCAGTATTGTTTAAGAAATTTAAATATAATTGAAAAAATATAAAGAAATCTTAAAATGTATGAGGAATTCTAAGTTTCGATTTTAGAGATCTTAGCCCGATTAGTAAATAAATAATCTTATAGTTTAGTTTATTAATTATGTTTATTCGTTCAATAGATGGAGCATTCACAGTTGTTTTTCGAGGATTTTGCTTTTTTTTTCACAATTGGATAGCTTTCACTATTTTCTGATAATAATCTTTCATTCTATTTAATTATGGTTCTAAGATTTGTAAAAATCTCATTTTGTGTGTTTTAAATTTGCGTATCAGTTTTGAGTCTAATGGAATTAGGAAATATTATTACGATTGGAAATAAAAATTAGATTTTTTGAGGGTTTTATAATGATGATTTTGAGAAGGATATCGATGATAGTTCATCTTAATTTATATATATATTAATTACAACGATTTAAGCAATGAATAAAATAAATATATTTATATACATCATTCACTTGGGATATTAAATGAAATAAATTGAGATTTCTTGGCTTTTTTATTTTTTTAAGTTTGTTGCTGCTCGTAGCACTATTTAATTTGGCAATCTTATCCGAACGTATTTTCTTAAACTTGGATTTGATTGTATTTTGGTGTTGAAGACAACAAAACATCAGCATCACCAAACAATTATTTGATTGTCGATTCATTTGACAAGCCCTTAATAAGTAACTAAGAAATATGACACTAAAGTTTAATTACTTGATTTATTAGAACTTGTAAGGTAGTTTCGAATTATGACATCTATTTAGAGTAGAGTAAGATATTCATGATTTCCCTTGGATTGGTTGTGTATCCAATGTTCTTTAATAGCATGTAAGTGGAGTCAAACAAATTTTATTGATTGGAATCTTCCAAAGCCATTTCAGTCATTAACATGTATTCATCTTGTGTTTGGATAGCAGCTATCTCTCCAAAATAAATAAAGTAATAATATAGCTCGCCATCGATTTGAATTCTTTGTATTTCAAAGATAAGTTGATCTTAATTCTTCTCCTTCAAATTTTAACAAAAAACCTCACAAAACGATTGGAGATCTACTTGTATGGGTAACACAAGAATTAAATTCTTACTCCAAACTAAATAGTAATCTAGAATATCTGAAATTGAGGGGAAAATGTTGTTTAATGTCAATTTCCCATCAATAATCTAATAATCAGGTTAGATGTAAAAGACATCATTTTCAATGATTGGCAATTTGGGTAGAGTTGCCTAAAGAAATTCACATCTTATGTTTAAATTACAAATAGTTGCATTGTGATTAGCATTTTTAATTTATTGCATCGAAAAGTTATTTCCCAAAACAAAAGTGTTGGTTTCAGAAGAGAACTATATGGCATTGATACCACTCCTGGATAGGCCATCAACTATGAATGATGGTTTGACTTCCCTCATTCTTCGGCCAATGTATTGTAGCACTTTTTCTGGTATCAAATAACTTGATTCGTCTTGCTCGTACTTGACATCGTTGTCTATGTACGATACGAAGACGGATAAGGGGTTCTTCTCCACTAATTTGGATTTTCTCATAGAAAAATCAACAAAAAAATTCTTTTAGGTCATTCTAACCAGCATGTAGTTTTGGGTCTCGAAATTGCCATAAAGCTCCAAGGAAGTTTTTTCTTCCTTTTTGATTGAAATCTATTTTTCCTCACCCATCTTTTCCTCATCTGAATCCAAAGCACAACATATGAAATTACAAAATTTTTTCATATATTAATTATGTCACAATTGAAAAAATTCCAATAAGCAGACTTTTAACTCGTCTATCCACTTAACAGTAAGACGTCGATGCAAAAGAAAGGAGCTGAACTCTTCATATGCAAGTTAGTCAATCCTTAGAAGAAAACCTAAAAGGAATTGGTGGATGAAATGGATTAGATGAAAATTCGGTTATCTAAAGCAGGCATTTACATTCCTGAAGGGTATTGGGAGGAGAAGCAGGCAGTGTGTTTTGTTTATAAGAAATTTAAATTTTCAATGGCAGACTTAATCAAATAGCACAAGAGACAAGGAGTGTACATCCCAATGAATAAAATGCAAACTTACGTAAATGAATTCACAAATTGGGTTGACAAAATCCATAAATCCAAGAAGGGCGAGAATCAGAGGTACTTTCATGGGAGAATCAAACCATCAAATCTATTTGAGGATGAAGAGAGCGAATGTGTAATAACAGACTTCTATTAATTCTCTAATGAAAATAGCGAATTGTATTTACCACCTGAATCCTTGGCGGCATTAAAAAAGAATTAAAGTCAAAGATTTGCTTCTGGCAGTTCAGTGGTAGATTTGTTGGGAGGAGATCCAGTCAAAGTTGATATTTGGTAATTGGGTTTAACTTTTCTTTAGATGGCTTCATTAAAAGATATTGAAGAATTGATAATCTTTAGAGACTCTAATACTTAGGATTCTGCCAAAGCAATTGAAATCAAAGAGACAATCAAAAAGTTGTATGGATAACATTTATACAATGTGATAGAGAGAATGTTGGAAAGGAATCCTTCTACAAGATCTCCGATCCATGAATTGGAAGACACAATCTAAGATTTCTTCAGTGACAATGTCATCCAACATGATGAGAATCTGCTTTAACCCAACCCTGAATTGCTACTGGACGAATTAAAATAAAGAGTCACCTAATAGAAGTAACAGACAGTTGTATAATATTTATCCAAATATCAAATGCAACCAGTCAGTAGAAAAATAAAAGCTACAAACTTTTGGGATGCCTTAGAAGACATCAAGATATCTATTAGTTTTAAGGAAAAAGCAGTTCTATTATAAACATACGATTTGCAAAAGACTGATGAGATTGATCTTTCATCATGGATTCAAAGACAGAAAGAAGTCGTAAAATTGGGAGAATTGAGTTAGGCATAGGATCAGGAGTTGTTTGAAATGTTAAAGGACATTAATACATATTTAGAAGATAGCAACATAAATTTGATTGAAATTCTGAAAGCAAGTGACTCGGAATAGTTGGGAATTCTACCCTATGATAAATTCGATTCTATAATTAGATAGGAGGGAATCAACTTAAATCCTGAAGATATTCCTCTCTTGAAATTGAAGTATGATCCTAATAAGAAGAATACAATTTACTATGAAAGCTTTTGCGATGACATCAAATCGACAAATTAACAATAATTAGGAGTGGATGATTTAAAAAAAAAGATGTATAAAGCCATAAGGGATGTGTATAATGTGTTCATTTCATTTTTCCGTCATTACGATAGCAAATCTAAGGGATATTTGGGCTATGATGATATTTACAAGTTTTTCAATGAGATTAAATACTAACCCAATCCTGAGATTCTAAAATAAGTATTGTTTAATCTAGATCCAGACAATAAAAAAATGATTACTTTCGACAATGTGAGAACCTTCTTTGAAGCCAATGTGAATGAAGATTTGAAGGATATCTTGACTCAACTAGTCAATGGTCTCCTTAGTATCTAGATGACTTTACCTTAATTAATTAGATCTAGCACAAAAAGTAGTAGTATTATATCCTAAAGCTAATTTTTCAATGCTCTCAAACAATCCAATGATCATCTTCGCTAAACAGATTTCTAATTCCTGTTAAATAATTTTGGAGTAAAGGAGGAAATCGAGTATCCTCGTTTTGTATAGGTAATAGCTTAAAAGGCAAGAGAATTGCATGTGTAAAATTGGAAACAACTGTAAGAGGCTGATGGAGGAGATAGCATTCAAGAAAGAAAGAGTAATTTCGATGACCCAGAGTTATCATTACAGAAATCCATTAACTTCAATCCTAAATCTTTTGATTCTTAGAAAAAACTGTTGCAATTCATCTCTAAAGAATTATAGGAGAGAGATGAAACTCCTCGGCAATATTTCAAATGTACTTTTCAACGAATGTCGATCCAATAATTCAAGGATAAATTGCGTTAATTACAAGTGCATAAAGCAGACTTTGAGGTCGAGCAGGAGGAATTGATTAATAATCTTTTGGTACCCAATGATAGAACATTTGTCGACATTGATTTACTAATAGAAGCCATTCTTTATTATAAGGATAAAAGAAATGATTAGATTAGGTTTAGTCAACACAATGCAGTGGTCTTTTTTGAGCAACTTAATAAAATGATGAAAAAAAAGAAAATTAATTATACAGACATTGAAGATTTAGATTCTTTGGGGGATGGCACCTTAAAGAAGAAGCATCTGCAAGATTATTTAGTTAAATAATTGTTGATAGATTCAGAGGATGAAAACTTTAAAGATTTTTTAATTTGCATTTAACAAGATCAATAAAACATATCCTTAATTAAATTGAGACAAGGCTTGAAATTAGACGAGGCTGCTAATAAATTGCTCCAAGATCTCAACACTGAATTGGCATACGAATAAAGCAAGCCAGAATAACTATTTAGAAAGTATGATGCCAATAGGAATACAAAGTTGGAAATGAGGGAGTTTTAAGAATTCTTATAACAATTGGTAGGCAATGTAGATTAGAAGATATTGGAGACACTCTTCCATAAATTTGATAGTAATAATGATAATACAATTAATCTAAACGAATTTAAATAGAAAATTATTAATTAGAATGATGAAAATCCTAAATAGAATTAACAATAAAATAAACCAAAATAATAATAATAATAATATTAAGAACCATAATAATAATTTAGAAGAACTAGTGCTGTCGATTCCAAAGTATTGACACCTTAGATTATGAAATCAGTATTCAGACTTAAAGATGCTTTAAATGAAAATAATTAAACCTTACAAATTTTTGATAAAAGAGGTAGAGGAGAGATATTGATTAACGCATTCCAAGATATTATTAATCACTTTGGATTTGACTATGCTGAATTCAGAAGTCTAGCATCATATTTATAATCACCTGATGATAAAAAGTTTTTATAATATGACAAGTTATAATTACTTTTAGACGATTGTGTGGAAGCCGAATAATTATTATTGAGTCTCAACCAAACTATCTCAGCAGGTAAGAATGCCACAGCTTAACTGTTTTATAATTATGATCAAAATGGAAATGATGTTTTGGACAGACAAGAGTTTAATAAATTGATTCATGACATTGATCCTTCCATAAAGAATAAATAAATTGATAACCTATTCTTATTGCTTGATTCCAACGGTGATGGTTCAATAAGCATCAGTGAATTCAAATCTAAAGTTTTTGCAAAGGAAAAACCAAAGGTATTATCTCAAGATAACAAACAATAATCAGGAGGAATGTTCAATGAGGTTATTAAGTTCATTAAGTCCTCAACAACCGTATTGGGAGATTTTGAGGGAATGGATGAAAATTACACCAATAAGTTAGATGTGGACAGCATTCTTTCTGTCTTAAAAAAGAACAATGGACCGACTCCTCAATCACTTGAAATGAAAGGAATTGCCGATTAATTGGGAGCATTGTAAGGCAATTAAATCAATTACAAGATGCTTTGTTAAAAAGCCAAGCAGCATCATATAGATACGCCTTAGAACAAAATAGATGCCATTTTATCTAAGTTAAGAGAGCAATTGTAATAAAAATATATCAGCGTTATTGACATAGCCCAAGAGTTTGATCTTAATAAGAAAGGCAAAGTGAAGCTTAAAGGTTTAAAATTAGGAATTGCTGATAAGTCAATCCAACTTACTGATAATGATTGGGATTTGTTATTGACAATCTTGGAGTAGGATGCATAAGATTATATTGACTATTATGCACTTAATGACTTGATTAATTTAGGGTTGGCAAAGTACAAGGAAAGTAGGAAGGTTATTGTGATCAATACCAATTAAGAGATTGACAAGATTGTTATTTCTTTTTCTCAATATATGGAAAAGGAAACATGTACTTTGCTTTATTTGTATAGACAAACTGATAGAGACAGGGACAACTATATTTCTAACGAGGAATTCACTGACCTTCTTCTGAGAACGATTGGATACTCAAGTTCATAGGATGTGCAAAAGTAGCTGTTTGAAATCTTTGATATGGATAAGGATGGAAAAATAAACTTTACAGAATTCGAGTATCAAGTTTATAAAAGAAATGAATTAACAAAGTAGTAAATAGAAGATATGAAGTTAGTGATGCTGAATGGTCGCAATCCATAATTTGAATAACAGATTTCAGAATTATTTAATATCATATCTCAAGGCAGTTAATCCATAGATTTCAAATAATTTACAATGTATATGAATTACTACAAGAAGTACAAGATCTTAGAATTAGATTAATTTTTTAGGTATTTTGATAAAGAATATGCAGAAAGATTAGATTAATTTAGATTTATACTATCATTTAAGTAATAATAAACACGAATTACCCCATAATATGAATAACCTCCTTAATAATAACCTTATCCACCTGCACCCATTGGATACTAATAATAACCTAATTAGCAATACTAATAATAATTACCAAATTAATAATATTAATAGCAATAATCATATTAATAATCACAATAATTGTAATAATAGTAATATTAGTCGTAGTAATAATAACCAAATCAATACTAATAATAATAACCAAATCAATACTAATAATAATAGCAGAATCAATACTAATAATAACAGAATCCATAGTAATAATAATCTTATGGCAACCAAGGATATCAATAATAACCATAATATATGCAATAGTAATAAATGTAGTTTAAGAATTAAAATGATCTTCAAAATCCAATGTTGGGTTCTTTTAATCCATCAAATATATCTTAATCTATTGTTTATCCTCCTTAAAATACTAATTACAACTAGTAAAACAATTTAGGTGATAATGAAATAAAATAATAATGGGTGTAAAATACCAACAAAGTAGATTAAAGATGGAGTTAAGCATAAGATCAATAAATGTTTCCACCTAAATAGGGTCCAGACTAATGGAAAGAGAATAATGATAGATAGCAAGAGAATCAGTAATCGATAATTCCTCAAGAATATGATCTAAGCTTTTACGATTAAGAATTGCATAGGAAATGTATCTAGAAAAACGTAGACCTCTTCGATTTATTGTGTTAGTATGATGAAACTGCTTTACCTGAACTGAAGATATCCAGACCAGAGTAATTGGAATAGGCATTCCTATTTTTAGAAGTAATGGCACCGACTCCACACATCCAATAATTCTACTATTATTATTCACAGGGATAAAATTAAATGAGTATTGTTTTGCCATATCTAAAAATGAACAACCCTGGAAAACTATTAGCCAAAGCGCTCAACTTTACAATGGTCAAACATTAATAGTATACAAGACAATAACTATGGAGTTTGATTGGAGAATAATAACAAACTTGGCAAATGCCTTAGTTAATAAAAATAAATAAAAACCTTAAGATTGGGTTGAATGAAAGAGAATTAAGAGAAGCATTTCAATATTGGGATACTCAATAATCAGGAGTAATCACTTATAGGATGTATGATGAAATATTAAATTTGAATCAAATTATTGTGCCTACAAAAAATAATAATGTTTTGCAATAGCAATCGCAATAGATGGAAGTCGGATTGAAGTAGACATTAGATACCTTTTTGTTACACTTATCCGAAGTGGTGCTTTCGAAGAATTGCTTTAATTTGTTTGAATAATTGGATAAGAAGGGATACAATTAAATACCTTACAATGATTTCTTGCAAATCAGTAAAAAGCTATTGGGAACCATCTCAGGAGAAGAGATAAAGGCAATCAAGTAAATATTACAATTAAATGGATTTATCAATTTAAGTGATTTGGCTCAATCATTAAAGGTGGATAGAAGCAAAAGTGGATAATTTAATTAGGATGATGAAAAATAATAATTTGGATTGGCCAATAAAGATTAAAGAAAGAGTATACTCAACACGCAAAATAAAGAAAAGTTTACCAAAATGTTACCAATCATAAATGAATTCCTGAAAAAGAGAAATAAATCATATGACGATTTTGCACTTTACTTTTTCCCTCCTAATTCAGCCAGTACCATCGATAAAAATATATTTGTAAAGAAAGCACTTGAAGCTTAATTTGGATTAACAGCCATTTAATGTGAGGACTTATACGATTATTTAGATGCTAATTCAAGTGGAAATATATCAATAAATGAATTTAGACTAGTGTTCTAATCAAAACAAGGAGATCATAACAAAAACAAGGCTGAATAAATTATCATGAGCTAAGATATTGAATAAGAAATCCAAGAACTATTCAATTAGATTGATGAAAATAAAAACTAATCTCTAGATTAAAGGGAATTACTTAAAGCATTATAATCAGTAGGACTGAACCCAGGCACTGAAGAATTAACTTAATACTTTGCATAATTCGATAGAGATAAAAGTGGTACCATATCTTACCAAGAGTTTTCACACATTGTTAAGGATATTCTAAAAAAGGAATTATTATAAGCAGATGATTTATTAGAAGATCTAAGAAGAGAGTTTAGATAAGTTTGTAATCCAACCACAAGAATGCTATCAAAAGAATAAGTTAGTTAAGTATTTTAAAACATGGGCGTTCAAATTAAAAATGAAGAACTTGAAGACTTGTTTATTGAAATAGATGAGGATAAGTCAGGTTCAATTGATATTGATGAATTTATTTACTTTATTTAGAAAAATTAATCAGGAATGTCAGCAAAGGCCTCTGCTGCTGTTATGAATATCAAAGGTAGTAGAAGAATATCATTGCATGATTTAAAGGAAATATTTTTGACATTGCCTTAAAACTTTATAATGAGTTTTGTACGCAGTCAAAATAAAAAATTATAAAATTTACCTTCGTAATAATTGAAACCTGTCCTAGACAATTGTGGATTTTTCTATTAAGGATTAAATTACGTGGATGCTGCCAATTTCAATATAAAATAGAGTATTCTTGATAAAGTTAATATCAAAAATAACTATATAGCTGAAATTCGAATGATTGAGGCAACTGGAATACCAATTCCTGATGAAAAAGATGTTCCCAGAAGTTCCTTTTTGAGAAGAGAAATAGGAATTATACTTATGGATAAAGCTTTGAATAAATTTGATGGCAATGCTATTTATATTCCTGCTCAATGGAATTCAGAATACGAAGATAGATGGATCTTCGATTCTGCTGCCATGGAATAAGCGATGTATTTGAGATGGGGCAATTTCGATGAGAAAATGGATAATATGATAGAATTGATTTTCGAGTTTATTACTTATTCAACCAACAAGGGTCGATTAATTCAAATATCTTGTGCTTATGGATCCATTCCTGTTTATTAACTTAAACCAGGAAAACAACTATTGGAATTAAAGGGAGGTGCTCCTCTCAAGGATATAACCATCGACAAAAAGGACATTAGAACCAATAGAAGTGGGTGGAGGTCTGTTGTTAAAGCACTATCTTCGAACATTAAATCTTAATTGGTTGTAGAAGTGGTAAAATTGACTCCTTAGACTATTTTTAAATTATCAGCTCTACCAAACAAGTGTCTCTTAAATAAGTGGGCTTTGGGGATGCAATCAGCTTTTAGGGAATATTTTGCTTATAGGACATAAATGAAGGGGGAAATCGAATTGAATTTGGCAAGCGATATAAGAATCAAAGCTTGGTTAAATTGCTTTGATTGCCCAGACACAACAAGGGCAGTGGCTCAATTTTGGAATGAATTTATAGAGTAAAAGTCAAATCCATATAATTAATAGACCTAAAGTGAATGATCACCAGTTCTTATTAAAAGCAGTGTCTAAGATGGCAGATTCCTTATATTTGATGTTTAAGAACACAGAGTTTAAATTTTCTGCTGGAGATCCTACTGCCAGAATAGATCATGATTTGGCTCTACTTAAAAAGAGACAACAATTAATTGCTGATGCCATCCTGGATATGAAAACTAATTTAGGGATTGGCAATCAATAGCAGTATGATTTGTTTGTTATTATTCATTTAGGAAAAAGTAATAGGCGGTAGTTAGTTTGGAGCCATTAAACATTGAGGAGATGATGGATTTAGAAAATGATTAGGACTTACAAGCGATTGAGAGATTTTTGAATAAGAAAAAACCAAAAAAATAAGCATAATAGTAATGAAATTTATGAACATCGAAGCCAATATATTTTTCATTATCAATTTTTCACTTTCCATTTTTATCTATCAAGCGGGCAATAATCTTACTCTTCAGTCCATCTAACTATGCAGTGTAAATGAAAATGATGATTGCATGCGCCTGTTACAGGAGGACATTCATCTCCTGGTAATTTACATCTTGGACAAGGTTATTCAAATGCTAACTAACATATTGTGCATCTATCTGTATCTAGACTCCAGATCCAAGAAGCCACAGCATTCCATTCTTTTATTTTGACTTTCATAATTTGAATTTAGTATAATAATAATTCAATTTATTTTTTTGTTTACCCAAATATTTGATGATATAATGAATGTTAAATGAGTGGTTAAATCAATATTGGAATATCTATTAAATTCAAATCATTATGAGATCATAGATGTTATTATTATTTTTTCTTAGAAGACGATAGGTTGGATATTTGAATTTGAGTTTTATGAAAGAACTTTTTGTAAAAATATGTCTATAGCTAAGACTAGAGTTACTATTTTAATTATTTTCTATTTAAGCTGAATCATTTAGTTACATAATAATATTGCAATTAAGATGAATTAAAATATTTACTATTAATTGGTTAATTCAAACCTTTATCAATTGGTCGTTCTTTAATAAAATTAAACTCACTTAAATTTTACATACAAAATGATATATAACATTTATGATTCACTCTATTATTAATGTCAGTTAGTTATCTACTAATCTGATTTATTTATTTAATTTATAATATTGTATCCAAAAACTTGCCAAATATTGCAATAAAAAATAAAATATTTAAACTATTTACTAAAAGCTTTATTATTTGTATTTGAAACTATGTGATAATGATTTATTATAATTATATATTGTTTAATCTTCAAGATTCTGTTAATACTTCTGAATTGTAAGTAAAATAATCGTAATTGTCAAATTGTTCTTTTTTATTGACTGGACTATCGATTGGAGGTTCATCCAAAAACATCTTACGATTATAATGTGATTACTTTGTTAAAATATCTTAAATCTAATTCATCATTTAATTCTGGGATAATGGGAGGTACCAATTAGCGATTTTAGGCTTAATTCCAATCTATATCTGAAAAGAATGGATGTTTTTTAATTTATTATATATTAATTCTTTATTTAGGCTGATAATATGGAATATTTTTACATTATTATTTAATAATCCTGTGAGCAGACTCGAACAGGCTTCGGAAAACCAAGGTTTCATCTCAGTTTGTTTTTCAGTTCTATTTCTGAACATGAGGGTTCGATCTTGACTATAAAAAGGTGCAGCTCCAGTTAACATTTCATACATCAAGGCTCCCAAACTCCACCAATCACAGGACTCATCATGGCCAAGTTTATCATCGGAGTATACTTCAGGGGCAAGATATTCTGGGGTTCCTACAATGGAAAAGGATGGCTTATCTCTATTGCTGATAATCTTAGATAAGCCAAAATCGATTAATTTGATATGGCCATCAGAACATAAGAGGATGTTTTCTGGTTTGAGATCTCTATATAGAATTTTGGAATCATGCAAATATTCTAGGGCGATAATAATTTCAACGGCATAAAATTACACTTAATTCTCTTTGAATTTATAAGCCCTTCTTAAGTGGAAGAACAACTCCCCACCGGCACAGAAGTCAATAACATAATAAAGCTTTTATTGAGTTTAAAAGGCATAATGGAGTTTACTTATAAAAGGATGATCAATCTTTTCCAATATAATTCTTTCTGTTTTCGCATATTCCACTTATTTTTTAACTTGCAGATCATATTTGTTTACAATCTTCATAGCATACAATTTTCCGTTAGAACGCTTTCGAACCAATAACACCTTCCCGAAATTTCCCCTGCCGATTGTCTTGAGCAACTTGAAGTCTGTGACAATGGGTTTGTGAGAATCATTGGTAACAACAATGCTTTGCTTATAGAAGGTGATGGTTTCTGTTTAATGCTCATTGAGAGGTTTTTAATTAGTGTTGGCTTGCTAAGAAACAACATCTTGCTGGCTTTCCTGATTCTTCTTAAAACAATTGAGACATTAACCCATATATATTATATAAAATACTTTTAATATGAACGAATTAAAGTCTCCAAAACTTTTGAATGGTTTAGGGTAAAAAAAACAGCAGAATGTACAAGACCAGAATGACACGAGCCTGCTTTTGCAATTGTTCCAAAAGATTCAACCAGTTGAGATTATTAGAATGAGTGTACTTAGAATCCCCTATATTAGGATTCCAAAAAAAAGAGCTAATCCGTCCTATACATCTATGAAGATGAATCTGAATCCAAATTCAAGGAGACCATCAAATACGGAGTCTTGGAATACGAACAACATCAATACCAATAAGCTTTATTCTAATTTAAATAAGCAGAATAAATCCTAACTGCAATAGCAAGTCCTCCTATTCATTATTAACTAATCAACAAAATCAACATCGGTACTCATGCTTTATATTAAGGGTGTCTCATTCTACGCCATAGGATGGTTGGAAAACGCCTTCACTTGTTTCGAAGATACTATTTTGATATTGAAGAAGTATATAAATCAAACCACACAAGAGAGAATCCTCTTAGACACTATAAGACTCCAATGTTTTCTACAATGTTGCATAATTTTATCAGAAATTGGTTAGCATCATGAAGCACTGGCCATCTCTAAAATTGCAATCAAAAAAGCATTAAAGTTAATGTTCGATCTCCATTCCCATTCAGAGGAATCCTTGCAGAAGAAACTCCTAGAAGAGATATTAAGAAAGTCCATAGCCCTGCCCCAACTAAAGCCTAAATAACAGGGAGTCATTATCACTTTCCCCTCCTCAAAAACACAACAATTAACCCAAGAGAATCTTCTGTATATCTTCAAAGATTGTCCCACTTAATATATAGAAAAAGCCAACATCCTTAGTTACATTTAGATGACTCCCTTGAACTTCGATTCCCTCCTCCTTCAAGTGAATCCCAGCAATCAACAGTTCCTCCATATTTTGTCCCTGTTTGTTATCTCCCTATATTGCACTTCAACCGAATCAAGATTTATTGAGCAAATCTTAGATCCATTGCAATTTACAGAAGCTGAGAATTATCTCTCCAGAGCATTGGAGTTGGTTTACTTGTATTTCCCCAAAGATATGCCCTTGGTCAACTAATTGTTGAATGTTCACAATAGATTTCATGATATTTCCAAATAAATCATCTAAGAAGATGTTCATCAAAAGCATGAATAAAATTATGAGATTGTTCTTCTTAAACCTATATTAGAACCTTAAAAATGTGGATTTGTCATTCCAATCATTCGTAAATGTATCTCATTTCCATAATACTTTAGCAAAATGTTCCTATTTAATTAAAGAGAGAGCAATTTCCCTTAAAGAATAATAATTCTAAATAACAAAGGTTTAGAATTTGAATATAGATACAAATACTTATGAAGGTTCAAAACCTTAAAACAGGAAACTTAGATCAATTTCTACAACAAATAAAAACAAACCTAACTCTCCAAAATGGGGACTCAATTAAGTTGCAGAAATCTATCTCAAAGAAAAGAATGTAAGCAACCATTAAAATATCAATATCACCAATTTTAGATAAACTCATTTCAAAAGACCTTAAACTAAAGCAAGCTAAAAGTAATACTGCTTTGAAAAACCAAGATTTAACATCAATTTCTTAATTATCAATAATTTAAATCACGTCTAATTGCCACCAAAAAGAAAGAGAGGTACATCATTTAATTTAGAATCAATTAAACCTCCTCAAACTGCTCAGAATAGCGCAAAAGGGAACAAAGAATTACTAAAATCATATCAAATGTAAACCAAAATTAAAAATCTAATTAAATCCTATTAAATATGATTTTAGTTTTAATTGTTCTATGATAATCACCAGATATTTATTCCATTTTTTATATATTATAAATCTTAAGTTATTTGTTTAAGTAATATATAAACAAATCTTAAATTACATTTTACTTAATATCTCAACATTTTTAAAGTCCTCTTGAGAGAACCACCTAAATTATTCGGATAAAATTTAACTTATATCAAAATAGATTAAAGTTAAGATTTACATTGAGTTGCCATATTAATTATTTTTTGTTCTAACATTTATTTGCTGTGTAATAGGTTTAAGCTGCAATATAGGTATGATTGTTATATTTATGAATAGTACTCGATTTGATGATATTTTGATAATTGGATAATAAATAATTTCGCCAATTAAATTGTTAAGAGGTTTTAGCAAATTATTAAATCAATATACTTGACTGGTTTAAAACCAAAATCACAAACATCAATACTTTCGGAGAGAAGAATCACACTGGACCAAAATCGTTTGAGCAATAGAAAGTGACAAATTAAAAATTAATTGAAAATAATTATTCATTCTAATATTATTCTTTTTATTCTTTTTCTTCTTTGTAAATTAAGAATGCTAATTTACCTTCAATACGGTTGCATTTTAAAGGTTGTAATACATTAATATCACACTTTTACATGTAATTTAAACACGTTAAAATGCTTGGAACTAGTCATCAAAATAGATGTTAATTCAAATAGGTAGACATAAAGAACTATTAAAATAGAGGTTTCTTAAGTATAACAATAAATTAATTAAAAGCATAAAAATTATTTTAATAGGTTTTTTTAGTATATTATTCATTTATTTATTTCAAATAATGAAGCCAACAAGTTTTATATATTAGTAATTAAAGAAAATAATAAGAGTTCGTTTTGGAAGGAACTTATAAGCTTATTTATTAGTAATAATTAATAATTGAGCAAATTAGTTGTATGGAGATCATTTTTAGGCATTTCAAAGAGCTTCATTTAACTGAATATCTTGAAATTTATTTTCTACATTTTAGAAACAAATTAAAGTACTTTTCAAACTTGAAGTTTAAAAAGAGGATTTAAAAGGTAGGTCCCATCCTAAGATGTAAATAAATGAGCACAAAGGACTATGAGACATGATTACTAGAATATTAACATTTGCTGTATGAAAAGATTATTCTACAGAATTAATGAGAAAAATGTATTCATTTAGTCATTTACTTATTCCCTATCGAAATCCTTATATTTTTATGCATTTTTTGCTGTCTTAATAACCCAAAATTGTATGAATTGATTATTTAATGCTAAGAAAAGAATATATAATAATTGGATGGCAGATATGGATAATTTCAGAGTTGTTTGATGATATTTACAACTTATTTGTTATTGATTGAAAGGTATTTAAATTTAGGAAGATATTTGTAAATAAAATTATAGATTTACGATTTTAAATATCGGAATGATAAAGTTATGGTTCAAAAAATGATTAACCAAAATTATATGGGTGTATTGTTAAGAGTTTAGATTTATTTAGTCAATGCGCTCTAACTAATTACTATTAATACATTGAGAAAATATATATTAGTTTATTATTTTTTATAAATGCAAAGCTCAAACTTATATTTTGTATATAATTCTGGATCTGAATAATTTTGGAAAAGAAAAGATTATTAGTTAATAAATGACCTTATGTAAGGATTGCTCCAAGATTCAAGGGAGATGATAACAATGTATAAAACAGGGACAATATTGAAAAAGTTAATTGCTAGACAATATAAAACCTTTTAACAACATTTGTTTTATTTTAGAGACGTACAAATTTTTAAGTTAATAGAAAGAATGGGGAGTTGGGAGGATTCGTTGTTTTGAAGAACGTCTATTTTAAACTAACCAAAAAAAATGTTACCCCTAATATTCCTTATGACAGTTGCCTTACTCTAATAAGAGATCACAGTAGAATTGATCTTTATTTTAACCATTCAGTTGAGATCGATTTATTTTTGAAAGAACTATAGAAATGTTGTATTATCGACGGCTTTGAGTAGCAATACTTATTGCTTCAAAATATAGGTACTGGTTCAACAGCTCAAGTGAGACTTTTCAAAATAAATTAGGTCTTTTTAGCAGAAAATATTCTCGACCATACATTTTATGCAGTAAAATAGATTGAGAAGGAACAAGCCACTGGGAGACATCGTGTATTGAGATCGAAAACACTATTAGAAGAAATTTTTATGATGCGGAGTTTGGATCACCCGAACATCATGAGATTGCATCAAGTATACGAATCAGAAAGTAGAATTTCTATTAATTAAAGAACACATTCGATTAGTCATCAGTCTTTTCGAAGGAGGACAATTGATCGATAAAATCAAAAATTTTAATTTCCTAATCAAAAGAGAGTTAGTCAAATTATTAATTGAAACAGTTCATTATATGCACACCAAAGTATTTTAAAGCTAAATTAGGGAATTATGCATCGAGATTTAAAACCATTCAATATCCTCTATAAAAGCAAAGATCCTTTAGATTGGCAATTTGGAATAGGAGATTTTGGATTCTCTACTTCAATCAAACAACAATAGCATATACTATATAAATGTGGTACTCCTGGATATGTTGCACCAGAAATCATAGAATATCGAGAAAAGGCAAAGATGTATGGATAATCCTGCGATGTGTTTAGTATTGGTGTAATTATATATGAAATGTAAGAATAGCAAATTTAAATAGTTTTTTTAATTCTCATCCATTCAAAAGTAAGACAAAAGATGATACTTTAAGATAAAATGTGAATGCTTAAATTAATTTTGATGACAATGTTTGTATTCCCTAATCACTCAAGTCTTTGATTATTTCTATGGTCAGAAAAAATCCTCGCCATAGATTCACTTTATAATAATGTTTAGATCATGACTTTTTCAAGGAGAGTTTATCAAAATTTAACGAACTATCATAAGAAATTTAAGAGTAAATTTATAAATGCAATTTTCTAGTCATGAACCAAAGACAATGGAGATTCGAAACATAAGATGTCAAACACTTTAGTTATTAAAAACACAAAATAATAAAAGAAGGCAATCTTTACCTCAAGATATCTCTGTTACACAGGAACCATAAATTTAATAGAGTAAGACTCAGATTTATTATGAAAAGGAAAAAGTATTCTAATAAAACACAGATAATCAGTCTCATCTACACATGAGTCAAAATTGAAACTAGAATCTCAACAATAGTTCTAATTAAGCTAATAAAATCGAATAAATTTTGCATCTTAACTAAAAATAACGAAATTAGAAAAGATTTGTTAAATTTTCCTGAATGATTAGCATTACATTCCAAAAGAATTTGGAAATATATATTTAATTAAGAAATATTGAAATTTATTACAATATATCAATATTATATGATATGAAAAGAATCTTAAGCTAAAAAAAATATCAAATAGAAAATCAATTATGTATAAATATAAAAGAGTCTATTCGATGGCACATTTTCTTATCTTTAATTGAAGTACTAAATGAATATATCATTCTGGAATACTTCTTAAGTTTCTCATGAAATTGATAAAATCCTAAAAAGTACTTTAGATTAAGTAAACTATCTATATAATGATATCTTAAGGTACACCTACTTTATTAGTAATTTGCTTTCCTTAACTCCAACATTTTATATCAAATAGGTATTCCAAGATGGCTAATATCATGATTTTAATTAAATTCTTTTCATTATTTGCTCAAAATACTTTTACAAATATAATGTTATATCCTTACACTAGATTTCAATTTTAGGTGAAATGTTTTGAATAAAATTTTAAAGCTTCTGCAATTTAATCTAGAATAATGAAAGGAGGAAAATAACCAAATAAGACTTACAATTCGTTTTTGTTTTGATTTAAATAACTCAAAACAATCTAAAATCTTAAGTAAAAGTTGAGTCCAAATATACTACAATTTGTTCTAGTTTAATTTTATTGTGGAGTTATCTCTCAAAGTAATATCAAGGGATTAATAACATAAAGATTTTTTGTATACCTAATTAGATGAAGTGAGTTTAATAAGATAGCCAGGCTTCAATAATATGAAGTAGGCAAGAATAAAGGAATAGAAGAAAATATTCGTTTTTAGCCATTCCCCATCAAAGAAGGGACTACTGTTAAATTAATCAATCCTAAAATTCTTTACTTAAGTACATTGGTTTAAAAAATATATTTACATTAAGAGCTGGGCTAGAAATTTTGTAGTTGAGTTGATTAAATAAAAGGAGTTGATTGAGAATAGATATTGCGTTTAATAAATCTTACTGCAATTTTTTCAATTTATTTAAGTTCAGGATCTACGTTATCAAATATAATTTTGAATTAATACAATATATCCATCAATTAATTTAAAGTTGACTATCATCATTTCAGCGAATTAATAATTAATAAATATAAAATATTAATCTTAATTGGAAATCAAAAATTTATCTTATGAAAATATTTGCATATGTATGAATTTCAGTTATAAAGATGCCTTTTTTTTCACATTAAGAAATATATGTTAATTTCTGCTTAACGCAAATTTAAAGTTTAAAGACTTTCAGTTTTTCAAGCTAGAGTATATGAATTTATATTGAGCCAATTTTCAAGGTAGCCATTTAAGGAACTCCCAATTTTCACACTTCAGTACTAATCGTTGTATTCAAAAGCAAATGTAATTAATTTACAAAATATTATAATATAAATTCTCCAATAACATATGATATCGCAATAACAATTGTACAATTAGCAATTTAAGGTATTTCATATACCTCAGGTATAGTCAACATTCTTAAGACATAATTACCATTTAATTCTCACTAAATGGATTAATAATTGCATCTGCAAGTGGTGATAAAGCAAAATTTTATGGTATAATGAGGCAGGTTCGACTTTCTAAAAATTGGATGGTCAATCATAGATCCTAGCATCCTTAGCCTTTTTTTGTATGGTCTGCACTTAGTCTCAAGAAGTCATGATAAAATGATTATATTTTCGGATATTAAAATAAGACTTAACATTGAAAGAATGTGTAGTCATATTAATTTGATCATTCCCTTGGGCTTACCTTCTGATGGCTAAGTATTAGCATCTGGTAGTTCTGAAAAGGCAATAATAGGATTAGATTATAAAGCCAAAAGAATAATTTCAAAATTGGTAGGGTAATTTGGGTACTCGCTGTTGCCTTTTCATAAAATGAATTTGTTATTTTTGGATCTGATTTGAAATTAACTGTAAAAAAATAGGGTTGAAACTAGATGATAATTTAAATAGTGAAAGTTATATTGTAGTTTTACGTGATTATTTTATTTAGTTTCTTTTAGTTTAAATTGCTCAATCATATTTTGGAATTCTCACATTTATAAATAAGTAAAAGATTGGTAGTCATTCTAAGTATATTAACTAAATTGATTTTTCAATAAATAGATTAACTCTTCTTCTGTAAGTCATGATAGAAATGCTAGAGTGTGGAATTTTTAAGCTGAAAACTATTATAAAATTTGATCGCCATATTGATATTATAACATCTATCTCATTTCCCTGATGGTAAAATATTTTGCATCTGGTTAAATATGTTTATAAATATTATTTGAATTATTTTTTTATGTTTTTGTAAATTGCAATTACATTAGCTATATATCAGAATTTTCTTTACTTTACACTAGAAATTCTTATAAATAATTTTTGTTTGTTTTCTAAATTTCTCCTTAATTTTAGGTAGTTTTTAATTTATAATTATTAATATTTCTAGATTTAATAATGTTAGAAAAATGAGTAAATTAATAAGATAAAAAGGATATGGATTCCAAATAAAAATTTAAAAAGTAGGTTTTGGAAGAAATGGAAATGATCTGATTATGATTGCATATTTTGATTTGAGAGTGAAAAGAACAAGAAAGTAAAATCTAAAGGAGCAGATTCAGAGCCTCTTACCCTAAGAAAGTAACATATCATTTAAAATTTATTTGATTATACAATTCATTTAGATGCATTGGCTAATATGTCTAAAAAATCAAATCTTGATATCTAACCACCATTAGAATTACATCTGTCTAACAATTACTAATAAACATCGCCCTTGACATGTCCCTTTAGTTCTTTTATTTCCTCTTTAGGTATGTAACCTTATAAAATAGATGCTGACATAGCAGTAGCACCTATGAATGCTAATTGTATATTAGGTGTTTTTTTCTCAAGTCTTTTTTTTGCTGAACATGAACCCATTTATAATATATTATTTATTGTTTCATTAGTTATGAATAATTATCACTTTAATCTCAAAATATCTACATCATATCTTTTCAATAGAAATTATATTAAATCTTTATAATAATAATCAAATTTAAAAATTAAACTAGAAGCATCCATTCATTATAATGAGGAAAGCTTATTAAATCAAAGAAAATAAAAATTTTGTAAATACATCATTTGAACTATAAAAGAAAATTTGAAGGAATGAATATCACATTAATAAAGATGACATGCACGTTAATCTAACAACAAAGCGTGGATTCGATTGAGAAGATTAAATCATCGGATAATTTCAAAAAACTAAATATTATTGTTTAATAAAGTTAGGGTTATACAGTTTAAGGTTGGTTTTGAAGTCTAAAAAGATGATTAAGTAAATGAGTCTCGCTTAAACTAATTATAGTCAATAGAGCTAATTTCAAATGTTGACTTAATCTATAAAATGTACTAGTAGTTGGCAATCTTTATAATTATTAAAACATATATTCTGTTTTTAAACTAACAGTTGTTCAACTAATGATGATGGATTTCATCTAAAAGAAAATAAATCATATAGATTTGCAGAAAGATATATCGATGAACATTGTGATAAAGCAACTAAAATATGTTGTCGACTAAACTTTAGCTATCATTAAAATATATATCATTATATTTAATGATAAACAAAATTTCTAAAATTATTGTTGTGTTGATGAATGGTCGGTTAATTTAAACTCTGGGACTGAATGCCCTGTCTCTGAAAATAGTTCTGAGTAGGCTAGATGACATTAGTGTAGATTCAAAACTGCTTTTAAACTAATAAAAAAGGATCAGCCTCAATTTATCTAACTTGAGTGACTCAAGAATGCTACCTACCATGCCTATCTTAGATTCCGACGTCTCAAAGCTTTTTGTTGATGAAATTAATTTTATTAATTATATTATAAACTTAGAATTTCTAACAAGAACTAAATCCTATAATAAGGTCTACATTTTTAGTACTTTAGCTTAGTATCCTGATTATGGTTTTTCTTTGTGACTACTATTAATTAATATTAAAGTTTTCAACTAATAATGTTATCAGCTCACCTGAGACATATGTATTATTTGTAAAAATTAATTGATTGCTAATCTCTGTATAAATCATATTTTGATACTTGCCTCATTACGCACTAAAATTTTGATATTAGCCTAATTTATGAATATTATTCAGAGTAAGCATTTTGTTAAATCATGTAGTGTTGGACATTTGATACTTCGAAAAATCTTGTTAGTTGTATTTAATGATCGACAGCGCGTACATCTAGTAAAAATCTATTAACTAGTGCAGAGTCTGCTATAATTTGGTGTAGCATTTAATAAAACTGAATATTTAAATCTTGTCAAACTTAGCCCTACCGAAAATGCGTCACACATTTTGTAGCTACTTCTTATGATTTGAATTAAATAGATGCTTTACCCAATTTATGCAATTACTAAAAATAAACATTTTTCCTAATTTAGATCACGTGCTAGTTTTTCTGTAAAAACTGCTTTGGATGTATTGCATATTGCTTTTAGTATCCTATGAATTGTTCCTATTGCTTTAAAACCTCAAATGTTACATTCGAACATATTTAAGTTGTTTTTGATTTTGTTTTAATACAACTTAACATACCTGTTCTGTAAGTTAAACTTCATGCAAGAATGCATGGCTGTATTTAATGTTAGCATGCAATAAGTTGTTAGAATATTAGGTGTTTATATTCCCCATGCCCTAGTTATATCTATAGACTTTCTAACCTATTTTTTATTAACAGTAAAGTATATACAAAATTCATACACATCATTTTTGTCTGGAGCTGAAATTGTGCCATTCCTCATCAAATACTAAACCGCATTCTGCATTTAAGTCTTTATTTTGCTCTTATTCTGAATTCCAGAAAATATTATTGCTTTGCTGAATCTTTATTAGAGAAAGTTGAACCTACTGATATTCTAATCAAAAAACTCCATAATAGTGTAATTTAAAGCATTTACTTTTACCTGAAAATATTATCGTGTACGAGATGGTCTAAATTAATATAGGAAATTATGACACCTATTAAAATAAATAATAGGATTCTATGCCTTATATATGATGCACTATACAATTATTTACTCTGTATTTGTTGTGATTAACTCTAATCAATAACAGTTATATACATCCATCATAATAATTTTTGAGAAGAACTTCAAAATTAAAATGCATAGTTTCATGCTTATCTTTTTAATTTAAAATGTTATGATGCTGTAAAACAATGAAGATTCAGGCCCTCTAATGCTTTGAAACTCTTTTTTTGAAGAGTACAGAAAATTCAACCGCATATACATTGTATTCTGATGGTTTAACTGGAAATGACTAATTCTTTGAGTGATTTACTCATACTGAATATGATAAATTTCTTCCTGTTTCCCTGGATTTGATTTATATGAAGAATCACCTGCTTATTGAATTAGAGGAGCGCCATCTATCAAGCCTCCAAATCCTTACTTGCTTTATACTTATTACAACCTGCTCCTATACAGTATCTAAAAGTTTATGCACACACAAGTATAGATAGTTTTCTTTGAGTGGAAATGATAATGCAGAATTTGCATAGGTGTCTGCTATCAAAATGAAAACTATTGGTTTTTAATAGAGTCCAATATCTTCCGTTAACAATTTTGATCCTTATATGTCTGACATGATGCAATCTTTATTGTATGAATAGAAAGTGTAACTTTAGCTCATAAATTCACCAAATAGTGCATCATCAAATGTAAAGAAGGGATGTTAGTGCAATTTAAAGCTGTGCAAATAGTTATTAAGGAAACTGAGAGAATTGCTGCATAATATATTTTTGAATATTTTGTAGCTTAATGATATATTTTTTTATGACTGCATTAATTATGTAAGAAATGAACTGGAAATGTTACAAATTCTATATTATGTGATATTGGTAACACTGGAGAAAACTGTTTATCAATATATAGCGAAGATATTATAGAAATAAAAAGTAAATCTGAATTTAAATAAAACATTTTTTTATTAATAGAATGGCAATCTTATTCTTGCTAATTTATTGAACAACTCAATGAAGCCTAAGAGATGGGTTTTGGTTGATACTACCCTTATGATTCACCCAACCTTAATATGTAGTACTGTAAAAAAATGGAAAATTGAACACAGGAGATGATTTGGATAAATTTATTTAACTTAGGTCAATTATAAAATATTCATTTTCAACTGTAAATA